GGTGAGTGGTGGTGTTTTTAGGAGCCAGTGGTGTGGAGGTGAGTGGTCCTGTGTGATGGGGAAAGAAACGTCTCAAAAACATTTATGGATCACTCTATTTGGCCAATGGTGATGTTCATGTTTTGTAATAAAGCCATCGGTCAGATCAAAGTATGTGTGTCAGTCAGATTTGGAGCGTCTGTCTGACTTTCGACACATACTTTTTTCAAACGTGGCACTTTCCTTATGACAGGCAGAGGGGTTACCTGGCGGATGTGGGAATCGAACCTTCACGTCTTTAAAAGCCGGTCGAGTGGAACTCGCTGATGAAAGGTCATTCGTCTCTGCCTGTTTAATTTGCATAAGAGCAAAAGAATGACGTGTCCAGCCTGGGGGACAATGTTGCTCAACTTGCTGATGGAAGGACTTGCAACCGTTCACGCGTCTTTGTCACCTTTCTCTCTGACACAACACACAAACCACGTGATGTGACATTCAGATGGTGCAGTGGCGCAGTGGGTCGCGGCACTGCCATTTAAGTTCAAATCCCGGCCGTAGCTAAAATCTATATTTTAACTATATTCTGTCATTCTGCTCCCCCACCCGCCATTCATTAACCCACATTGACCAGCGTGGTGAAGTGTGGTAAAACAATCCCCATGGCCACCAAGGTATGGGCAGGTATTCATCCAGCAGTGAAATGACAAGGATGTAGATAAATGACAAAGGTAAACATATTTTGGGTTCATTATTTGATTCAACGATCGTTTGCTCACTTGTTCGTACTCTCTCACTTATATTGCTTATCTCCCATTTTTATTGCCTTGTTTTTATGTTCTATTATCATCAAGACACATTGCCATATAATATGCACAGTAAATCGTGGATTCTCAGAGACACAATCTTTGTGTGTGTTTAGTTTGTTGTCCTTAACCAACACCTCCGATTAGCAGGGCTGGCTAAGTACGGTGTGAAAGAAATTCAACATACAGTACATACATGGACGGGTGAAGTGTGGGTTCCTTTCCCCTTCCTGCTCATCAGGCCAAGTGCTGTTCACGAAATATTCACAGCTTTGCCAATCAATTGCTGGATGAAAACCTCCTTATTATCACGTCGGTAATGGGGCCTGTTTGATCACATTCTTAGGTTTTTTCAGTAAAGTCACGTAGGTAAAACATCAAAATTAATAAAAAATAAAATAAAGATCACGACGTTTCGGAGGCAACACAAGTCTCCGTCATCAGGTGGGACAGTCACAGCCAGATTAGCTGCATCAAGTGAGGCAATGATTCAAGATGTAATCCCTTAAAAGCGAGTTGAGGGGGGAGAATTACATCTTGAATCATTGCCTCACTTGATGCAGCTAATCTGGCTATGACTGTCCCACCTGATGACGGAGACTTGTGTTGCCTCCGAAACGTCGTGATCTTTATTTAATTTTTATAAATTTTGATGTTTTACCTACGTGACTTTACCGAAAAAACCTAAGAATATGAATCCTTGCAGTCACGAAAGCTTCAAATCTAGAACTGTTTGATCACAATTTACTCTGTGGTCGTTAGAGGTTGGTGGATGGAGGGCATCCAGGACCGGTTTAGATATCGCTTACCAGTGCTGTAACCGTGACAAAAAATCGAACTCACGTTTATCGGGTTGATAACACAACGCGCTAACCACTACACACATCACCGCTTGCCTCTTCACAGCAGGGTGTACTAACCACGTGTTCCTTAATACAATAAAAACCTGATCTCCAGCCGAGATGTTGTTTCACGGGTTTTTTTCAGAATGTTCAATACTCCCACGCCATTTGTTTGCATCGGTCCGGTTGTCTGCTTGTTTGTGTGCGGTGTGTGAATGTGATGGGGAGTTATGCCCCGTGGTCCCGTGGATTTTTCTCCGGGTCCTCCGGTTTGTTCCTGTACATTTATTAACAAAATATGCGTTTAGAGTATTTGGCTGCTATACATTTCCACATGATGAGCCACTTCGTTGAGCTATCATTTGTGATAGGCAGGTCGCTTCTGAAAAAGAGCTATATAGCTCAGGAGGCCTTACCTGGTTACAATAAAAAAAGAGCTTAGTTATGCGAGAATAGGTTTTCCCCTTTTTTTCTGGCAACAAAACAGGTGTTAAGGTGTTAAACCATCAAACTGAAACCTTTTACAAGGAATCATGTCTGCATTAACCACAATACTTGTGGTCAGAATGCAAACAAAAACATACTCTGATAATATATGCATTGTCTTTGAAACTGATTGGTCCACACCAGTGACAGCTTTCTTTTGAGCCTACTCTCAAATGCCTTTGCCCTATGGGCATTGGGCATCTCATTTGCACTGTTGCTTACATTTAGCGCCTTTCAGGGTTTGTTTCCAAACAGAGATACACCTAAAGATTCGAGTGTGCTTTTTCTTTGTCGAAGTGACAGCAGAGTTGGTTATATGTTCTCTAAAAGCATTTGTACTCTCTTGAAAGAATACACATCTTAAGAGGCCACCATCTACCGAGTAGTTTATTGCACAAGGAGGCGATGAACTAAAGTTATACATTTGTCCTAATATGAAGGATTCACAGTACACATTTTTGGCAGTTTTAATTTTTTTATTGGTTTCCCTACTGTATAGTAAGAGATAGTCTTGGTGAAGATGGTCTGGTAGCATGCAATATCCTGGAGTCTATAAACTGAGTTGTACCTGCGGTAGCAGTTACATTGGAGAAACGAAACGACATGTCTCGGACCGTGTTCGCGAACACAAGGCAGATCTGAAATATGGCAGAACCAATACCTCTGTCGTGGCTGACCATTGTTAGAACGCTGTGGGCTCGCATGATATAGTTTTTTCCGAGACCAAGATACTCTGCAAACCTTCGGGCTACTATCAAAGGTTTGTTCATGAAGCCATCCAGATATATAAACATAACTTCAACCGAGTAGATGGATACAAATTGAGCAATCATTGGAAGGATGTTATTAACCAGGTAAAACCTTAACTGTTTATGGTTGTTCCATCATATCTACCGGGTACTAGTCTATGTTTCAGAGTGAATTTCCCCCCGCATCCCCATCGTCCCCAGCCTCCCACTTTCAGCCCCGACCACTTCCCCCCCCCCACTTCCTCCCCCCCCCACTCCCCCCCCCCCCGCTTCACGTCCTGTCTCCCCCGAGCGCTCATGCCTCCCCCCATCCCCCTGCCCCACACCCCTCCCTTCTCTCTCTCCCCATTGCTCCTCCCCCCCTCTCTTACCTGTATAACCTCTTGCCACGGCAGCTCCCTCGCCCACTGCATTGGCATTGTTGCTGCATTGGCAATGCTGCTGCATTGGCATTGCTGCTGCATTGGCATTGTGGCTGCATTGGCATTGTAGCTGCATTGGCACTCGTGCACCGCCCGTGCACCGCCCATGCTCCTGGTGCTGTTGATACACTTTGGCTATGCCCATCCCCAAACCTTTATAAACAGTTTGCCTTTAGAGGCTGACTCCTTTTCCTGATGATGACCGCTTGCGTTGCGATCGAAACGTCGTGATTTGTTTTATTTCATTTTATTTCTAACTAGCGGTAAGTACCCGGCGTTGCTCGGGCGAAAAAGGCAGACACACACATGGACTTACACACAGACATCGACCCACACACATAGAAACACATCGACTTAGACGCACACACACATATGGTTAAACCCAGGATAGATCGTTAGCAGGCCAGCCTAAATGTTTGTAACCGGCGAAGATGGTCCATTAGGGGGGTGCACGCTTCGCAAGCGTAGAGAAGGGAGGGAATTACCGTGGCCGAGAAGACCTGGAGCTTCATGCGCAGCGAGAGACCAAGTAGCTTCCACACAGCGTAACGCAGCCGATGAAAGAGAATAGCGCTCGACTGATTTGGAGTGAGACCTCTGCTGTTAAACTGGAGTCGGTCATGAGCACACTGGCCAGGTATGGGAATCTCTCCGATCTCGTCATAAAACTGCAATGCAAAAGCACCAGGGGAGGCAGCTATCACATCTGCCTCAGAGGGGGGCGTGTCAGATACGCCCCCGTCAGTAGCCAGTGCCTCCCAAGCCATTGACCTCACCGCACGTCCTTGGATCTAAATGCCCCACCCCCCATAAAAAAACTTATAGCTACGTAAAAAAAAAATGTATGTTCCATTAATATGAATAATTTTGTATTTCTGTTATTTAGAGATAAGTTGAATGCGTTTAATCATGGAATGTTTTCATCGGCTGAGTGGTCCGCGGGCCCAAAAAGTTTGAAGAACACCAGTCTAAAATATGCAGTGATAAAGGTCCTATGTGTGGGTTCCCGGAAATCAGAAACAATGAGGGACGATGGGAAGGGAGCCAGAGGTTCCATTGCACGGAGTGGCGATACCAAATTGTCTCAGGGAGCGTTTTGTATTTTGTAGGTTTCTGTGGTGGCAAAAAAAGACTGGAGTTTGAGAATCAGAATTCGGAGTGTGCTGATATCTGCCACGAGATTAATCAAATATTTTCCAATTATTCGGTTTCCACCAAAAATCAAGGGTAACTGCCTATCCACCAGCATGTTAAAGTAAAGTTAACTATTTTTTAAAATTTTTATCAGGTAAGGCTCACTGAGAGATATATATATCTTTTTCAGAAGTGACCTGGGTATCACAAATGATAGCTCAACTAAGTAGCGTATCGTCATGTGGAAATGTATAGCAGCCAAATATACTAAACGCATGTTGATTCTAAATTTGGAGAGAAAAACCGGAGGAGCCAGAGAAAAATCCACGTGACCATGGGGAGAACACGCAACTCCAAATATACAGCAGGCATCAGGTCGGAATTGAACCCACGACCTCCTGCATACCAGGCGAAGTGGTTAACATCTTGCCATCTCATAATTAGTGGTTCTATTGCTCTGCCACATGACCTCCAAGCAAGCCTAATCGTGTAAGTGGTGGATATCAAATGGTCCATGAAGAGTATTAGTAAAATGATGAAAGAGGCTTTGAATCAAGAACAAAGTAAACCTTTTGACATGCCGACATATCTTTATTTCATAAATAGCAATAAATAAACTCCGCTGGGAGTACACATAGCCACCAAATAAATACAGCAAATCATTACAATCTATGACACTAAAACCACTTACAAAGCATATAGAGGACAGCACATTGTTAGTCACATGCCATAGAGTACAAGACAATGGCTCGAACACTGTAGGATATCTACAGCATATACAATGTGCGCTCGCACACACACGATGGGCTTCCCTGCTCCGATGATCACAAATGAGAGCGAAGCAAGCAAGCACTTACCACTGTACAACGCTGTGCTTATCCTAGGATACACTCCCGACTAAACGGCAAATTCTAAACACGGCGGTGTTAGATTTAACACAGACACGATCAACAACACCTTAGACTCAGAATGAGGCATTATTTTGGTTTTTCAAGGCCTTGTTTTAAAGATAGCATTTTTTATCTATATCGGTCACGTACCTTGTGGCGCATTTTAGCGCGTAAGAACTTGCAATGCATTGTTATGCAAACGCACACAAAATGTGCAAAAGAAAACACTTAAGATTGCTCCGTACGATGGGAAACAGCCAGAGTATTGTGGGAAAAGCTTGATCCCACAGATGGTGTATGCATGCAAAGCAGTCTGAACTAACCTGCAGCGTGCCTTTCGACACTTGATGTTAGTAAATCTAATCTGCCCCGGTCTCACTGTCAAGGTTCACCACAGTGCCACCAGCCATTTTATTTGGAAGGTATTGTGGGATTTTTGCCGTCGTTCGTGACCTAACGTATTTCTACATTCAGTGCATTGCATATTTAAGTCTAGGAATGCACACGTTATTTTCTCGCCGATTCTTACCAACATTATAAGCTCGTTCATGTAAACAATGTCACTTCAAGGTCCTTGAAATTGTTTCAAATGTGCCACGTGATCCAGGTAAATTTTTGCACAAGCAGTGAACATTGGCAGTAAAAAACAGAAGGGGAAAACCTATTATCATTGGTAGTAGACTTAAGGTTGAGGACTTGAGGAGACTGTCAGTATAAACGGGTACGTATTAGGACGGACTGTGTTTCCATTTAGTATTTTTCTTTAAGATAAAGCAATGCACTATGTTCATGAAAGTTAAAGGTGCAGCCGTGCAATTTCTAATTCGTGCCATTGCTGCCGGAAAGGCCTCCACTAGAGAGAGCTCTAGAAAAGCTCCAACGGTGGCCAAACGTCCTGGGAAAGAGTAAGGTCTAACATTACAATTGTCAGTCCCAACTCTTATACTAAACAATCCCTTCCACCTCTTTCACAATGCAGGTAACCGTAGTCCAACATATTTGCTAAGAATACTAAAATTCATGCCATGAAAAAGTTTGTCAGGTAAAATTTAAGAAAAATGGCAGTTTCTTCCATAACACCTGGGCCATATGATAAGGAAATACGCCGTGCTCTGGTGTGGTCCGTTAACATCACCCCCCCCCACCCCGCAAATCTTGAAAGGCCTCCGAAACATTCGGCTCAATTTGTGTCCGGAAGCGTGTTTCCCCGAACACGATGCAGCAAAAAGGAGGAAAAAAAAGAGTGCATAAAAAAACACAGGCCACAGCAGACTAAACAGAGCATTAAGGACCAGCAGGCACAAGCACTTCATGCAAATACAATCAACGGCAGTGAAGTGTTCAGGAACCTGAGGAATACGATCCCATGACCGAGAAGAGCCAATTAGAAATTCTGCTAGCTGACTGTATATGAAGTCTCGATTTAAAACGTCCGATTCCTTTCTATATATAAAAAAAACTGCTTTGTGGAATCAAAAGTGGTTTGGAAGCAAAGAAGCAGCACTGCCGATCGGGGAAAACGTAAATCCACACACATAAATACGGTCTCACGTATTAAGACTGTAAAAGTGCCACTTGCCAGTCAGACAAAAAAATAAGGCACTGGCGTTCCAGTTTCTGTTTAAGTTTGCCAAGCCGTATAAAAGTCGACAAAAGTTACGATTGTTAACGAATAGCTGTGTTCTAAATTGTTTTTTTTTCAACAAAAGGCCATTCGTAACCCTTTCACAAAGCACGACGACCACGTAAGCACGTGGACATTGTTAGACCAATTGTAAGAGAACAAAACGTGGCAGTTGTTGAATCAAGTACGTCTTTTCTTGCTGTATTTGTGATAGGAAATGTAGAACATGGCAGGTGCACCGCCTTATAATTTCTTTTCTCCGTGGTCAATGTTGGGATTAGGGGTATCTGTAGGTGGATTTATTCCAGCACTTGATTTTATCGTTTTTATTCATTTGACGCACGTTAAGTAATTTTTTTAAGCAAAAAAAGAATAACCGGTCGAACATGTCGCTGGAAAAACTGAGTAAATCAGATAGATATATATATATTTTTACTTGGCAATCCACTTCATCGATAACATTCATGAACATGATGTAAAGCGTGCCAATAAAATGTTTAGCGTTGCAAGGCACGACAAACAAACCAGCGTATGGCACAATTGCCAGAGGAAACCCATGACGATCATGGGCCTTGCAGGAACTGGCATTATCCACGTGCTGTGACTCAGCTGGGTCGGTCAGCTAGGGAACTGAACTTGTGACCTAAACACGCTTGGGAGGGCGAGTGAACAAACAGCCCACCTTTGTGACAGTCCTCAAAAGGAACACTACACGGACCTGCAGGTCAGCACCACGCTCTGTTGCCGTCACAGGACATTGTTAACATAATTCTCGGTCGGGTAACTCACAACTCTCATATCTCACGGAGCACGGGCGGCAGCATTCAGGTGCAACCACAAGGACGAGATGGCCGGATGTGCGACTGTGGACGCACAAGACGAGTGGCTTATGCCAGCCAGTCAGCCTCTGCTCACAAACCCTACAATTTCATTCACAGCTCCAAATTTCATAATGGTTTAATTGACCAGGAACACATTCACTGTATTCCCATCATGTTAATAAACATGTATGGGAATGCATTGCCATCATTTTAATAAACATGTATCATGGTAATAAACATTTACAGGAATGCAGGGGCAGGTGGCACTGGTCACTTTTTCAGCAGCGGGGGGGGAGGTCATGTTCCGTACCACCTCACATTATTATACATGGGTCCCCTTTGCTTACCCGCTTTTCGAACTTAAAAATAATTCCCACGTACCGGATCAACATTGATCAAGTATGGAATCCATGGTCACCGGATGAAGACAGTTCTGTAAACCGCAGTTTGATCTACATCGCAGTTTGATGTCCGTAAAGGTGTGGCAGTGAAGTACGTTTTGGTATTCGCACCGTTCTTATGGCACTAATGCCATCACTCGCAAGCGCTACGTTTGTGCCTTGCGAGCTGCCATAAATCCGGCTGACGGTGACAATCTATGAACAGTGAACCGGCAGCAGAGCTCCGTGTAGATTTTGCCGAACGGCGCAAACTTACGGAGGCCGTGGCCTCGAAGTCTCGGCGCCTGGGAACGGTCGGGGAAACTCTGCGCTGGCGACAACCGAAATTGTCGTAAACTCGGGTTGCCAGTTTGAGCGAAGTCATTTAAAACTAAACACACGCACAACTGGTGTAAAGATTTTATGACTTATAATTTAATTCTTCTACACCTGCCCATGTCCATCACCATGGCGATGGCTTCGTGGATCGTGCATCACCCCAGGTAGTTCGTTTGCCAACATCTCGGCTGGAGTTCGTTTTGAATGCTTCTGTGCGTTTGCGCTCCCAAAGGCCGCGCAAGATTTTCTGTTTTGGAAACTTAATGATATCACGGACGTGTTGCCGAGATTCCAACCGGTCACTATTGCCATCTATGCCATTCAGAGACGGATGATACACCTCCGTGCATGCCTCGTAAGCTTTGTCTTGTGTTTTGACAACTGGATAAGTTATGTAGGATAGAATATTGTAGTCTGGGAAACGTTGTCATCAACAGGAAGAAGAGGAGTATCGACATGCCTTAAATCATTGAACGTATTGGTTGTCATAATAGCAATAAATTAATGTAATGTTAAAACTCAACTTCATGTCTTTCTGTAGCACTGCTTTTACCAACAACCATGGACAATACAAACGAAATGACTGTTCACTTATGTACATACAGTAACGCTATTTAATAATAGGATGTGACGGAGTAAAAAGGGAACCTAACAGCATACAGTACATTATTTAAACTAAATTAGTTGTTGATTGTCCTTCCCCCACACCTCCGATTATCACAGTTGACTTCGTAAGGTGCGAAAGAAGTTCAACGTACATACAGTTATGCTTTTAAATCTTAACCCAGCAGAGCCTCACCGAATTCTCAATGCTGTTTGGGGAGGGTTTTGTTGGAGATATTTAGTTTTTTTTACCACTAATATTGTGCATGGGGAAAGCAGGGTGCATGGAGATAACCCACGTATGAGTGGTCAACTTTTTTCTTTAAAAAAACAATTTGGACGCATTGGCGGTACACCGGTGCAGCATAACACACCGGTCCTCGTAAAACAGTCTCGACGATGTCGCTGTTGCCCTTGAGCAAGCTCCAGGACTCTCCATCAGAAGTTGCACTCAGATTCAGCAGCTGCTGTCCCCATTCCAACGTGTGACACCACGAGTCATCATCTTTTGATACCACCGTCCGCACAAAAAGAGATGATTCCGGAAATGAATCGAGGAACCGTCCGACCGAGTTTAGGGCACCAGGAGTCAAATCTTGCCTTTGGAACACCGATAATCACCAGGCTGGGTGCTGCTGTACGGCGACAGACTGGACCTTCGTGTTCAGCTGCTGATAACACTCGTCTTCCGACTGCTTCGACATCACGAGAACTGATTTTGACGCACCACCCCGCAAGATTTTATGACCGGGGTTGCGATTAAAGGGAAAATAATTATTACGAAAAATTTGCTTTTTTTTTATACCGACGCACTACCGGTGTACCGCTACTACGTTAATTTACCGAAAGCTGGAGCCGATATTTAAATAAAATCAAAACTTTTTGGTCACATAATTTCCAACTCTGCACCCATATCGCTGTCTGCCCCTACCCACCCCCCTACCTTTTGCGGCAGAGCGTGCAAGCCAGGCATGGTGCACCCTCTTCTGGCCAGAAATCTTGGCAATGTCAGGGTGGGGGTAGCGGGTGAAGAAATGGGAACATAAAAAATGTTCCTAAAACGATATTTGTGCAGGGTGAAAATTATTAAAGTAACAAGCGTTACAAAGCTAGGCATTGGTTGACACCATCAATACTGATTCATTATAATGGTCTACATATACAACATTAATAACCACAAGTTCCCCTGGACTATATAAACACTCCCAGCTCAGAAAATGAATGTAATTAATTTCGAGACATTTTCCTTTTGTTTCTGCTGCAGTAAAATCTGTCTTAAAAATAAGTTATCAGATGATGGAACGTGCACATTTAAGGTTCGCATAAAACATTATTTAAATACAAAGCTGTAAATAAAACACACAAACCAAAATGACCTTGCACATAAAAAAAGACAAGCCAATGAATTATTCAACAACATTGAAACTCATGAAATGGCTAAATCAGCTTAGCCAATTGAAATTACCTCCGATGAAAAAAAAACATCAATACAAAAATAATTTTAAAGACAAAGCCGAATCCGTCACATATATCCGCTTAAGCACGAGAAGTAAAGATACGCGACCAAAACATTATAAATGCAAAAAAATTAAAAGCAAAAATTCATCCAAATAATGATGAGATACCAAACGCTGCCAAAAAAAACACAGAAAAACTGGGGCCGACTTGGCACCGTTCTAAAATGTGGGCAAATGCTCGGCACTGCTGCCCTTTTCAAGCGCTGTCCGACTATGGGAAGGCTCCTTCCATTGGCACCGCTGGACAAGAAATCGGTAAGAAAGGTTAAACGACGGAATACATACCCCAACGACAAGAGCCAAAATATGTAACAATTATTATGTACGGCATTCACGTATGAAAGGAAAGCATCGCTGAGCATCAAGACTTTTTCAGGAGCATCTTTACAAGAGGATGTTTGTCCATTGACACGGTTAGGAGTCTTTGAATGTATTTTATGTATGCGAGAAAGCCTGAGTACGTAGAAGACAAAAAAACCCCACGTTTACAAGAAAATAACGGCAAAAAGATCTGAACGGGCAAGTTAACGACCCATTTGCTGTACTGCCGTTGCCTGGCCATACCCAAATGGGATTTGGGAGTTCCACAGCTTTCCATTGCGCATTTAAGTCTTATTCTTTGGGTCTTTCGGTAAGTCTTGTTTTAAATGCATTAGATTACAGGAAATGACCCCAGTGTAACTTGTAAGCCTAATGGTTTAAGAATATGCGTGCACACTTCCCGATTTAAAGCCACCAGCTTCAAAAGGCACAGGAAGCTCCGTTGGGTTTGTTTATATTCCTTGGCAGTAGTAACTCAACACGGTACAAGTATACTACCTTCACACTCACTAGGGATTATCGGCGCAGCGTAAGCTCGTGCAAGCTCGAACGGTATAGTTTGTGCTTTGTGTTTTTTTCCCATGTAGCTATGTTTTCACATTCATATGCCTCATTGCGATCCATGGGAGATAGCCCCGGAAGTGTCCACTGCACATTTCGTCACTGGTTTCCACTTTCCTCTGTCTTGTGCCAATATGCTCAAGCAGCGGCCACATTTTTCTGACACCAACCCCTCTTGTGTCGTCGTCAAGCCATTCTCTCGTATGCATTCGTATGCACTGATATCAAATAAATTCCATGTTTTTTCCTGGCTGTGATTGCCAATGACCTGTAACCAAATCAATGGTTTGACTATATCAATGAAAGTCTGTTGCTTTGATGTTAACTTATACTTCATACAGTGGTAAGAATCTACTTAAGGGACACCGCAGTACAGAGAGTACTTGATATTAAGGGATCTTCAGCATCTTTAACGACCGTTTTACAGCAGAAGACACCCTGGTAATTAAGATAACACCGATTTTTGCAAAAAAAAGACGTCATTGTCATGGGAAAACACACTCGTGCACACACTCACAGGATATAGCCAGGCAGATGTATGTAATCCAGGTTGCACCTTTACCCATGATCATTTTAGTTGTGGCTCCAAATTTACACGACGAAGAAATACTGAACATTCTATGGCCTTGTTCGATCGCATTTGGACATGGCAACCAATTTATTTTACATGCTCTGGATTTTGTGAGCAGACACCCACCTTCTGGCTAGTAATATTGTGCCCGTGGGGGGGGGGGGGGGGGGGGGCAGTACAGCAAGTAGGTTCACGACCGGCTGTCCATGCGATATTGAGCATTCTCCATTCACGTGCCTCTGGTTTCTCCTCACAACTCCCCTTTTTATGCAACGTGCATTAAAACACTCAAGGAATTGGTCCCACAGCCCAATCATTATCCCTCAGCGTCAGTTTTGAAGGCTAAATGAGGATTACCTCGTGTAACAATAAAAAAAAATAACAAAGGTAATTTGTTACACACAAGCAACACGGCTGCTGTTGCTGCACTGGCAGTAAACACAAGGCAGTAAACGTGTGTATCGCTATTTGGTGGTTCGCAGTAAGAATGTCATGGAGTGACGTGGATTATTCACTTCATAAAATGTCTCTGCTGTTTTGTACGTATTCAAATCGTTCAACAGAAAGAAACACAACTGAAATCGACAATTTCTATTTTACCAGGTAAGGCCCCTTGAACTATATAGCTTTTTATATATCAGAAGTGACCTAGCCACAAATGATCGCTCAACGAAGTGGCTTATCACGTTGAAATTTACAGCAGGAGCCAAATACTCCAAACGCGTGTTTCTGAAGTCGTCACAGTGGGCGTGGGGTTGGATCAGTAGGCAGCCCGAGCCACAGGTGGGGGTGGACAACGTTGGAAAGTTGTAGTTGTTGTGGAAAGTGAGCCCCCTTTTCTCATCACAAGAGGCCACGAAGCCACTGCCAGTCCCCAGGAGTGGCTTTGCTCAACGTGGATGGATTCCGAGTGAAATGCGCCGCTGCTACAGAACAAGGGTTCAGCGCCCATGTCACGCTTTGCCACAGCACGGACCGCATGATTAGGTGGCCGATACGAAAATGCAAAATTGTTCAGGGCACGGCCACGTTTTTCCACGTGGTTACAAGGCTTAAAAGAATAAATCCAGAAGACGGGTGCACAGCACATTGCTGAGACACATGCAGGATGTGTCTCTTTAGACAGTGCAACGTGTTTGAAACCGCATGATTGAAAACTGTGCACTATGAAAAACGGAGTATGGAGATGTGGCATCTCAAATTGGAACTTTTCACATCCATCAAGTGTTGTGTCCAACATAAAGGCTCTCAGTAAAGCAAGAGAGTGTGTCGGCGTCACTACATAAGCAAGAGACCACCTCTGGCAAATTTGAAAAAGTGCGTCAATCGATCCATCTCAAGGTTCAACGCAGGAAAGCCCAGACAGTTTCAACTGCATCAGACTGATGACACAAGTGTCGTGCTTCATGATAACTCTTCCTACAAAGTGATATTCTTATATTCTTAATTCATCATCGTGCTTCCCACCAAATTCCAGTTGCGATTTGGGATTTGCAATGTAAAACTGCAATTTTTCTTCATGACAGAAATATCCTTATCCGATATTTTACGACGAGTGTATCTATACACAACACTGTGGCTGCTTTCCCAGTCTCCTCTTTACCCAAAGGAGGTACCCAACTCAATTGCACATTCAGAATCCCCGATGAGGCAGCAGGCATCAGTGTGGGGTCGTCCCCGCACGGGATCCGTCAAGTGGGTCCATGAGGGGGAAGCCGTTTCTGTAAAGCGGATTCCGTTGCACCTGTATTTACGACTACACAACTGCTCGTTCATTATTAGTTGAGTCCCCACGAACAGTGTTATTGTGAGTAATCTGTTATAAATCCAAAATATTATATTTTTGGGGAAAGTGTGCTTTATGTGCAATATATGCAGTGGAATTTTTACGAATTAATGCAATAATAATATTCTATATATATTCAGGGAAGTCTCAGCAAGTTTCAGGAAGGTCCTGGCATTGAGAGATGTTTGGCCAACCCCTTGCTAACAACGTTTGCGAGAGCGAGAGAATAACCGAGTTGTGTGCAACGATGGTTTCACGAACCCACCTTGTCGTACGACCATCTTCTGGCCACCTCGCAGCTCAGCAGGGTTTGAGACTGAATACGAGAGATGCAAACCCCTGCCTCCCAAGTGCTGATACGAGGCGCATGCCACAGCACGCCTGGCAAACGGGCTCAGAACCCCTCCGGGCAGTGCGCGTGTGTGTAGGTGTACGCGCGTGCGTGTGTGCGCGTGGGGAAACGGGAATGGGGTTAAAAGAGCAGAGGACGGCGGGGGTGGCGGGGGCAAAGAGGCTACGCGATGATGCTGTAGACGCGGCCAAGTCGGCCGAGCCAGTCTCGCACGGCTTGGCGCACACGCGAGTCCGTCACGTGGCACGTCAGCTGGCTCAGGCTGGGGAAGATGGCCGGCTGCAGCGCAACGAACGCCGGCTCGGGCAGCCCCAGCAGCTGGTTGAGCAGCATGAGCACCATGTTGGTCCACGCCTGCGAATTGGGCAGCGCGCAGATATGCCGCGTCAGCAACCGTTCAAGGATAAGGGATTGCACGTACACAATGGGTGGCTTGATTGACTTCAAATCGGAGACTCAAAAGCGCCTCACACCACATCTCATCTGAACCACTCCAATGGCCATGCTGCAGTCGAGCCAAGGGAATCCCAAAAGGGGGAAACTGTCCATGTGTGGCTTAAGTTGTACACCCATCACCTGCCTACAAACGGGAATTATTCTGCCATTTAGGGTTTTCCAATAAAGTATTTAAGTTACCTGAGAAAGTATTTTTTTATTTTTTTCCAATCAAATTCCAGACGGTGATGCTAAATTATCCACTCACAGTATCAACTAGCGTGGTTCGCGAGGCTCATACCACAAACCTCTGCAACAAGCGGAAAATGCACGACACCACTTGGCCACGTCATCACCCACGACGACCTGTTGTGCATGGTGGTCGTGTATCAGAGCGCTCGTTGAATATGCATTGTGTATGTATGTTGAACTTCTTTCGCACCGTACGTAGCCAACTGTACTAATCGAGGGTGCCTTAAGGCCCCAGTGTGCGTGTCTATAAAATCGGTCAACCCTGCAACATTTGTTTAACGGGCCACACGCTACTATAAAGGAGGATCAGCGAAGTCAAAACTGGTCCAAAGTTTGCCCCGTTTAAATGAATAACTCCCCCATACATGAACTAAGAAAAGGGTCTATGTCACAGGGTTTCTGGATCGCTTGCAGGCAGGAGAGATCATCATCACCCAGCCTGCGCCGTATCCTTACTGGCCGGTCTCAGTCGTAGACCCCCTTTGACGCGCTTCTTCTGCGCCAGAGCCGCTCTGGGAGGAACAATGTTCAACGACCAGCTGCTATCCCCACTGCGGCCTTGTGGTCTCTGCTCCCAGTGTCCTGAGCCTGGCCTTTTCAGATCCATCCCTGGGTCTCGCAACCCATCACCAATATCATAATCGAATCGGCCGTGCTGCACACTTTTTTTTTACCGAGAGACTTGTGGTGCCCTCATTCATTTGTAACTCATGCAGACTGGCACATCGCAGTGACTCAATCCACATGCAACACCTACGCCAATCGCTTCCAGTCCTTTGTTCTGACTGCTCACCAAACGAACGTTGCACCCTCACATGACACCATTAAACATTCTCAAACCTTATAATCCTACCATCTCGTAACGACACACACGAACAAAGAGAGATTCAATTGACACATAAGTCTCAATTGCAAAAGAGCCTTGGATTACAAAACAAAGATTGCACAGTATATAATTACTTTCAGGCCCAAAAGGAATAACACAATTACTTGGTCTCCAAGGGCCTTGTGGTTAGCAGACCATTTTGTTTCAGTGATGAAGAAGATGCGTTCTCTGTTCGTCACCTGCCTATCTTTCTACATTTCTATATGTTAACATGTAAATATATACGTTTTATGTAATTATATCTAAATGTCGATCGCAAACCATTTGATTGTGAGCCACAATCTTATCTCACCAAGCAGAGCTCTCCCCGGCCAGAAGCAATACAAATCTATGAACGTATGTTGAACTTCTTTCGCACCGTACGTAGCCAACCGTGCTCATCAAGGGTGCAGTGAATGACAACAAACTAAATGCAAAAAGCAGATCTAGAGAAATTCGTTTTCTTTAGAACTGCTTTTTGTAATCAAATCTTCAACGACAGAGACCGTGTTCAACACTCTCGTTCCACCCGAGCCGGACTTCTCCCACGCCCCCTCGCCGCCCTCACCTGCAGCTGAGCTTCAGAGTCCCGCGAGGCTCCGGACGGAGAAGCCGAGCTCTGGCTCGCCGAGCGACTGCGCGGGAAGCGCTCCGAGCGCGGAGTCTCGGGGCCACTCGTGGACGAAGATCGCCTTGGGGGGAGCGGCCCCCCCTCGCCCAGCGGGCCCAGCCCCCCTGGGCCCGGCAGCCCCGCCAGGCCGGCGGGACGGACGCCCTCACACGGAGGCCCGGGCCCTGGCAGAGAGAAGGTTTCAGCGGTCGTAGCCGATTAGTGGAGCAGCGGTACAGGCGTCGAGCCGCGAGTGGGAGAATTGATTCGAGGGATGATTTCAGTCACCGAAATGTGTTCTTGCCCATCCTTCCCCTTCACAATAACCGTCAGGATGTGAATAGGACGAAAAAATGGGATAGCACAAAGAACAGAGACACTAAAAACGAAACGCAGCACAGATAAGGTAGACAATAGGCATTACCAAAGAGACAGCCACGTGTGAAAAGGGCAGCGAAAGTGATCCAGAATACAAAGATGACGCAATTGATTCAGACGGTCCAATTGACAAATGAAACCGACGGTGCAAATGTGAATGAGATGGTTCCAAACGATACAAATAAAAAATTAACAAACAAGACAGATGGTACAGACATGATGACCGAGGAAATACCAATCAAACTGGCAGTGCAAATGAGAAAGACAATTCTGACAGAACTGTACATACAGGAAAGAATGATCGATACAAAATGATTCTTGAATCATGACAATTCACCATATAATGACAACGCGTGTGATGGTGCAGGGCGGGCCGGAAGGTGGGGTACATGCCTCCTAGCGGGGCAACAGGGCCCGTCGTGCCCTCTGTCTGCTGCTGCGGCCGTGGGCTCAGCACCAGTGACGACCTCTGACCTCCTGTAGACTGACACGGGTTCTTCACTGAGGATCCATCTGTGGAGGAGGAAAAAGATCACCAGTGTACAAAGAGTGAGCGGTAGGATACTCAGCGCACGCCGTGTGTGGTGGTGGAGAGTGCGGCACTGTTTACACAAATACTACCCACACATTCCAATTGGATCTTGGATTTAATTGGCATAATTCACTCACCTAACCAGCCACTCGTTCACTCACTCACCCACCTACGCAGCGTATCAGTCATCCACCCGTCCATCCACCCACCCACTCACTAATTTAGTCACTCAAGCATCCATCCACTCATCCATCCACCTACCCATGTCCCCAGCCACTCATTCATGCACTTATCTATCCATTTATCCACCCACCTACCCATCTACTCATTCACTCATCAATTCACCTACCTACTTGTGCACCCATCCATCATTCACTCACTTATTCATCCACACACCCACCCACCTACTCACTAATCCATCCCTCTATTCACCCACCAATCCACCCACCCACCGACCCGTCAGTGTATATTGGACGTCGCGATGCTGGGAGGTGCTCACCTGCATTGGCGGCGGGGCCAGGGCGCGTGGGCTCGCGCACAAAGGTCGTCAGCGTGTGCTGCTGCTTGCGCCTCTTGTACTCAGCCACGAGCTTGCTGATGGTGCGATCCGTGGCCACTGTGTAGATCTTTCCGCCCGTGCTCTCCCACCACTCGCGCTGCTGCCGCCGCTTGCCGCTGCGCATATGTGTGCGTGTAGACACGGCAAAAAATAAACAAAGACAAAGATCCTCCCCCATCCCCGTATAGCCTTCACAGACTGTTGGGACAAGTGCTGTTAGCGAACACCTATGAAGGTCAGCACGGCACACGAGGGGGTGGATGGCCAGCATCACGCCCGGCCACCTTTGTCTTCCCAGGAGCGATGTTTACACACCGCACCAGGTACACAATTGAGGCCGAATCGATGTAGGTTAGATATTCGTCAGTGATGTTGGCCATGAGCAGCAATTGGATTCGGGATGCCAGGTTCATCGCGCAGGGCGCTAACCGCCACACCACAGCTCCCCACGCAAGTACACACAAACTCGTACACATACATTTGTGTGTTTTCTCATCAGCTACCGGCACTGCAGGCAACAACTCTTTTCTTTCTGTTTCTTCCATCGCAGAGCTCCACAGTTTGGAATTCCCTCCCCATCGTCTCTTTCCCCCCTCCCCCAAGTTCTTATAATAACCTTACTCAATTCAATAAATGTGTTACACTCTTATCTATAACATATCTAAGAGTGCTGTTTATTGTTGGCTGCTTGATGGGTAGAGCATTTGAGCCCTGTGCTCAGCAATAATTTTGACTATTTTATTTATTTTATTGACCAGATAAAAGCCCACTGAGCTATTAACACTTTTTCAGAAGCGTAATGATTGCTCAACATAGTGGCTTATCATGTGACATTCATATCAGCCAAATACTCTGAATGTGGAGGGGACAATGTGGAGGGGAAAAAGCGGAGGACCTGGAGAAAAAAATCCACGCGATCACCACGGGCAGAAAGAGTTGCTGCGAACTCGAAAATATACAACAGGCGTCAACACGGTCAGGAGGAAACCCATAACGTCCAGCATACCAGGTGCGGGCGATAATAAAAAACTCAAAACCATTATCACTCACTCTTTGTCGGCGTCGGCGTCGACGGCGCGGGGGCTCGTGGGCGGTCCACCCCCACCGGCTCTCTCGGCGTCCACCTCCTCGGTGACGAGCGACCGCACCGTGTCGCCCGACGAGAAGCTCTCCTTGCTGGTGGACGACAAGGACGACGCCGCGGGCTCCAGCGGGAACACGGGCAGCAGGAAGAGCGTCTCGGGCGCCACCGCGCCCCTGCCGCCCCCCCCCGCCGCCCCAGACACTCCGTCCCCGTCCGCGGCGCCCTCCAGGTCCAGGTGCATCTGGATGTACGTCTGGCAGAGTTCGAGGCACAGGCGGTGCAGCCGCTTCACCAGCCAGCACCAGTCGGCGTTGTTCGCGGGCTGCACGCCGAGGGAGGGCGCGCGCCGGTGCTGCGGCGTGACACGCGAGCCCACCCCGCGCTGCCGCCGAGCCGGCTGTGGCTGCGGTGGCTGCGGCGGCTGCGGCGGTGCTGCCGCCAATACGGAGAGTGGGGTCACCACGGTGGTAGATGTGGTGATGATCGGGGCTGCTGGTGGCTGCTCATCCTCCTCATCCTCCTCTTCCTGCTGCTGCTGTTGATGATCCTCGTCCGATGGAGATCCCAGGGATGAGTCGGAGCTCTCATTGTCCTCCTGAGACAAAGTCAAGAGTCAAAGTTGCTGTCCTGTGAAATGTGCATTGCTGCAAATGGTTCTCACGTCGGTAAAATCACACACATATTTAATCATCGTTAACTCTCGATTTTAATTGCATAAATGAAAAAAAATTTCAGTGTTTTTTTGGACAAATGAGTAAAGAGTAGCATTACATCCCAGTGGCGTCCCTGAGCTAAAGTGGTTAAAATTCGACAATTCCATGGCAGAAGCCAGTCTCTCCGTAGGACGATCACTGTTGACTTCACCACAATGCAGCGTGCATTTATTGACCCCGAGAAAAGTCTGGGTCAATCTTGGGACAAATGTCACATCACAAAACCGAGCCAGGTTTTTTGTGACCCGTCATTAAACTAGATCTGAGTGAAGCAAGTTGAAGGTCCGAGTCTGGTCACAAATCACTGCACAAAAAAACATCACGTAATATTTAGCTTCAAATAAGTTGGCAAATTCCATTTCTGAGAAACAAAATGTTTCAAATGTGTTTGCCGTGCAATAAAAAAACTTCTGCAGCAAGACACACGAGAGGGGGTGCGCCAACTTCGAAGCAGTTCTATGATGTCATTTTTCCAGAGGCCGTTCTCGATAATATAGGGTGACGAACTTCTTTCTGCAAGAGTTCCGAATAGAAATGCATTCATTTCATGACATCACACCGAATGCACTATTAGAATTGGGATATTGTTTTTTTAAACCATCAGGGGATGAATAGCTGAGTCAACTTCCGACCATGATTTTAACTTGATTGCAAAGATAATCATTGGTATTTATAGGGGGCTTAATTGCCTCAGCATATATTTTAAAATCAATAAACTCACGCTATTTTTATTTTACCAGGTAAGGCCCACTCAGATTATACAGGTTCTTTTTCAGAAGGAACCTGGCCACAAATAACAGCTCAACAAAGTGGCTTATCATGTGGAAATTTATAGCAGACAAATAATCTAAACGCATGTTTATTCTAAATGTTGAAGGGAAAAACCGGAAGACCCTGAGAAAAATCCACGTGACCACAGAGAAAACATGCAAACTCCAAATATACACGTGTCAGGGTCGGGATCAAATTCACGACCTCCTGCATACCAGGCGAGGGAGTTAACATCTCACCACCATTTCGATTTAAAGCTTTCGTGACTGCAGGGATTCATCTTCTTGTTTCTTTCGGTAAAGTCACGTAGAAGGGAAGTAATAAAATAATAAAAATAAAACATAATAAAACAATTCTCACGACGTTTCGGCTACAACGCAAGCAGCCGTCTTCAGGTGAAGAATGAGACACTACCAAACTAGGAGCTTATATATAAGCTGCATTGGGGGTTGAAGAGCGCCTTAACAAAAAGAATGTGCATGTGAAGAGGGATTTAGCATATTCATGGAAAATGCGTAGGCGTTGGGCGGGGGGGTGTCAAAGTCATATTATGCCCATGCATTATGCAGGATCAGCAGCAACCAAGGGGGTGCAGGGATTAGCAGTAACAAAGGAAAGGAATGTTAATGATATGTAGCTGCAGTTACTCAACAACCACGTAGAAAACTAAAGTATAAACTACATAAAAAAACTAAAGTATAAACTGCATCGCACCATCAGTATACTTACTATACTCTATAATAAGCTGAGTTACTAACAGCAAGTAATACATTACAATTTTACCTCGTAAAAATTCTATAATATGCTTCCATCTAAACCTTATTCTCTTACATCACACGAGCATATACCGTACTATATACTGCCATAGATAAACCCAACATTAAATTATATACTGTATTGCTGTAAACCAACCTATATCTTATACATTTAATATCACACTATGTATTATTCTACACACCCTAATGTGTATCGATACACATTAGGGTGTGTAGAATAATACATAGTGTGATATTAAATGTATAAGATATAGGTTGGTTTACAGCAATACAGTATATAATTTAATGTTGGGTTTATCTATGGCAGTATATAGTACGGTATATGCTCGTGTGATGTAAGAGAATAAGGTTTAGATGGAAGCATATTATAGAATTTTTACGAGGTAAAATTGTAATGTATTACTTGCTGTTAGTAACTCAGCTTATTATAGAGTATAGTAAGTATACTGATGGTGCGATGCAGTTTATACTTTAGTTTTTTATGTAGTTTATACTTTAGTTTTCTACGTGGTTGTTGAGTAACTGCAGCTACATATCATTAACATTCCTTTCCTTTGTTACTGCTAATCCCTGCACCCCCTTGGTTGCTGCTGATCCTGCATAATGCATGGGCATAATATGACTTTGACACCCCCCCGCCCAACGCCTACGCATTTTCCATGAATATGCTAAATCCCTCTTCACATGCACATTCTTTTTGTTAAGGCGCTCTTCAACCCCCAATGCAGCTTATATATAAGCTCCTAGTTTGGTAGTGTCTCATTCTTCACCTGAAGACGGCTGCTTGCGTTGTAGCCGAAACGTCGTGAGAATTGTTTTATTATGTTTTATTTTTATTATTTTATTACTTCCCTTCTACGTGACTTTACCGAAAGAAACAAGAAGATCTCACCACCACATCTCATCTCAATCTCAGAGGCCCAGGACGATTTATGATTCTTGCCAATGATGTGACGCACGATTGGGAATATAACTTAAGTCGTTGGGTTCGTAGCGCAGTGCGCTAACCGCTTACCTATGACAAAGATTCCTCATTTAGTCACACAGACAGTTGTGCTTAGTCTTGTTGGCGAGGAACCTATGAAGGCTTCACCCCTGACACAAGTGACACGAGGCACGTATACTAGCACCACCCTTGCTGATCTCATCAAGGAGCATAAACCATCATGCCAACTCTGGTCACCATCGCAGGAGCAGCTTTTACATTGAAAACTAATTTCTTCAGAAGTGCTTTTTGTGTTGAGTTTGTTGTCCTTCCCTTGCACCTACAATTAGCACGATCAGATGCGTATAGTGCGAAATAAGTTCAATATACAAAGATCCCCCATATAGCCTTAACAGACTATTGCTGTCAGCAAGCACATATGAAGGCCGGTACGGCACACAAGGAAGAGGGTGGTCAGTACCACGCCCGTCCACCGTCGTCTCCCCAGTGGCATGGCCGAGGTGTTGTCCGTGAGCGGGAATCGAACCTGGGTTGCCGCGTTCGTGGACACAGCGTGCTCACCGCTACTACACGACCGCTCCCCACATACACACACCAATACCGATACCCGCGATCCGCCACTTAAGCGACGGCGACGTCACTGCGGCGCCTGTGTAAACACACAAGACACGCAAACCCGCGTATGCACCTGCTCGAGCTCCGCCACGATGCGCTTCACTTGCTCGGCACTGAGGTCATCGCGCGCCAGCAGCTGCAGGGCGGCGAGCAGCGCCTGTCCGTACACGCCCAGGCTCATGGCCGCCTGGCGGTAGAGGTTGGCGGGCGCGCCCATGCCCGACACCTTCATGAGCAGGTACTTGAGGCCAGGCCTCGTGTCGAAGTCGCGCGCCGCTCGGTACGAGTCAAGCAGCAGGTCGAATACAAGCGAGAGGTTCAGCATGGAGATGTGGCGCAGGAACGGGGCCGATGTCACCACCTGTAACAGTAAAAAAAACAAGACAAAGATCCACCCCTCTCCCCCGTAAAGTATTTAACAGACTGTTGCGCTGCACGGATTTCCGAACCTCCAAGCAAAGGCTGCGGTAAACCTCATTCTCGGATGAGGGATGTTAACACACGGAAAACAAAAATAAAGAAAAAACGCCACTTTTTTCAAATTTTATTGCTGTGGATTTCACACCTGATGATGATTGCTTGTGTTGCAGTCGAAACGTCGTGAGAATTTTTATTGTTTAATATCAATATTATTTTATTATTTCCCTTCTACGTGACTTTACCGAAAGAACCAAGAATATGAATCCCTGCAGTCACGAAAGCTTTAAATCAAAATTTAAAGATTCCCTGTGAAGCCTTAACAGACTGTTGGGACAAAGTGCTGTTAGTGAGCACCTATGAAGGCCGGCACGGCACACCAGGGGGTGGGTGGCCAGCACCACGCCCCGCCACCTTTGTCTCCCTCGTGGCAATGTTTTTACACACCGCAACAGATACTCATCTGAGGCTGAGGACCAGTTAAGATATTAGTCACTGGTGTTGACCATGAGCGGGAATCGAACTCGGGTCTCCGTGTTCGTAGTGCAGCATGCTCATCACTACAACTACCGCACTCGCACACACACAGAGTTTGTCGTTGGGTTTGTTTTTCAAATAAATAATTTTAGAATCGTGGATACTGCCATGGCTTATTGGTTAGCGTAATGGACTTCCAGAGGAGGCCAGTTGGAATCTACTGATGGGGAAGGTGAAACAATGGACACATTTCTTAAATCAACCCACCACCTTTGTCCACCCAGTAGTAAATATAAATGGCTGAACCAAAGTTAGTTCACCTTGCAGGTCAAGTGCGGTGGGGTCAACTGCCGCCCCATCTACGTACAAGACGCCGGGCCATCGTGGTAGAGTAGGCCAATGTCACTAGAGGGGCTCTCTCGACACCCCCCCCCCCCCCCCCCCCTCTAGCGGACGCTGTTCTGCCAGTGGTGGAGTGAGTAAGCAATTGCAAGACTCCACCTTTACTTAAATATTGTAATTGTGCTCCTGGTGTCGTGTGCTAATGAGACGAAGACGTCTCTATTTGGTACGAGCAGAGGGCAATTGAACATCTCGTCAGCGAGCAGGCTCCACAAGTTGCCATCACAGAACTAGAGGCGGTCTCTGGTTTACGACAGTCCGATTTACAGCAATCCACACTCACAACGCCACCATGGATCAAATTACGACGCAGAAACTTATTTTACGATGCATATTCTGACATAACTCCGAATGCATTTGAACAGTCAGTCTGATTTCCAATGTGACTTGGCGTGGAGCTTTTGTTATTCTCAATTTTTTTTGTGAATTTTTACCCATTAAACCCCGTTCAATACGGCCGATAAAAGGATGTTTCTACTATCTATGGGAAAACAGGGTCTGATTACGACGATCCAATTTACGGCGGCGCATTGCTTCGTAAAAGCGGGGACCGTCTGTGCTTATAACTGCAGTCCCTTGTATGTATGTTGAACTTCTTTCGCCACGGTGGCAAGATGTTAACTTCCTCGCCTGGTATACAGGGCATGGGTTCGATCATCACTCTGATGCCTGTAAATTTGGAGTGTGCATGTTCTCCCCATGGTCACGTGGATTTTTCTCACACGTCGTCCGGTTTTTGCCTCCACATTTAGAATCAACGCGCAATTAGAATAGTTTCCTGCTGTCAATTTCCAGGTGATAAGCCACTTTGTTGAGGTATCATTTGTGGCCAGGTCGCTTCTGAAAAAGAACTACACAGCCCAATGGGCCTTACTTGGAAAATAAAAATAATAATAGTTGAGCCTAGTTTTAGTTTTGCACGTATCCAGCCATGCCTTTCATTCTCACTGCACTCCCTCGCGCGCCCTGTCGTAGACAGAGGTGCCCTTCGCATCGCAGCCAAAACCCGACCTGCAGCGGAGCCACCACGGAGACGGGCGAGTGATCGTCACACGAGCCATCCAGCGAGCGCGACCCCGAGCCCGGCGGTACCGCCGGCTCGTCCAGCAGCAGCAGCTCCAGCAGGTTCTGCAGCAGCACCTGGTGCGACAGCAGCCGCACCACGATGCTCCGGAAGGGAATCCTGCAGTCACGGTGAGGGGCGGGGGGGTGGGAGGGGCGTGCGTGTTGGCGTCAGCAGTCACCACCGGTTTCACGGCGGTCAATTTTAGCCCTGGCTAGGAGTCAGAACCCGGGTTGCCAGGTCCGTAGCGCACTACACTTACCGCAAAGCAGCTGCTGCAACCAATGGGTATAGCAAACGATCGATAGAATAATGATGTTCTATTTCCTTTCATTCTTGTATGACAGGAATGACAGGTAACGGGGGGGGGGGGGGTTGTTTTGCTAAAATTGTATCCGCTGATATAAAGAGATTAGAATTATGTAGGGACAGTGCCTTTTGAGGTTTTCTGTCAACAGTGTTCTCAGTGGGGAGAGACTGAGCTCCATCATGTAAAATATTAAATTTCCACTTATTTGTGAATTTTGGCTCAGAGTTACGAATGTGATTTGATGGGAAAACCAACTCTTTAACGAACGGGGAAACCTCTGACATATGAGAGAAACGGGTGTTGAATGCAGTGCTCCTGTACGGGTTTGAGTGCAGACATGGGCACATGCCCTGACAATCGGTCCACACGATCCCTGCCACTGCCAGGGCAAACCTGTCAGCCCAGACAGTGATTGCGGCCATCTGGCCAAAAACGAAGAACGTAACCACCAATGGCTGCTCCAAAACTACTTCCCTGATTATGGGATGAAAGAGGGTGGGGAGATGAGGGAGGGGCAAGGTGGTGGGGGGGGGGAGGACACGAGGAGGGGGAAGGGGGGTGCACGTTCTCAAGCCCTTACCCTATTTTTCTGTCCCGATGGAGGCAGCACGGAGCAACACAAACACAGGGTAAGTTCTTGACGACACGGCACGACACACACACAGACACGACTGTGGAGACATCACGAGCACGGGTGAAGCGATGGGGCTCGTGCGGTCAGACAATGGTGCGAGCGATGAGGAGGCATCGCCAACCGAGAACGCAGCAGCAGCAGCGGTCATTGTAGTACCGGTAATACATTGTGCTAATTCTGCTTGCACAGAATAGACAAATGGCAAATATTTATGTTATTTATGATAAAATCACTTCATTTAGAATATAACGGTTAGTTTTACTAGAAGGCAGATAAATCAGTCAGAAGAATGGTAATGTAGCAGCATAGGGGGGTGATATTTATTTCCTCTGAAAGGTCAGTGAAAAAATAAACAGCTCTTATGATGTAGGTACACTCCTTGGCTGCCTTTAATGTGTTTTTTTTTTAAAGCCATAGCTAAGTGACCGAGTTAAATGAGTCAAGTGCAGTGAGTTAAGCTAAGCGAGTTAATTATATATGACTGAGCTAAGTATATAGCAACAATCATTTAACTATTTTAGAACACTAATTTCGTGGCCAGTCTGATTATGTTTCTTTACTAGGTCAAAGAGCCCATTGGGCTCATGAGGCTGATGGACATACAATACATCTCGTCACAGTGGCGAGATGTTTACTACCTCGCCTAGTTTACAGCAGGTTGTGGGTTCGATCCCGAACCCAACGTTTGTATATTTGGAGTTTGCACGTTCTCCCCGTGGTCGCGTGGATTTTTCTCCGGGTCCTCCGGATTTTCCCTCCACATTTGGAAACATGTGTTTAAAGTAATTTGGCTGCTATAAATTTCCACGTGATGATAAGCCATCTCGTTGAGCTGTCACTTGTGGCCAGCTCGATTCTGAAATAGAGCTACATAGCTCAGTGGGCCTTACCTGGTAAAATAAAAACAGTTAAATAGTGTAGTATATAGGAGTAATTGGCCTTTGAAAAACCAGCTGAGATTTCTTGGCACAATATTTATTGACCAACCCCCACACTGACCAGAGATTTGGACATTTCTTAACGAGTTGTTTTTCTTTCTGAGTGCGTGGTAAGAAATCAAGAGTGCCTGCAGAAATTCCCCAAATAACAAGAGCCAAGACTGGAGGACAAACCCAGTACCCGTTCCAAGCGATGAGACACCGAAATTGACCTAACCTGACCCGACAGGTTACCATTTGGGTCACTGCCGATACAAGAATATATCTTTGACTCGTGCTGGATGCACACGGAAAACCGCACAAACAACACAGTAAAAATACAACGAAAAAGTTGTGAAAAACTAATATCGTGATGATCATGGTGTCCTTAATATCAGTATCGTGTAGTTAAAAATAATAGTATGACTGCAGCCCTAGTCACGTGACACAGAGAAGCCAAGGCAGGAGCACTGGGCAGGTCTGGGCACATCCATACCCATGAGCCCCGCGTATCTCCACACTACCCCGTGACAAAGTCTCCCGCTGTTGCTGCTGCATCAAAATCAGAATATTGATTGACACTGGAGGAATCCGATGAGCTATAAAGCTCTTTTTCACAGGTGTCCAGTAGGGGCACGGGGTCAGAACGTTATAGCTGCTGCTATAGCTGCTGCTATAGCTGCTGCTATAGCTGCTGTGAGCTGTAGCAGCGAAGGGGCGGTCCTCTCACCGCTTCTGCAGGGAGGCCCGAGTACCGGCGTGCGAGAGCACCTCGATGATGAGCACGCACGACTGTGCGTGCTCCAGCCCCTCCTTGCTGCTGGGCGTCTTGGCCACACATTGGCTCTCGAGCAGGAACACCTGGGGCCGGGCGCAGCGATCACAGTAGGGGGCAATCCGGATTAGGGCAGGTGTGTGCGTGTGTGTGTGTATATCTGTGGTCGGGCCTGGTACTGGCCACCCACCCCCTCGTATACCGTGCCAGCCTTAATAGGTGCTCGCTAACAGCACTTTGCCCCAAAAGTCTGTTTAGGCTATACTGGGGATATTTGTCTTTGTATATCTGTGTGTCACAACCTGTGAATGAGGAGCGGTTGTGTAGAGGTTAGCACGCTGCACTATGAACTCCGTGGTCCGAGTTCGATTCGTGCTCATGTCCAACACCAGTGACGATTATTTGAACTGGTCCTGGGCCTCGCCTAGGTCGACTCAGCCTCAAATGAGTACCTGGTGCAGTGTGTAATCATGGTCACTGGGGAGACAAAGGAGGCCGGGTGTGGTCCTGGCCACCCACCCCCTCGTCGTATACGGCTCCGGCCTTCATAGGTGCTACTCGCTGACAGAATTTGCCCCTAAAGTCTGTTGAGGCTACCAGGGGGATCTATGGCTTTGTTTGTATAGACGTGTGTGTGTCTGTGTGTGTTTCCGAGGTTGGAATGCCACCTGCTGAGCCATGGCGCGGATCCTCCAGTACTCGGCCTCGACGCTGTCCGAGTGGTGAGGGGCCGCCACCTTCACCTCGCACGCGTCCCCGCCGAAGCTGTCGGAGCCCGACTGGAAGCAGGAGAGCAGGTCCTGGTTGACAGCCAACGGCACGGGCGTACAGATACACACACACACAGAAAGAGATCCCGGGTGCAGCCTACACAGAGGGTCCCGAGTGCAGCCTACACAGGCTGTCGTGCCAAGTGCCGTAAGCGAGCACTAATGAAGGTTGGAACGGCGCACCAGGCGGTGGTGTGGCCAGGAACCACGTCCGACTGCCTTTGTCTCCTCAGTGCTGATGTTTACATATGTACTCATTTAAGACCGAGTCGTCTTATGAGAGGCCCAGGATTAATTTGGATATCTGTCACACACGTTGGCCGCGAGTGAGAATAAGACTCAGGTCGTTGGGTTTGAAGAGCAGCGCACTAATCACTTCCCTATCACTCCCCACACATTCATACGAAGACAAAGATCCCCCGTATAGCCTTTACAGACTGTTGGGGCAAGTACTGTTAGCGAGTACCTATGAAGGCCGGCACGGCACACGAGGGGGTAGGTGGCCAGCACCACATCAAGCCACCTTTTTCTCCCGAGTGCCGAAGGTTACACACCACACTCAGTACTCATTTGAGGTTGAGCCGACCTAGGGAAGGCCCAGGACTGGTTCAGATAATCATCACTGGTGTTAGCCATGAGGGGGAATCGAACCCGTGTCGCTGCGTTTGTAGCGCAGCATGCTACCTGCTACACTACCGCTCTCCATTGATACATACGGACGCACACTCGTGCACATTTGGACAAACAGGCACAATGACATGCACATAGGAAAAACATGCACACCGTGTTCATTATACACCCACACAATTTAGTATATTTATCCAGTGGTAATGCAGCCTGAAACTCGGTACTCATTCACTTGCAACTCTGATTTCAACGGAGATGAGGTGATGAGATCGGCTGGCTGTAGTGCAGGTGTCGAGTTCATTGCTGCATCGCTGCGCTGTGTGGGATGGCGATGGCCTTCACCCAGCAGTGGATTGAGCATGGCTGAAAATATATTTATGTATAACTTCTTTTGCACCGTACATAGCCAACCGTGCTAATCGAAGGTGTGGGAGAAGAACAACAAACTCAACACAAAAAGCACTTCTAAAAAAATTAAGTTTTCAATGTAGATTTAAAAGTGCATAGCTCCAGCAGCCTCCTAATATCGGAAGGAAGCGCATTCCAGACGGCCACAGACAACAAAAATTACGACGGCGACGATCGATTACGTATTTAATTTAGCAGGAAACCAGTTTTGACGTGGAGCGTGTGGCACTTGAGAGGTCCCAGCCAGGGGAGTGGTACCTTCACGGGCTGCAGCGTGGCTGCAAACGCATCCTGGAGCGCGGAGCAAGCAAGCTTCCACATCTCATCCGTGAAGACTGGACCCGCAGACACGAGTAAGTAGCTGCGCCACCACGCACCCGAGGGGGGGGGATGAGAGAGAGCAGAACACAGGGAAACAGTAGAAGACATCTTTATCAGGATGGCAATGACGAGCTCATTGCGGATAATCGTCACGGATGGTAGCCATGGCGGGGAATCAAACTCTATCCGCCGGGTTAGTAGTGCAGGGCACTGACCACTACACCACTGCTTCCCACATAACAACAGCTGCCTTTCAACACTTCTCCTTTTCGTATGGCTGATGTAGATGCAGAGGAAGAACTACAATTTCACATTCTGGTGGTCAAGCCAGACAACCATGTCAGGAGCAGCTGTGATGTCTCCTTCGTATTTGTGCATTGGGTATTGCAACGTTATACGTTCTACGGTCTGTTCTAGATGTCCACAGTCGCACGCTACTGGAGAGTTTTTAATTTTCAAGGTATCTGCATCTGCCATGGTTTGTGCAGATGTAGTTTCGGGTGGACCATGAGCTTCGTGGAAGATCAAAACCAGGGATGTTCTGTGTTGGGTCAACACTAAGTGATGGTGATATAACCACAGCGCTTGTGCCAGGAGAAGTAGACTACAATTTCAAGTGATGTGATGAAGGCTCGCTGGCAGGAGTTCACGGGACACCAAAGTGATATGGATTAACTGCTCTCCGTTGTGCCTGTTTGCTGTGCTCCCAAAAAAACACAAAAACAAAGATCATCCATATAGCCTTAACTCACTGTTGGGGCAAGTGCTGTTAGCGAGCAACTATGAAGGCCGGAATGGCACACGAGGGGGTTGGTTGCCAGCACCACGCCCGGCCGCATTTGTCTCCCTAGTGGCGATGTTTACATACCACACCAGGTACTCATTTGAGGCTGAGTCGACCTATGGGAGGCCCAGGAGCGTTTTAGATAATCGTCACCAGTGTTGGCGGGTGTGAGTGGGATTTGAATTCAGGTCTCCAGGTTCGTAACGCAGCACGCTAACCGCTATACCACCGCTCCCCACAATCTGTGGGAATGGAAAGCGGCCGCTGCTGCGGCTGTCTAAGTTGGCGGTTTCCACGCACCGTATGCAGGAGCAGCCAACGCGGGAGATGGCCTCTGCGGGCTCGGAGATGCAGGCGACGAGCAGGCGGAAGAGCTGGCGCAGCATCGCGCTCACCATGCCCTCAAAGCCGATCTCTGCAGCAGCAGCAACAGCCAACGCAGCGTACGGATACAGAATCAAAAACAATTATTTTATTCATTCCATAAGCCTATGTTAACATATGATTTGCAACATCTGAAAATATTGCTTCTTACCGAAACGATTCAATGCGTGGACCATGAGTATAAAGAGGAAATATTGATCGTTGCATCGATGCATCCTTACACTCACCCACCAAGTCCCTTCCCTGCTCACTCATGCAAACTCACCCCTTCCCTCACTCACAGTTTCTTCCCACTCACCGCTCACCCGTCCACACTCACCACTACCCTGCCCACCATCTACCCGACTCACCCATATATACTCACCTCACCCTGCATTATCATCTCCCCCATTCACCTATTTCTACTTAAGCCCTCCCCTGCCCACTATCTCCCTACTCATCCCTTCCACATTCACCACTCATCCATCCACACTCGCTGACGGTGCACGCACATCCACACTCACCGCCCCCCTAGCCAGCACCAGCTATAACTCCTCGCGGATGCTGGGATGGGGGGGCGGGGCAGTAGAGCTGTTGTGTGTGGCAAGAGGACACGATAACAGCGATTCACCGCTCAGGAGGAATATGGGGGGCCCTGCGGCCATCGAATGCCCCTTTGGTAGCCCAAAGGAACACTCAATGGCCACAACGCCGCTGCCCCCGCCCCCTACCCCTCCCGTACCACGTGCCCCACGCTCACCCATCTGCGTAAAGTTGTGCACGTGCTCCACGACAAGCTCAGAGCAGAGGCCGATCGCGTGCTTGAAGTTGGCGGCCGCCTCCTCCCAGTAGGCATGGCTGCTGTGCGAGCGCTGGAGCCACAGCGTCATGACGGGTAGCAGCAGGTGCGTCACCGCGTACATGCCAAACTTGGGGCCTTGTCCACCACGATGGGAGATAAGGGGGAGGGGCAGGGGGGCGGGGCGGGGGCGGGACGGGAGGGGCAGGCGGGGGGGGGGGCACGGCAGACGATACTCGTAACTGGAGCTAGGGACAGCTCGTCGGTCTTGATAGAAAGAAGAGGTTAGCGAGGTCAGGAGGTTAGTGATAATTTCAGGAGGTTAATACAGAGATACCTGGAGGCTATTAATACCCGGGAGGATGTTAAATTATGACAGTGATATCCCCGGGAGAGGGAGATACCTGGGAGATGGGCGACGGCTCTTAGCAGGTAGAAGAGCAGGCTCAGGGTAGGGGGCTGGTTCTGCCGAGGGCACGCGGACACCGCGGACGCCAGGTGCTCCAGCAGCAGGCTCCACACACAAACGAGGCCTGGGCACAGGAACACACACGAACATACGTACACAAAGATCGGCTGATAACCTTAAGAGACTGTTGGGGCAAGTGCTGTTAGCGAACAGCTACCAAGGCCAACTTGGCGTCGTGGATAGCACCATGCCTGGCCACCTTTGTCTCCCCAGTGGTGATGTTGATACACTGCGCTAGGTACTCATTCAACGCTGAGTCGACCTACGGCAGGCCCAGGTCCTGTTCCGATAGTCACCACTGGAGTTGGCCATGAGAGGAGAATCAAGCTTGGGTCGCCGACACCATATCGCAGTGTGCTAACCAGCGCACCACTGCACAAACGAATGAACACAAGGGCACACGCGCACACAACACGTCCCAATGGAGTTTCTCATAATGTTGGAGGCACGTGCTCTTAGTGAACGCATGTTTGTTTTTCAGCCATCTCCGGTGGCACAGTGGAGGCCAAGGAGCGGTTCCAATATTCGCCATCGTTGTCAGCCGCGAGTGGGATTCACGTCCAGGGGAGTCGCCCAGCCATGCAGGAAGCTTTCGGGGGCTCCAGGGAGGTATGAAGGGGAATCGGGGAGGGTCCGGTGGTCGTGGCGCGTTACCGGAGCCGTCGTCGAACTCGCCGGGCGTCTCGGGTGTGTCGGGGCTGTCCTCTGACGTGCCGGTGCCCGTCTCCGCGCCGTGCAAGGTGAGGCCGGCGAGATGAGCGCCGTGGAACATCGGCCGCGACGGCATCTCATAGATCTTACTCAGCAGCTGATACACACATGCAGACAAAACAAAGATAAAGATCCCCCCCACCGCCAAGTAGCCTTAACAGTCTTTTGGGGAAAGTGCTGTTAGCGAGAACCTATGAAGCTTGGCACGGCACACAAGGGGGGTGGGTGGCCAGTACCACGCCCGGCCACCTTTGTCTCCCCAGTGGCGATGTTTACACATCACACCAGGTACTGCTTTGAGTCAGCCTAGGGGGGAAGGCCCGAGACTGATTCCAATAACCATCACTGGTATTGACCTTAAGTGGGAGTCGAACGCGGGTTACCGAGTCCGTAGTTCGGCACGCTAACCACGACATACACACACAGTGGCACACAGAGATATACAAAGACAAAGATTCCCTGTATAGCCTTAACAGACTGTTGGGGCAAGTGCCATTAGCGAGCATCTCCGAAGGTTCACCCGGCATATGACGGCATGATCTGGCCAGACTTCTGGATGACTTAAATCTCTCGAATGATTCTGTTCACACAACACCAAGTGTCATTTAAATCTGATTCAATCTAGGGGAGGCGCTGGATAAGTTAAGATACCACTTTACTAAGTAGACGTAGCAAAATGTGCGATCCACTGCACCACCACGATGCGGCTGGTGCTATTGTCAGTTCTGCTGGGGTCTGGCCAGGGTATGGTTGTGGTCTGGCTGGGGCACCGTGATGGTGCTTGACACCCGTGGGTCGCCATATGGTAGATGTTAACTACTTCGCCTGGTATACAGGAGGTCGTGGGTTCGGTCCCGACCCTGACACCTATATTTGGAGTTTGCATGTCTTTCTCCCCGTGATCGCGTGGATTTTTCTCTCTCCAGTTTTTTCCTCCACGTGCGTTTAGAGTATTTGGCTGCTATACATTTCCACGTGATAAGCCACTTCGTTGAGCTGTCATTTGTGGCCAAGTTACTTCTGAAAAAGAGTGATATAGCTCAACGGGCTTACCTGGTAAAATATTCACTTTTTTTTTACGAGGTCTGGCCGTGTGATTTCGGCTGGGTTTAGGTGAGATGAACTGGGTTGGGCTGGAGATCTGGCAAGGTTGAACTGGGTCGGGCTGGATCTGGCATGATTTAGCTGGGTTGAACTGGGTCGGGTTAGATCTGGCTGGGTTTAGCTGGGTCGGACTAGATCTGGCTGGGTTGAACTGGGTCGGGTTGGATCTGGCTGGGTTTAGCTGAGTCAGACTAGATCTGGCTGGGTTGAACTGGGTCAGGTTGGATCTGGCTGGGTTTAGCTGGGTTGAACTGGGTCGGGCTGGGTTGGGCTGGATCTGGCTGGGTTTAGCTGGGTCGGACTAGATCTGGCTGGGTTGAACTTGGTCGGGTTGGATCTGGCTGGGTTTAGCTGGGTCGGACTAGATCTGGCTGGGTTGAACTGGGTCGGGTTGGATCTGGCTGGCTTTAGCTGGGCTGAACTGGGTCGGGCTGAAGATCTGGTTGGGTTTAGAGCAGCACCTGCGAGCACTGGCGGAGGTAGTCGAGGGCTGGGAGGCACAGGCCGAGTGAGGAGTATCCAGAGGAACCCTGGGCGTTCGAACATGACTCCCGGCCATCGCCCTCCCCTGCACGCAGTGATGGGACACGTGAGATTGTGTCCAGTGTTTCACTACGATACAAATGCATCACAAAGCACATCATCAGCTACGAACCAACACGAATAAGTCGGTTGTCAAGAGGCGTTCTCAGACGCAACGTCTCTCTGCCCAAACGAACACAGGGCGGCACTCATCTCTGTCGGCGATCCTGAGCATTGGGCAAATATGATGAGATTAGTATTTCTAGTCCCTGACGATTGCTGAGTTCCCAAAAAGTTTTACTCATTTTATTCACCCTATAGGAATGAAGGTGAGCTGAGTTGACCCCCAACCTTGACACGAATCACAAACTCGGGATTGCGAGTCCAGCGTTCTGATCATTTAGCACGGTTGGCTACGTACGGTGCGACAGAAGTTCAACATATGTACATACATATATACAAAGCGACACCAGGCCTTGAAATCCTGAACTGAGCATTGGGCAAATGTTATCGAGCAGGGCCCTTAACTGAAGATGTGTCCGCCCAGCGGTGCGCTCGTTGCCAAGTGGCAGCGGTGAACCCACCCAGGCCTTGCACGAACTTGATGAGGCAGAGGATGCAGTCGACAGCTGCGTTGGCAAACACCTGCACGCTGTCTGTGCTCAGGAACGCCTCGAACACGTCGAAGACAGGAGCCCGCGACTTCCCTGCGCGCACCACACAGACGCGGTCATTCAGTCAATCGCTCGCTCAGACGGTCGTTCAATCAGCCGGTCGTTTACAGGTACACAGGCTTAAGCAGGAGCGTCAGTCAGTATCAGAATATATATTTATACTGGAGGAATCCGATGAGCTATCCAGTTGGGGCACGAGGTAAGAACGTTACAAAAATAAAAACAGTACAAAAACATTATAGTGGTGCAAAGTACAATAAAGGTAAACAAATCACCCAAACACATACAAATACAACCAAACCATCCCCATCCTATCAGGCAAAGCCCACTGAGGTATTAACTTATTTTTGAGAAGCGAGCTGGCCGCAAATCATAACTCAACAACGTGGCCCATGATTCGGACATTTAAAGCACCAAAATAATCTAAATAGTAATAATCTAATAAATCCCATTAGTATCTATGGGACCACGGCAACACTGCTTTGGAGAGGTTTAAAAACAGTATTTGCAAATGAGTAATAACCACCCTCTTCTAAAAGTTAAAAGATGCAGCCTTGCATTTGCTTGCTCACTACTGGCAAAGGAGCCTCTACTAGGGAGCGATTTAGAGAGCCCCTCAAGTAGAGGGACTTTTTCCTTCTCTCCCCAAGCTGGCCAGACATCTTAAACAACTACGCTGGTTTGGTCGTCTGCGTGCGTATCTGGACGTTAATTTATTTACGGACCCGCCCAAACAGCTCGCTCTGAGTCGATGAAAATAAAACAGCCGGCAAAAAGCCACAGCTCACTTTGATTCGATAAAAAGAAAAAATTAACACGCCCGGAAGAGAGCGATAGCATAGGTTTGGCAAGGTCTGCGCCGCAGTGCTGCAGTGCACTGTGGGCGCAGACCATGCGCTGTGTGAGTGTGGTGTGTATGCAAGTGTGCGAATGGTAGTTACGCTAATATTACGTTTATTTATGTAAACAATGGGTGCTGCGTGCTGCGATTAGTGGAGTCCCCAAACACATTTACCTTACGAGTAGGCAGGGGTCGCTATACAGTAAGTCTTAGCGGACTGAGCTGGCAGCTTCACCTGCCGGGACCACGGCCAGTTGCGTAGCGCACCCCTACAGTTTCGCCCATGGGTCAATACCCCCATGGGTCAACCCAGCGGACTGTTTGATGGGTACAATGGGTACTTTTCGGTTTATCCGGCTTATTACCATTATTATGTATTGACGTTGATCACGTCTCCATGGACGACTTGCTGTCTACTTCGGTTGTGTAATTCAGATGTTGTGCATGCTGCTGCTGGTAAGGGCATGTGTTGCATCATATGCAGCATGTGTCCGCGTATCATGTTTGGCACGGATGCAGTTGGCGTTACTGTACATTTATCATGTTTTGGAGTGCCAATCCCATGCACTTTGAAATTTAATAAACTGTCAAAAAAGATTGCAGCCCGGCCCCCACCGCTGTCACTCTCTGGCCGTTGCACAAGCCATATCGGAATTTGCGACATGCTAAAACAATCAGTACAGTGTGACACCACCCGGGTAACTCCCGGGATCAAAATGGCCATGGGAAAGTGATCGCTTTATTGAGATGATTATGGTACTACCACAGGGTATTGTGAACGGTTCAGGAGGAGGAGAGGTCTGGATTTCTAAGTCTCACAGTACCGGTAAGAAGCGCCGGGTGGGGGATGCCCTCCACTGGGGTACAAATTCTGTCATTATTAGTATACGATCATGCTATGTTTCTATCTGCAAGCTGTCATAACTCAAACGATCCCCGTTATTGTTCGATTGAGAAATGGAGTGACCCACACCTCTGATATCATATGTGAGGAACCCAAAAATCTGATGTATGCGTAAAACACCCACAATGGGAATACGTAAACGTAAAAACACCAACAAATTTTTTTTTATAAGAAAAAAATAGGTGGCCCCATAACGGATTTGTCTGTGTGTGTACATACAGACGGAGGATGCAGGGGCTAACCTGTGTGCGATCGGAACGGTGCAATTTCTGACCAATGTCACTGTGGATGGCGCACACGCTGACGCACACCGGAGCTGTGTCTTTGCCATGCAAGGGCATGGTGGATGGTGGAGCGCATATGGATGGTGCGTTACGAATAAAATTAAACAAAACAAACCGCTGGAAGCAGCCATGCGAGCAGGCTACCTTGGGAGCGATCGCGAATGGGTTGCGTGTCTGGCAGAAGCCTCGCTCATTCAGATGCCGTACCAGCTTCGTCAACTCTTCGCTACCATTCTGCTGTATTCCATGCCAGCAGATACCAAGGCTCTCTGGGATAAATTCTACGACGAATTGGCTCGCGATTACGAGTACCAGTACCGCCAGCTGACCAACAAAGAAGAAATGCTAAATCTTCTTGGTTCTTTCGCTAAAGTCACGTACAAGGGAAGTAATAAAATAAAAAAAATTTAACATAATAAAATAATTCTCACGACGTTTCGGCCACAACGCAAGCCGCCGTCCTCAGGTGAAAACCAGGTCTGTCGAGGCGACAGCGTCTGAATGAAATAGCACACGTGCTTGGAGCATATATGTAAGCTGGGTTGGAAGGGTGGGAAAGGGCGCCTTGACAAAAGAATTTGCATATCAAGAGCAATTTAGCATATTTATGCGAAATGCAGGTATGTGATTAGTACTACTTATGCCCGTGCATTATGCAGGATTAGCAGCATCAAAGGGAGGGGATATGGGAAATGCAGGTATGTGATTAGTACTACTTATACCCGTGCATTATGCAGGATTAGCAGCATCAAAGAAAATAAAAAAATAGTAAAGTTCAAGACCCTTCACAGCCTCCACGAGTTCCTCACGGCAGGTGGGATGGCTCTGTCGGACTTTTACGACCTCCCGCAGCTTTCCGAGTACCCACACTTGGTCTTGGACTCGCTGCTTGAGAACAACCATATCCGCCGCGAATTGGACACGAAGGACTTCCCATTTCGACTTCGGCGCAAACAGTTCCCCATTGTCCCAGCCTTCGCGATGACCATCAACAAGGCGCAAGGGCAAACTGTTCACAACCTGGGATTATATCTACCAACTCCATGCTTCTCGCACGGCCAACTGTACGTGGCACTATCGCGAGTCACGGCAAGATCCAACATCAAGGCGCTTATTGAGGGACCTGACGACGACGAGGAAGACGGAGTGTACACGAAGAATATCGTGAATCGCCAGATATTTGAATAAGTTGCATTATATATTTGATTAAGTTGCATTATTGAATAATGTCGATTGAGCGTCTCATTAAAATACATAAAACCTCACAAAAATAAACATACAACAATCACCAAAACATGTATATTGTGTCCAGCCACTTTCAACTCCCCACCAACCAAGTATGTACACACCGCCCGCGAAGCGGGCGGCAACTGCTAGTCTTGTTAGTGGTGGGAGTACACAAACTCCACCACGCCACACACAAACTGCTGATCAATGCACCGTTGCCTTTGTAATGCAGTGCGCGATTGCTGCTTTGGAGAGGCTTGTGAATGTTATTTGCGAATAAAAACTATATTAGTTCCTGACAAAGGAATTAAATTGACCACTCCTTTCTATGCCAGGCTATTAACATAGTCTATCACCCCTAGTTGGCCTCATTTAAGCTCTAACCTTTGTTCATTGATTCCTAGGCCTACTGTTAACATGCCTCTCCCAAATATTGAATCACCTTTTGTCATAATAATAACCCCAAGAGAATCATATTCCACCTATATTTGGCAGAAAAATGGGTATACTGGTCATAATAACTATCTGCATATGTAGCCTTTATGAACCTAAAATTGGCAAAAACTCGTGTGAATGTCAATGCACCAACACATGAATCAAGCCCCAAATATCTGCTCACTGTCTCCCAGGCCAAATATTAGCCAGGCCTCCCTCAGGCCGATGTCCCAGGCCGGCGCATGGCTTCACCATCATCATCATCACGATCCATGTGCAGATGGCACGTAGGTGTCCACGACACATTTGCTCATTTGTTTCCACTTTCCTCTGTCTTGTGCCAATATGTTCAAGTAGTGGCCACATCTTTCTGGCACCAATCTTTGATGTCGTCATCAAGCCATTCTCTGTTAGGTCTTCCTCTCTTTCAGGTTCCTTCCATTTTTCCTGAACAACGCTTATCATGAACCTGTTGTTGTCCATCCTACACAGGTGGTGTCCAAATAGTGCCACGGTTTCCTTCTCATGTCTGCATCATCGGGTCCTTCTTCTACACGCAACCTTTTCCTTAACTTCTACGTCGAAGCACGGCTTACCCATGGTGTATTCTCCGATGAGGTACTCCTTGGCGTCCGGCCGGCTGGCGTGGACGGTGCGCAGGGCCCCAAACAGAGGCCTCCACCCCGATTGGATGCGCGAGGCGCAGGCCTCGACCAGTTCCCCAATCGATGTGATCACCTGCGGGGGCACGCGTGGAAAGGGCCGGTGTGCCACAGCGGGTGAATGGACAGCGCGAGGGAGACACGTTTCACCCTTTCCTATTCCGTGTACGTCATCGGTTTTTCTTCCGATTCTGGTCCGAAAGCGTACACGTCTGTCATCGGAATGTAGTCGAAATAACGGAATCGGAAGAAAAACTAAAATAAAATAACTTCATCGGTACCGAGGCTCCCACTCGGCCATGCGGGAGGGCGTGTGGCATAGTTTGGCACGAGCTATCGTAGACTGCGATCGTGTTGCGACAATTCTTTGCGGTGAGCACGTCTTTAAAAACGTCTCTACGCCTTTCTAAATAAAGTTAACATGAACAGCTTGCGCATTCCGCGATTCAGTGGTGAACGGGACACCCACCCAGCAACTTGTAGACGTATCGGTAAAGGTTAAGTTTCAGTACTGTTTGGTTAAAGTGCAGATATTTCAAGGGCAAAGGCAGTCGAAAAGCAAAATGTACCACCCACAGAACGTAGACCAAACAACTTCATACATATGAGGGCGCCGCGGCAGCGAGATGTTAACTACCTTTCTTGGTATGCAGGAGGTCATGGGTTCGATCCCGACCCTGACACCTGTATATTTGGAGTTTGCATGTTACTCTCCCCATGGTTGCGTGGATTTATCTCCCAGGGCTCAGCATTTATAATAAACATCATGCTTTTAGAGTAATTGGGCTGCTGTAAATTTCCACATGATAAGCCCACTTCGTTGAGCTATCATTTGTGGCCAGGTCGCTTCTGAAAAAGAGCTGTATAGCTCAGTGGGCCTTACCTGTTAAAATGAAAAGTGTAGTTTTTGTATTATATGTTGGAAGCTCATTGTCATCTTAATCAGCCGTGATCGATCCACTCCTGCCTCACCTGGTCCTGCACGTCCTCGTCGCACAGCTCCAGCTGCATGATGTGCTGGAAGGGCCGAAAGAGCGCCTCGCCCATGTGGAAGTGGGGCAGCTCGCTGCGGCTCGACAGCACCTCGGTCAGGATATCGTGCAGGAAGGAGACGGCTTTCTGGGATACGTGCCGCTCCTTGTGGCAGGCGGCCTGGGCACACGGTGGCGACGCAAGGGAGCACCGACGACGAGCAACAGGGAGCAATAAGTGGCGTGCGCGATCGGTCACAGCGGCCCTTTCGTTAATCCACTGCCAAACAAGGGGCCTCTGCGCACCGTGCAGGTCCGGGGAGAGGTATACGGCCATACTTCACCACGCTGATCATTACGGGTTGGAGAAGGTGGAGAGCATAAATGCGAGAGTGTAGAGGTACTGTACAGCAAGAGATTGTGATCCTTCCACTGCTCACTATTTAGCGTCACTGCCTATGGCACCTGTTGTTCATAGTAATCGCCCATCTAAGCACTATCCAGGTTCAACTTGGCTTAGCTTCCAAGATCTGATGAGGTCCGGCACATAACAGGTGACAGGCAGAAGAAGTAGCAATAACAATAGTGCATGTTGTTTATTTACTTCTCCATGTAATTGTCACCAAGCTGCAGAACTCCTCGGGAGGGTCCTGCATTGCGATGTTTTGGCCAATTTCTTCGCAACGTTTTGCATGTGTGGTAGAAAACTAACATGCACAGTGCCACAGTCGCCAATCTAGCGTTCAGGGAGATGCTTCGAATGGCGGTCTAAAACCCGGCCTCGCGAACCCGGCCTCGCGAACCCGGCCACGTGAATGGCGACGAGGCACAGCAAGCGGCGCTCACCTCGACGAGGTGGGGCGCCACCACGGCCCATGTGCGGAAGAGGTGCAGCAGCGGGCGTCGCGAATCGCGCACCACACGCAGCATCGTGTCGCCCAGCCGGAAGAGGTGCAGGGCGCTGCGGCGGCCCTGTGTCGACCTTGCCACCCCCTCGGCACAGCACAGAACTGTGATGGGGGGGGGGGATGGGTGGTGGGGGGGTGCGTGGGGGGCACACACAGACGGTGACCTCGTTGCAAAACGTGACCAGCTGGCGCAGAGATCGCAGCCTCATCGTGTGGAATGCTCGAAGGCACCAAATCGAGAACCTACCACCTCGGGCTCGACCCTCTAAGCGTGACCTGAAAGACACATTTACGTAGCGTGCGAAAGAAATTCAACAACATATGTACAAACTGAAAATCAGCACGATTTTGCATTGCTTAAATGACTTCCGCTTACACAGGGAGTGTCTCGGGCAAGTGAGGGAGGAGCAACAATGGGGTAATCTAAAATTAAGATAATCAAAGCGTTTAACAACCCATCGATTAATAAAAATTAAATAGATTCGTACACTCGTGATAGGTGCATCGAGAGCCATGCTTGTGAGAACGATCGTTTACATTCGTCCATAATAGAGGTTTTTGGGTTAGATCGCGTAAATATGTGTCGTTAAAACCCGCCAACCACCTGACACAGCCAAATAGTCAGGGTTGTCACGTAAACAGAACGTGCCAATTCGCCACTAGTACAGCACACCGGTGTGTTGGGGAGCCAAGCCACAACATTTACAAACTGAGTACGATGTTTTGCCAGTAATTACAACTAGCTTCATCAGGCGACAGCCAGATTTGTGGAGAAGTCTTACTGTTTTGTTCCTTATATAGAAACATAGATGTGTTGACCACCCTTCTGCGCTCTTGCACAATGATGACCTTCCTGTCTATTGTGTTTATTAAAATAGCCCTACCAACGGTAATCCCTATTGAAGTACGCTGCCCTTTGTAGGCATACATTTAAATAATGTATTATTTGATGATTCGCTTCCATGCAGCACTAAGACTGTAGCTATCCGAACCGTTAAAGTAATTTTTATTTCTTTAAATTTCGATAAGATTCTGTAATTAGTCTTGGCCAGTAATAGCTAGTTTTGCACAAAATTTCAACATTATCAAAATCAATTGAGTGTCCTTGTTGGCACGCGTGTTCTGATATTGCTGACAGTTGCATTTGGGAGAATTTAATATTTCCCTGATGTTCTTTGTGTCTCGTGCTCATAATTCGTTCTGTTTGCCGAACATAACACTTACCACACGTGCAGTTAATCATGTACACTCCTTCTGTTGATAGCTTCGGTAATACATCTTTTGTACCAGTTATAAAATTTTGTATTTTATGTATCGTGCCAAATCTGACTCGGATGTTTTGTTTTTCCAAACATCTGGATACTTTATCAGTTACTCCCGCAATGTACGGTATTTTGATCGTTTTAATTACATGAGAAATTTAAATTCTCTTGTTATTTGATTTGGTTTTGGTATCCAATGCCTTGTTGATTTCTGCAACATTGTAACCGTTAATTTGCAGCGCTTCTTTAACATGCTGAATTTCACTTCTCATACTGTCACCATTTGACTTAGCTCGATGAATGAGCGTCTTGATAAGAGCAGATTTCTGTGCGGGGTGATGGTGTGGCTCTGATTCCAAAGAACACAGGATGAGATGTTACTATCCTTAGTGCAAGCACTTCCAAGAGTTCATGAACAGTGAGCCTGGTGAAATTTGGGGAGCGCATCGTCAGTAGTGAACCTTTGGTTCCTAGGGTGTTTCGGCCTTTCATACTATACACCCTCCCCAAAGGCGGCCAGCGACAGGGTGATCAATCCTACGCTTGCGTCCCATTCCCAATTAGTCATAGGAGTTGCCTTGTTGTTGATAGCCAACATCCCATGGGACTATGCATGGCAGGGGTGTCCTCCTCCCTGAGTCAAGCATTGTTGACTGCATACCTCCTGGCCCTCTCACTTTGGGGCCCAGCTGGGGTCTTTCCTCTTCATCCAGAGCCACTGACTGCTGCCTTCTGCCGCCTCTGATACAGCTCTGATTGCCGAACGCTGGCTCTGGCCCTTAATTCCCAGGTCTCTAAGCAGTCTGGTTGTAGATGTTGCCACAAAACCTCTGCAGCCCACCTCCACTGGTCGGACTTCTGTGTTCCAGCCATGATGCCGTGCTTCGGCAGCTAGATCGGCATAGCGCAGATGTTTTCGCTCATAAGCCTCATCTACTGAGTCCTCCCAGGGTACTGTGAGCTCAATGATGAAGACCTTCTTGAGCGAACGGGACCAGAGCACCATGTCAGGTCTTAGGGTGGTGGTTGCGATCTCCGGAGGAAACACAAGTTGCCGGCCAATGTCAGCTAGCATTTTCCAGTCGCGGGCCAAGCGCAGCTGGTCTCGCTCTATTGGTGTAGAGCCGCTCTTCGGTGGTTTAGCCCCTTCGCGGACAAAGGTCGTCCGTAAGGGGTGTGATGCTGCTGGGGGTGGTAGGGAGTTGGTGGCAGCTCGCTTGTCCTCCAGGGCGGACGCAAGGTTTTTAAGGACTTGGTTGTGACGCCAAGTGTAGCGTCCTTGGGTGAGGCTTGTTTTACACCCTGTGAGAATGTGCCTGAGGTTGGCTGGCATGGAACAGAGGGCACAGTCCGGATCTTCACCATACCATTGGTGAAGATTAACTGGTGTTGGAAGGACGTCATATGTTGCTCTGATGGAAAAGCTCAACCGCCTCGCTTCCATGGCCCACAGATCCTTCCAGCTGATCTTCCTCTTCTCCACACTGTCCCATCGAGTCCACTGTCCCTGTTTGGCAAGAGAGACTGCCTTGGCCCACCTTGCAGCCTCCTCCTGATGGCGTACTTCCTGCACTACCATCTTCCGCCGCTCTGGTGCAGTGGCCTTACTCCAAGCAGCACGGCTAGTTAGCCCAAGGCCTCCTCTCCCTTGCTGAACATGACCCACAATGTCAGCATGTCTGAGGGCTGCTGTTGCCTCCTGGACTGCGTTTCCTGGCCTCCATTTGCGCCCAGTTGCCAAGGTCGGCGCGTTGTTGCTCACCACTGGGTATCCAATGCCTTGTTGATTTCTGCAACATTGTAACCGTTAATTTGCAGCGCTTCTTTAACATGCTGAATTTCACTTCTCATACTGTCACCATTTGACTTAGCTCGATGAATGAGCGTCTTGATAAGAGCAGATTTCTGTGCGGGGTGATGGTGTGGCTCTGCATTCAGATAGGCGTCAGTATGCGTTTTCTTTCGGTAAACACTGTCTGTTATTTTACTATTTCTACTCCGTCCGAGCAGAATATCCAGAAATGGTAGAGTTCTGTCAGCTTCCACTTCCATGGTGAACTGGATGGATGGGTTTTGCGAGTTGAGATGATTTAGAAATGCGTTGAGTGTATTTTTGCCATGTGGCCAGACCACCAATGTGTCATCCACATATCTAAACCAAGCAGATGGCTTTAGAAGCTATTGCTTTTGTTTCAAAATCTTCCATGTACAAATTTGCTATCACAGGAGACAAAGGGGAGCCCATTGCTGCTCCTTCCTTTTGTTTATAGAAGTCACCTTGTCACAAGAAGTAGGTGTTCTTTAGACAGTGTTCAGCTGGTCTTGGGATATCTTTGGCTAAACCGTTGTTCGTTACCAGAGTGTCGAGTAATTGAATTGACTCGTTGACCGGAACCCTCGTGAACAGATAGGTTACATCAAAACTTACGAGAATATTATTAGGATTAAGCTTAATATCTTTAATTATATTTACGAGATGTTCAGAGTTTTTGATGAACGAAGAGGTCGTACCGATTAAGGGCTGTATTTGTTTTGTTACATATTGTGCTAATTTGTACGTGGCAGAGCCTATTGTACTAACTATGGGTCTTAATGGGACATTAGGTTTGTGAATTTTTGGTAGCCCATAAAGTCTTGGTGGCTTTGAAGCCCTTGGTTTGATCAGGTATTGCTCTTCCTTGGGAATTGATGACTTGGCAATGATTGCCGTTGTTTTACGTTTCAAGGTGCTGGTTGGGTCTCGTTTAATTTTAAGGTAGGTACCTTCATCGAGTAAATCTTTAATTTTATTATCGTAGTCCTCACGGGGCATCACAACAGTCGATTGGCCCTTATCAGCAGCAAGGAATTGGATATCTTTATTTGCTCTCAAATCTCTTAAGGATTTTGCTTCACTGAAGTTAATATTTGATTTTGGCACTTTGCTGTTCTCAATAATTTTGGCAACCTCGTGCCTAGTCATCTCAGCTTCATTATGAGGGAGATGTCTAACTTCTGATTCCACTTCAGCAATTATCTCATCGACAGGGATTGTACGTGGGGCAACAGCAAAGTTAAGACCTTTAGACAGGACTGAAACCATATCGCTGGATAATTCAACGTTAGTCATGTTGATAACCGTTTTGTTTAGTTTAGAGTTGTTTGTTAGTTAGTCTAGCAAATTTGTTAATTTGGGTAGTATTAGTTTGGTTAAATACATTATCAGCTGTTTGCTGTGTAATTATGTCGAATATATTCCAGTGATCTGTAGAAACACTGTTACTCATTTTTACGTGTAAGGACATCAGTGATTTAGAAGTGTGACTTAGTTCACTTCTATTATGCTGTATTCTCAATAGACAGGAAGAGCAAGTTCAAAGGGCTCGCATAATGCTCATGCATAATGTACGTTGCCTCAGTAACCCCCCCCCCCCCACATTGTGCAAGAGCGCAGAAGAAGTACGCCTTTTGTCGTCCTCTGGTCTAACACCGGTTGAGACGAGGCTCGAAAGAAAGCTGTCTCTGGTGTGGACCAATCAGTTTCAAGGACAATGCTTATATTATCAGAGTATGTTTTTTGTTTGCATTCTAACCACAAGTATTGTGGTTAATGCAGACATGATTCCTTGTAAAAGGTTTCAGTTTGGTGTTTTAACATCTTAACACCTGTTTTGTTGCCAGAAAAAAGGGGAAAACCTCTTCTCGGCGCAAAAGGGTGGTCCAACACATCTACGCCTTTATATAAGGAACGAAACAGTAAAACTTCTCCACAAATCTGGCTGTCGCTTGATGAAGCTAGTTGTAATTACTGGCGATACGTCGTACTCAGTTTGTAAATATTGTGGCTTGGCTCTCCAACACACCGGTTAGTCTTGTACTAGTGTAGAGGTGTAATTGCGCATGGCTACGAATGTTGAGGTGTGATTATGCATGGCCACGGATGGCCAACAAACACAAGGGGCGGGGTTATGGCCGTACACAAGGGTGGCGCTCGCACCGACGTCCGAATGTGCATCCCCCACGGGCCCCCCCTCGGGGGGAGTCCTATAAAAGGTGATGAGCTCGAGGGCTCGAGGTCGGGACTCAGCTTTAACCAGAGAAGACGGAAGACCTGCTAGTGTAGGCCCCAGAGCTCCCCTGGCTCGCTGTCCTTATAAGGGCCGACCAGGGCAAGCCGGTGGCGTGGCCCCGAGAGCCCAGACGAAGCTGGTCTGGTGACTCAGGGAGCCGGGATCCCAGCTTAACCAAGCTGGGACAGATAGCCTCCCCTAGTCCCGTAGTGGAGGAATTGGTATAGGTTAGAGGGGTTAGCTGTCGAGAAATCCCTGTAGCCCAGTGACCTGTAATAACTGTGTTGGTGTAATAAATAAGTGTGCCTCCGATCCTGTCGTCAAGCCTCCATATACTTACTACACTAGTGACGAATTGGCATGTTCTGTTTACGTGACAACGCTTACTTAGTCGCGAAAGCCTACGTGTTTACATTCGTGTATGTTAGTGTACATTGTGGAGAAAAGTCAATGTTGCACAGTGTGGTCTGTTCCCCGTTCTTTGGCTGCTGAAAGCAGCCCGATGCCACGGTGGCCGTGTGGGCATGAGGGCCGGTACCTGGCATGGCGAGGGCGTAGTCAGTGCTCTCTGCCACCGAGTCGAATAGCTGGGCCTGCGACGCGCGACGCAGCTGCTGCAGGAAACCGACGAGGGCGGCCAGGTTCAGCTTGTACGCCGCCTCCTCAAATAGCCTGCCACCAGCCAGCAGCACAGACGAGCACAACCGTCGTACGGAGCGGGCAGGGGTGGCGGTGATGTGGCCCCGGCGCTACAACATTTAGGGGCAGCAGGGGTGGGGGGGGGTTCGACCCCCCGTGGCCACCCTAGTTAACACTGTGGGTGTATTGACCATAAAATAAACGTGCCGTCTGCTTCGCAGGTTACGTTGAAGAGGGGAGTGGGGGGTGGAGGGGGGTGACCAGTGTGAAAATAAGTATAACACATAAAAACTAAGTTTTTCACTATAAATCCTTTATATGCGTGGCGGCTAGAGTCCTCTCGTCCTCTGGCTTGAGATGGCTGCCACCTATGGGTCAGATGATTGTCTGCCAGTATTAAGCAATTGGTAATTAAATATTTAATTTGTTTTCCCTAAACAGTGTAAAATTTTGGAAAAACATTTTCACGAACATTAATTGGCTCGCACAACGAGTCTGTGTGCAAAATGTCAGCTCGATTGGGTCACGGGAAGTGGGTTAAAAAACGACCGAAAGATTTGCACGGTCGTAAGCAAGCAAGCAAGCACGCAAGCACGCAAGCAAGCAAGCAAGCGAACTTAATATAAAGGATTTTAAAAAAGCAATGCTGATGTTCACGCACATTACGAGGTGTTCATTTTAGACCGAGTAAACCTACAGGCATCCAAGACAGCTATCGCCTGTCCACAAATGCACAAAGATTCTCTATGTACTCCTTAAGACTGTAAACTGCAGGTGCCGTTAGCCAACACCTGCCGAGGTTGGTATGGGGTACAAAGGGGTTGGTGTGGCCGGTATCATGCCCAGCCACCTTTGTCTCCCTAGTGCTGGTTACGCACTGCTGTAGGTATTCTAAACAAAACTATTTTACTCATCAGGTAAAAGCCCACTGAGCTATTAGCTCAGTGGGCTTTTACAAATGATATCTCAACGAAGTAGCTAATCATGTGTAAATTTATCGCAGCCAAATAATATAAAAGAATGGTACACCGTGCAGGCCTTAATGTACATATGTATGTTGAACTTATTTAACACCGTAAGAACCCAACCATGATAATCAGAGGTGCGGGGGGAAGGACAACAAGCTAAACACAAAAAGCAGTACTTTAAGAAATGAGTTTTCAATATAGATAGTATGTGTGTTGGCTAATAGCGCTTGTCCAAACGTTCTGTAAAACATTTTTAACACGGGAATCATGGCCTTTGTGGCGCAAGCTTACGACTGCCCGGGGCTGCCTCACCGGTCGACCTCGGTGGACAGGCTGCAGATGACCTTGGCCATGTTGGCCGGGGTGAGGACGCCTCCGTTTCCCCCAAAATCAAAGCTGCCGCGGGGTCTCACGGCGTTGTCCCCGATCAGCTCCTGCACGCTCGGGCTCTGACGGGCGGGAAATCATTCAGTTTAGCATGGGGGAAGTCTAACATTCAATCTAGCATGGGGACAGTCTAACATTCAATCTCGCATAGGGACAGTCGAACATTCAGTCTAGCGTGGGGACATTCTAACATTCAGTCTAGCATGGGGACAGTAACAATCAATCTAGCGTTGGGACAGTCTAACATTCAGTCTAGCGTGGGGACATTCTAACATTCAGTCTAGCGTGGGGACAGTTTAACATTCAGTCTAGCGTGGGGACATTCTAACATTCAGTCTAGCGTAGGGACAGTCGAACATTCAGTCTAGCGTGGGGACAGTCTAACATTTAGTCTAGCGTGGGGACAGTAACAATTAATCTAGCGTGGGGACAGTCTAACATTCAGTCTAGCGTGGAGACAGTTTAACATTCAGTCTAGTGTAGGTACAGTCTAACATTCAGTCTAGTGTGGGTGCAGTTCATCAGTCTAGTATTCGGTCAAATTAACATGCATATGCCAGAATTCAGAGCAGCGCTCTACCCCATAGCATTGTGATTCAATTTAAGAATTCTCCTATGCCTTATTTTACTGTCTCATTTGTATTCACTCTATGGTAACACAGTTACACTGTATGAGGTCGAAACAGGAGGATTTCTTCACAACTCTGGCTGTCGCCACGGTACTCAATTGTAAATGTTGGAGTGGGTTTACTCTCCAACACACCGGTGTGCTGAACTAGTCACTAATTGGCACGTTTTGTATACTTGACAAACTTTACCAATTGGCTGTGTCCGGTGGTGGCAGGTTTAACGACACATTTATATTTACACGATCTAACCCAAGAAAAACCTCTATCATGGATAATATTGATCTTCTTGGTTCTTTCGGTAAAGTCACGTAGAAGGGAAGTAATAAAATAATTAAAATAAAACATAATAAAATAATTCTCATGACATTTCGGCCACAACGCAAGCAGCCGTCCTCAGGTGAAGAACATGTCTGTCGATAAGACAGAATCTAAATGACACGTCTTAGGCTTGGAGTGTCTATTTAAGCTGTGAGGGAGGAGGAAGAGAGCCTTGACAAAAGAATTTGCATTTGAAGAGGAATTTAGCATATTTATGGGAAATGCAGGAATGCGAATAGTGCTAATTGTGAAATGCGTGAGAGGTGGGCGGGATAATATTGGTCACGAAAGCCTACTACATGTTAAACAGGTAACACAGTCCCTTCCTATTTGGCGCATCCCACACCCCCCCCTCTCCTTCCACGGTTAAGCACCGTCGGCACGATCCCCATGTGGCAAGCGCTCACCTGCGGCCCGGGGAAGGGCCCGGGAAAGCCGGAGGATCCGAGGCCGGGCGCGGGGCCGGGCGTGTGGCCAGGGGAGCCCGGCTCGTCCAGGAGGCGGCCGGGACTCGTCGCCGCCAGTGGGTCAGCGTCGCGCGGCGGGCGCGTGAAACCGCGCGAGGTCGACGTGCCGCCCTCGCAGAAGTGACTGTGCTCCAGCGCGCTGATGTACTCGCACACACTGTGGCAGACGCGCGCGGGCACGGCGCGTTTATTAAACCACCATCACGTGAACTGCGGTCATCCTCACGGTGGCGGCGGCTTTCGGCTGGCCATCAAACAAAAACAGTCACTGCACCGCGTGCTTTCAGATGCGCTTCTGCGGTCATCTCGAATACCCTTATTTCCGATATAAGGAAGCCACTGGAGCTATGCACTTTCAAATCCAGATTGAAAACTCATTTCTTTAAAACTGCTTTTGTGTATAGTTTGTTGTCCTTCCCCCATACCTCCGATAAGTGCGGTTTGGCTATATATGGTGCAAAATAAGTTCAACATATGTATTTATGTATGTAGAAATTATTTCGTACCATATGTAGCCAACCGTACTTGAATTGTAAATGTTGTGGGTTCACTCTGCAACACATGGTTGTGCTGAACTAGTAATTAATTGGGCCATTCTTATTTACTTGACAAACATTACTAATTGGCTGTGTCTGGTGGTGGTGGGTTTAACGATACATGTGTAAGTATTTATGTATGTATGTTGAACTTCTTTTGCACAGCACGTAGCCAACTGCGCTAATTAGAGGTGCGGGGAAGGATAACGAGGGGCGGAACAAAATTGGTATCAGGCCGCGGCGCAGCTCAGGGTGAGCTCGCCTCTGCTCGCCTCGAGAGGGAGACACGGTGAGCTCGAGTCGAACACGGGTCCTCACGGTGCCGGGGTGCCGCAGGCGTGCGGGTTGGAAAGAGGAGGTTGTGCCGGGGGCTTGTAGCCAGGGAAAGTGGGCGCGGGCACTCACCGGAAGACGTGGTGCCAGCACTCGGACGCGTGGCTCCCCATCTCCAGCCCTACGTCCAGTATGGCCTCCATGCAGAGGGCGTGGGCCGCGTGAAGCCTCACGCCGGCGGGGCGGCCCATCTGCTCAAGTTTCTGCTCTACCTTCTGTCTCACTGCACACACAAATGCGCACAAAAGATCCCCCCGTGTAGCCTTCACGGACTGTCGGGGGCAAGTGATGATTTTTTTTCTAAATTGAAAACTCAATTTTTTTCCGAACTGCTTTTTGTATTTCGTCTGTTGTATTTTCACCCTCGCGCCTCTGAATAGCACCGTTGGCTACTTACGGTGCGCGTTAGAAGTTCAATATACATACGTACATAGCGAACACCTACGAAGGCCAACATGTCACAGGAGGGGGTTGGGTGGCCAGCACCATGCATGGCCACCTTTGTCTCCGTAGTGGCAATGTTTACACACAGCACCAGGAAGCCATTTAAGGCCAAGTCAACCTACGGCAGGCCCAGGTCCTGTTCCGATATTCATCACTGGATCTGGTCGTGAGTGGGAATCTACCTCGGACTGGTGGGTTTGTAACACAGCATGCTAATCGCCACACTAATGCTCACCACAAAAGAAGTTTAACACACATACATATTTATGTGCCCTCTGTCATGGGGGGGGGGGGGGGAGAGAAGGGGAGGGGGAGGGAGGGGAGTGAGGGAGGGAGGTGAGGGAGGGGAGTGAGGGAGGGGAGTGAGGGAAGGGAGGGAGGGAGAGGAGGGATAGGAGGGAGAGTAGGGAGGGGGGGGAGTGAGGGGAGGGAGGGAGTGAGGGGGAGGGAGTGAGGGGGAGGGAGGGAGTGAGGGGAGTGAGGGGAGTGAGGGAGGGAGCGTCACCGTGGGAGATGGAGTCGGATGGCTCCGTGATCTCGCGCTCGTCCCGGTCGCTGAGCACGCACGACGCGTCGGCCATCTGAGCCAGCGCCGAGGCGCAGTTCGCTGCCACTCCTATAAGAAACGAGACAAAGATTCCCCCCAATATTGCCTTCGCAGACTTTTAGGGCAAGGGCTGTTACCAAGTAGCACCTAAGAAGGCCATTGCCCCAGATACTCATTCGATGCCGAGATGACCTAGCGGAGGCTCCGGATTGGTTCAGATAATTGTCACCGGTGTTGGCAATGAGGGGGAATCAAAACTCAGGTTGTCGAGTTTACAGCGCCCTGCCATAACCGCTAAACTACATAATATAAATACACATACAGTTGATCATCGATTATCCGGCTGCTTCCAACATTGCCCGGCGGTCCAGGATGATCCGACGAAACCGGAAAAAACGTTCCAAAGACTGTACCAGTCTGGCGATCGGCACCATGTGCGTGACAAAAAAGCATCTATCTTTGATTTCAGTGTCAAATATTATATACAGTACATTTCACACTATATACAACAATTTAAACAATTAAAATACTGCACGCATATATACACATTTTTCATGACGAATAACTAAAGTACTAAAAACAGAAAAAGTACAGTGCGATCCGGCGTAAAGTGTGTGTAAAGGCTTCATTAGTCCGGCGATGGTCAAACACTTGCTGTTGATACAATTGCGTAGTAGTGTGTACATGACCCCATGCAATCTTTGATAGTACAGTGGTAAGTATGGTTCAGCAACTTTTGACAGTGGGATATTTCTTTTTGTCTATTTGTATGTTAAGTTGTTCCAATTTCATACAATAAACTAATTAAAAACACTAAAAAACATATACACACAACACCAAAAAACTTAACGTTATAGAAGAATGGGCAAAAATAAGCTATTTGAAATCATTATTATCTGGCGTTTTGAAAACCCGGCGCCTCCTTCCCTCCAAAGCCGCTGGATAATCGATGATCCACTGTACATACGTACACTTACAGATACATAAACAGAGGATAGATGCCTCCACTCAGTTTTTTCTAGTCGACGTGCATGTGCAATTCTCTGCCTGCATGTTTTATGAAAGGCAGAGAGAAAATGGAGTCCTTGAAAAAAAACGTCTGTTCACGAGTCAGTCTGCGTATCTCAGTCGGTGTTAGCCGCTGAGATCGTGATGGGTTTCTCCTCTCATTCCTGCTGCTCCGTGCCCCCTTGCGTCGTAATGTGCACCGACGCCTACTTTATCGAAGCCGATATTGGCCTTTTAAATCGAGATTTATTGATTTATTAATCTCATATGTATGAGCACGTCAGTATATCAGCCTGTCAGTCTGCCCGTGAGTGAGTTCATGTGCCATTTTATGAAAGGACTACTGCTGTGGTGTCATCTTGGTGTGGTCTGCGACTGTTGATGTTTTTTAGACATTGTCCAATCTTCATAAATCGGACTTACGTAACGAATTGATTCAAAACTTATTTATATTTCGTGTTTTGTTGTATTGTTTGCTGTTGTAAAACTTACTGACCCCGTGCCCCCTACTGGACATCTGTGAAAAAAGATCTTCATAAGCTTATCGGATTCCTCCTCCAGCCTAAAATAAACATTCTGATTTTGAGTGAGTGAGTGAGTTCGTCCACCGACACACGTGCGAAGCCCTCTCACCGAGCTGGCAGCTGAGCCGCGCGGCTTTGCGGAGTCCGTCCAGGCTCAGGCACACGGCCTCGCGCTCGCGCTGCCGCTGCTCGCGAGCGCCGTCGCCGCCCAGCAGGGCCGAGAGCCCCCGTGTGCCGCCCCTGCTCCAGCCGCCCAGCGGCGCCGACAGGATGTCGATCAGGTTCCGCCAGCAGCCCACCAGGATGGTGCGCGCAAAGCTGGCGCCTGCAGAGGGGGCGGGGAGACGAGAAGAGGGCAGGTGTGCGTGTGTGTACGTATGTTGAACTTCTTTCGCACCGTACGTAGCCAACTGTGCTGATCGAAGGTGTGATGTTTTGTGGAGTACGGTGCAAAAACAACCTCACACCTTCTCGGTGGTGCCGGATGGTAACGCTGTCGTGGCTGTGAGCAATCCCATTGGGGGGAGGCCGATTCTAATCGACTGTTCGCCTCATGGCGCTTTGAAGCCACCAAATTGGCAAATGGGGGCTCTGAATGGGTGCGAGGGGCTGGTGACCCCTCCACCTTCAATTAAATTACCACAAGACCACGATTAAAATATCAAATTAAGCTTCTGCCGGAGGCCCCAGGGGGATAGGCATCTATGACATCTTCTGGCCAAATCCCATTTGGCGGTGCTAGGAGACTAAACTGCACCCTCAGGGTTCCTCCAGAAATGGCAAAAAGCCACCGCGAGTGGCCACGTTGAATGTTCGGAGGAGAGGCTGCCACTCCTCTGCTGTGAGCTGGACCAGTACCGCCTGGATCTCTGTGGTATTCAAGAGGTCGGATGGACTGGTTCTGGCTCCAGTCACTATGAGGGGTGGACAGCCATCTACTTGGGGCAGGAAACTGCCAAACAACGTAGAGTGGTTCTTCTTCTGAACAAAAGAATGAAGGGGGTGTGGAAGCGGGGCGGTGAGGTGTGGGAAGTTGTTAGTTCGATGCTGTTGGCACGCCTCCCCATCAATGGGAGGTTGGGAGTGGTGGTGGCAGCTTACGCCCTACCAAAGATGACCTTCAGAGGAGAGATTCCTGCAAGGCCAAATGAATTAGATGCCTTATATGACCTGCTGTCACAGGTGCTAGCTGAAGTGGTCCCTCGGGATAGTCATCCTGTTGGGTGACTTGAAAGCCTGAGTTGGTCATGACGCAGGCGTCTGGGCTGAAGTGATTGGAAGGCATGGGCCAGATTAGCTCAATACCAATGGGAGGAGGCTGCTACACTTCTGTGGAGCCCATGGGCTTGTAATTACCAACACACATCGGCGCATCCCCACATCATGAATGCATGCCAGGTCCAAGCAAGAACATCTGAGTATATAGTGACAGAACAGCGGATACGGGCCCATGTCCTTGACACCAGCACCTACCGTGCAGCTGATCTGAACTGCTTTTGTGTTTAGTTTGTTTTCCTTTCCCCGCACCTCCTATTGCACGACTGGCTACGTACGTATTCTTGGGTTTTTCGGTAAAGTCATGTAGATAGGTTAAAATAAAATAACAAAAAATAACCAAAAACTACGCCGTTTCGATTGCAACACAAGCGGTCGTTTTTTATTTTCCTGAAGACGACCGCTTGTATTGCGATCGAAACGTCGTGGTTTTTATTATTATTTTTTGTTATTTTCTTTGAACCTATCTACGTGACTTTACCGAAAGACCTAAGAATATGAATTCCTGCAGTCACAAAAGCTTTAAGTCAAGATTTGGCTACGTACGGTGTGACAGAAGTTCAATATAAATACACACATCTTGGGTTTGCAGGCTGGATTGTGTGAACTCACAAATCCTTGAAAGATCTGGACACAGTCCCATCAGTGAGCTCCTCCGACACGCAAGGCTGTGTTTTCTGGGTCATGTAGCCTGCATGCCCAGCCACCGCATTCCCAAACAGCTTTTTCTTGGCCGCATAGAAGGGGCTTAATGGACGCGTCATGCGCTAGAGAAGAGATGGACTGATATGGTACAGGAGGATATGGAACTGAGTGGACTTGCCGATGACTGGTACCAGCAGTGTCAAGATCAGCGTCTGTGGAGGAAGCTCGTGAAGGACGCTACTGGGCAGTTGGAGGCAGGTGCCCTCCAACAATAGCGGAGGGCAGAGGAGCGACGCTCACAACAACGAACGGAGCTCCAGGCAGCTAAAACACAGCAAGTTGGCACAGTAGGGGGCACAGGTGGTGCATCTGCCAATCATCTCAGCATCCAACCCATGGCACCTGGATCTGTCCCGTGGCGTGCACATAAAGTGCACATAGCCTGGCACAAGCGCCGTGATGACGTCACCACCACTTCGTGGTGAATGGCAGTTTTTGTTGTTGTTGGTGTATATAACACATTGGTTTTCTAAATGCATTTTCGATGCAAGAAAATGAATATGAACATATAGAACAGGGAACATACGCAGATAGACTGTCAAAAATACTAAGTGTGTTTTGACAGGACATGTTGCTAGAAACGATCATGGGCAGAGACTGAAACTAATGATACGAGTGGAAACCAAAGGAGGAAACATTGCCCGAATGGACATCCACCACAGAAATGGAGTAATAAAATCAGCTTATACGCAGGTGCTCGATGAACTGTTACATCACTAGACTGTGTGTGTGGCTTACGCAAGTGTTTATCGAGGTTTGTACATGTCAGTGTGCTGCGTCCAATGCTATGAAATCGTTACCAGCTGAGACGGAGTCACACTGAGCCTCGGCGTAGCGGTTGCAGGCCAGGGGAGAGTGACCCGACACCTCGAACACCATTTGTCCTCCGATCAAGTTGCTCCCAAGTCCGTCCAGATCTGCAATGAACAGCAACAAACACTCTTCGAGGCAATGCCAGCCGGTCACTGTTCATATGTGGCGGTTCGAGTGGGTGATGGGAAATCGAAAAAGTTCAAGCTTGAAACTCATTTAAGTCTCGGTGCGTAGCTGCAAGGTGAGAGCCATTTGTTTTGACTGCATATTCGTTTTTTGATGTTTGTGCTGTAATGCTGCCCAATGTTATTTTTGGTTGTACTGCGCAGCATCCGGCACGATTTCACTCCACATGCTGGGAACTGAAGCTCCCAGGATGTAGAGAAATTGGATTATTCTGAATATATTTTGCGTGGAAAATCCCTCGAGATGGAGCATCTCGTTTGCAGGAGTGGTCCAGGGTATCATGTCGGAAATGATACCCTGAGACACAGCAAGAATCATGTCAAACAACAGGTGGGAACCACACCAACATCACATCGGATTCCTTTATGGGTTTTATTGTTTTGGTTTAATTGTGTCTGAATCGAGGGAGCTCTACTCAACCAGCCACTGCCCCCCCCCTTCTTCCACCTGTCCCTAAACCCCCCTGCTTTGGCTAGAAAAGGAACCCGGTACACCTTAACTAGTCCCTGTTTGGGGAGATAGGGCTACCCAGAGAGCATAATCCCTGAACTGATTTTTGTGTGTCGAGATTGTTGTCCTTCCTCCGCACCTCTGATTAGAACAGTTGGCTATGTACGGTGCGAAAGAAGTTCAAAAAGACAAAGATGCCCCCAGTATAGCCTTAACAGATTGTTTGGCGAAGTGCTGTTAGCGAGCAGCACCTATTAAGTCCAGCACGGCAATCGAGGGGGTGGGTGGCCAACACCATGCCCGGCCGCCTTTGTCTCCCCATTGGCGATGTTTAAACATTGTACCAGGTACTCATTTGAGGTCGAGTCGACAAAGAGGAGGCTCAGAACCGGTTCAGATAATTGTTACTGGCGTTGGCCGTGAGCGGGAATTGAACTCTGGTCGCTGGTTTCGTAGAGCAGCGTGCTAACTGCTGTAATAACAGCCATAGAGGGTTCACGTGGGGATTGGCTTGCCGGTCCTGCTTTGTAGCCAATAAGGGTTGAGATAGGGAGCGTGGGCCCGGCGTGATCACGGCATGTCATCAGGAGTGATTGGCCCAGCCATTCGGGGCCCCAGCTAATGGGGATCCGGATGAGAGGCGTGGTCCCAGGAGTGACAGGGAACCATCGAGAACGGTCGAGGCTGTCCATGGAGGATTGGCTGGGGGGACCACGTAACGAAGGGATTAAAAGAGAGTGAGAGAGAATGATCGAGAGCAGACTGGGAAACGAACAGGGCGAGAGCCACACGCGTACGGGGGCTCCGGGTGCCACGTGCGCGGTGGGAGCTGGTGTGAAGTCTGCCCGCTCTCTGTTGTCTGCCAACAACGGAGCTGAGTGAAATAAGTGTATCGTGGAGGTAAAAATAAAGAGGACCGATTCCGAAGCCGTCTCCGAAGGATTATTACACTGCTACACTATCGCTCCCCACAAAAGAAGTTCAACGCACACACACATGCATATGCATGTTTACGTGCCCTGTCATAACTGTTGATCCGGTTTCAATTAAAATAAGAAAAATCTACTAGGACTGCAATGGTGCAGGCTTTCTGTCCGCGCCGGCGCCCGCACCGGTGAGCATGGTGACGAGGGCGGACGCGTTCTCCTGCGTGCTGCTCCGGTAGCCCGCCTCGCCCAGCAGGTTCCTCTGCCGCACCTGGTTGTAAACTTCCTCCAGCCACGTGTTGGACAGCACCAGCATGATTCCGCTGCACTGCAGCTGCTGGGCAAACTCCCTCTGCCGCGGGAAAACATTCGGAAATGCATAGTCAGAGGGCAATTGGGTAAGCGGGCATGCATACTGAAGGGTGGGTGAGGTGATAGGTAGGTGACTGGGTAAGTAGGTAGGTATATAGATGGGGAAGGCAGGTAGGTTGCTAGGTGGGTAGATGGGTAAGTAGATGAGTATGTGGGCAGGTAGGTATATAACTGAGAAGTTAGTTTGGATATTTATCCAGGTGACCTACAGGGCTAGTGAATAGGTAATCAGTTAAGTTTGGGCAATGTAAATAAAAATGGACAAGATGAGTAGATCGATAACATTGCAAATGGTGTAGGATACGTTGGAAGGCGGATGTGTACGTACATCTGCACAGAAATATTTATCATACCTGTAAACCCATACGGTTTACTCATATTCTTGTAAAGGGGAATTGAGTAAAAAAATGTTTGTCTATTTGTGTTGTGTTTCTCCTTTGTGATGGGACTTTGTAGGATGAACGTTGAGATTTATCAGGGCACGGGGTGACCAATAACGTCTGAATTGGTCTGATAAGGTAGGGCACTGATAAGGGATGGACATGTATGATGTATAATTAACCAAAGCACTTGTCTCATGGACAAATGCAATCGTTCAACTTTGATATCGTGGTCATCGTGCCCAACTCGTGAGATCGATCCCGAGTTCGGGGACCAACCCAAGCTCATCATCGTTCCTCTGAGCCCGACCAAAACGAGTCCCACGAGCTCCCGTTGAAACATCTCTGCCGCGTTCGACGGCAGAATTCCCTGCAGCATTCCCTGCAGCGTAGGGTGGAGGCAGGTGACGATGGGGGGGGGGGGGGGTGCGAGGGGGGGATGGTGGCCCACCTGAGAGACGGGTGCACGTGCGCACCGTCCGCGGTAATACTCGGCGTGGACGAGCTTGAGGTTGAGCAGCAGGGTGAGCAGAGACAGCGCGTAGAGGCTGTCCCCGTTCAGGAGCAGGTGGTTGGGCGCGGAGCGGCCCGCTCGGCTCCTCGACGATGCCAGCATCCCTGAGCCATGGGACACCACGGTGGGGTGGGGGGGTCGACACAAGGCGACGGCGGTCACAAAGCTGCGAGTTGCGATGACGACGCAGTGCAATTTTCACGTCGTTTTCTCAGCGGCTTCCTCACTACCAGCGGTCGGCAATCTGTGACTCCGGAGCCAAGCGCGGCTCTTTAAGGACTGCTTCCTGATGCTATTCGCGTGCATTGCGGCACTTGAAATCGTTTTTACCGAATTCGAAAAAAATGGCAAGTTTGGTTGCTGACGCCTTCCCATTACAGACAATTATAAGTTAAATAATTTATATGTCCAAATAACCCAGAATGTACCCGATCCCCTCAGGCCTAGCAAGCTGAGCACAATTGGGTCTGGATCATACTTGGAGAGGTGAACAAGCAAAACAAACGTGCAGCAGCCGTTGTGAACAGTAGAGGGCAGCACAATACTGTACATCGTTTATTTGCTCCAACTTCATCAACCCGCGCTGACCATTGTGGTGAAGTATGGCCAAATAATCCTCAGTCCCAAAACATTTGACAGAGACTTAGAGGGCCAGATTGTCATCCTGACAATAGGTAACTTGTGCCAAGATCACCCATAATCAGGGGCCTGGTTTGCCCAGGTGTTGTGTTGACGCACCTGTCCTGGGAAACTCTGTAGTCTTCTCAAAACATTGAAAGTCCTAGTTTTTGTCAGCTGCATAATCACGAATCACTCAAAAGAATGCATTTATATGCAATTTGTTGTCCTTCCCCCACACCTCCGATTAGCACAGTTGGCTACGTATGGTGCGAAAGAAGTTCAACATACATTGTAATTGTGAGATATTCTTCCCATGTCGGGTGTTTTTTTGTACCTCTAAGGCGGAAACTCTAAACCCTATCCACAACGGGGCAAACCTCCAAAACTGTGCACAGCAAACGAACGTGGGCCCTTAGAATTAAATTCCAAACTTGATCGTTCACACAATTAAGTTCATGGGACTTCCCGAGCTCTCAATGTCCTGACAGTGGTGTTGTCTTTGTGCTGTTCGCCTTTTGGCGTCTTCTCGTCTAACGCTGTTTGCGACTAGGCTCTAAAGAAAGCTGTCTCTGGTGTGGACCAATCAGTTTCAAAGACAATGCATATACTACCAGAGCATGTTTTTGTTTGCATGTTCACAACAATTATAAGGGGTTAATACAGACATGATTTCTTGCAAAAGGTTTTAACATCTTAACACCTGTTTTATTGCCAGAAAGGGTAAAACCTATTCTTACAATTAAGTTCGTCATTTTCCCCATCCCCAACCTCGCCCCGTGCCTACGGAGTCCACAGCGCCCACCGGTGGTGAAGTTCGACGCCAGCGTCTGCAGCTGCTGGTCGATGTCCTCTGCGCTGGCGGCCTGCAGCATGCGGGGCAGCACCGAGGCGAGCGCGTGCACGAAGAGACGCGCGTTCTCGCACTCCGCCTCCATGTCGCGCAGCAGCTTCTGCGACAGCCGCCCGTGGTGCGTGTGGTGAGAGCCGCCACCGCCGCCGCCGCCGGCTCCTCCTAACCCTCCTGCGCTGCCGATGCCGCCCCCGCCGCAGCCGCCGCCGGCCACCGCGCAAGAGCCGGCGGATCCGGCCGTGCCGTCGTCGTCGGCGAGGGAAATGTTCTCGGACGAGCCGAGCTCGGAGAGGTCGGAGCGAGCCGAGTCGCGCTCCACCAGCATGGAGTAGCGGTCGCACGAGTCCAGCTCGGCGCGGCACAGGTCGTGGTCGTCGTGGCCGCACGCCACGCCGCCCATGCCCGAGACGGAGGCCGGCACGCAGCGCAGGCGCGAGCTCACCGACAGTAGGTTGCTGATCACCTGCAAGGTCAGGGAGGGCGAGGTAGACGCTGGTTTGCACCGTGGTTTTTGTGTTTGTATTCGGGCTGTCGGAGCGGCATTGCGGTTACACACTGCGCGGGCTGCGCATTTTCGGCCTCCGTGTCTATGCTCAGCAACCGTAATTCATAAAAAATTATAATAATTAAGTCACGAGCGCTCTGGGGTCTTGATCCTGAAAGGTACCAAATGTGATTTTGCTGCTAGTGTTGCTGATGAGTTAAAATTTCGAATTGGCAGTGACTGTCACAAATTGGAAGAAATATTATCGACGCTCCTGAGTCAGTAATAAACGAGGCTATCCATAGCATCAATGCTGTTGAGCAGCTTGGGCTGTGTGGTCAGGGAGATAAATCTGTCGGAAGACAATTGATCCAAAGCAAGAGTTTCAGCTGTCTGTGAATTAGCCAGCTTCTCAAGTACAGTAAAACCTCGTTATTTCAGTATTTGATCAGTCGTAATTGGGGAGAATTCGGCACAGCTGCACTTTCGGCATATGCTGTATATTAGTAATTGTCCATGAGTCGAATTACCGCACCAAATAGCCCAATCTCGGCATAGCACATGGAGCAACACCGTGCGCCACGACCAAAACAATGACTCCGTCTAGTGGCGGCGTGCATGGTGAGCGTTAGTGCAGACCTGTCGCGTCTGTGCAAGCCAACCCTCTCATAAATGTCGTCATCACCTACATCAAGTCGTAATAGAAAGGGACCGAAGTATAAATCCCTTAGTCTGTGAGACAAATCAACATTTTTTTTTATTGAATTGATGCAGGTGTGTCAATGCGTATGGTGTGTGAAGAATTTGGCAAACTAATTTTGATTTTTTTGGCGGGAAGGCAGAAGTCACTGGGGAGTACCATTGTACATAATTCGGAATATTGGATAATTCGGCAAGTCCAGAGCTCCATAACGTGTCAAATTAACAAGGGTTTATTGGAAAGCAAGTTGATGGTCTCAGCTCGGTCACAGATGACCGCAGAAAAAAAACTGTCACGTTAAATTTTCCTTTTCACTTCGGCATTTTCTATCTATGAGAATGAAAACGTGTGGTTTGATTGAGATGTGACAAACACCATGTGTGGGTGTGCCCCATGTGTTCATGACGAGGCTGCCCGAGGTGACGTCAGAAGTAGTTCTTTGATTCAATCTTCCTAGGGTCATTCCTCGATACAAGTTAGTGCACCGCTCACTGCATGAGTTTTTCATGGAAATATCTTCATTTCATGCGAGCACAATGTGGATATAATTATAATTGGACAAAAAAAAGTTCATGAATGTGTACTATTATGTGCCATTACCATCTTGTCAAAAGACAAGAACATGTCTGTTATTAACTCGTACAGAGAGCACTGATGTCGTATCACGTCGGAGAATGGCCCCAAAAGACGAGACATTAGATGCCAAGGAATCGTCCAATGGTGATTCCTGTAAGCACATTCAAGCTAACCCTGTAAGAATGAAATTGAATGTAATGGGTTTTTTTTATACATGGGAATCTTCCATGGAAAAATGCGATTCCTGCGAGGTCTGCCCAAGGTGCAACTGTGAGATTTGAATCTGAATTCCTGCATTAATCACCACCACCACCACTCATGCCAATGCCACCATCACTGTCACCAACACCACCACAGTCACCATTGCCACAACCACACCATCAATGCCATCACCACCACCAACATCACGACCATCCTTAATAACAATAAAAAGGATTGCCCGTGTAGCCTTGACAGACTAAAGGAGCAGGTGCTGTTAATGAGCACCTATGAAGGCCGGCACGGCACATGAGCGAATGGGTGGCCAGCACCACTCCCAGCTGCCTTGGTCTCCCTCCCCAGCGGCGATGTTTACACACAGCACCAAGAACTTACTCATTTGAGGATGAGTCGACCTTGGGGAGGTCCAGGACGAGCCAATAACACCATCATCACCAACAGCACCACAACCAACAGCACTGCAATAACCACCACCATCACAAAATCACTATCACTACCACCACAGGCATCAACGTGTCAGACAGTAGTCTGTCACCTCAGTGGGCAGGTGGATGCTGTGTCCGCGCTCCTCCAGCCTCGACTCGGCCCCACAGCTCCCACTGATAATGCTGCCCCCACCCCCTCCTCCTGCTCCCCCTCCCCCGCCACCACCGCCACCGCCGCCCCCTGTGTGTCCTTCTCTGTCGAGGCTGGCGGCATCCTCGCTCGGGGTCTCACGCTCCTGTGGCACAAGGGCAAAGGAAGAGTCGAGTGTCATCCCCTCGTGTGTGTGCGTGTGTGGGTTTCTCCAGGCCCGGTGGGTTTTCTCTGACATGCATTACGTAAATACTAAACCATTTTTTATTTCACCAGGTAAGGCCCACTGAGCTGTGTCACTCTTTTTCAGAAGCGACCTGGCCACAAATGATAGCCCAATGGAGTGGCTTACCTTGTGAAAATTTATAACAGCCAAATACTCTAAACGCACGTTTCTAAATAACCAAATGTCCAAAATCATGAACCTCTTGAAAATGTATTGAGGCAGCAGCGAGGCTTCCCTGGATGGAGATTATCATTATAACTACATCAATCGAGTGAAAGTGTTGCACTACTTAAATGAGCAGTGTTAATAAATCCACTGTCGGCTTCCAACAACGTGGTACTCATTTATCGACCTTAAATGGATAATTACGATGGGCTTAGAGAAGCATTAGTAACTTGGCAAAAGCAATTACACAATAAATAAATAAATGCTTGCGTATGGCAGTATGCCCTTGGGCTAAATGCCAATGTTGAGATATCCAAGCCACGAGAGAGGAAAGGGCTTCAGCAAAGAGTTTGTGTCATTTTGCTGTTCCTAAATTGAAGGAGCAACCTCGTGCCAAAATCATTGAGAACAGCAAAGTGGAAAAAACAAAAATTAACTTCAGTGAAGCAAACGCCTTAAGAGAATTGAGAGCAAATAAAGATATCCAAATTCTTGCTGCTGATAAGGGCCGATCGATTGTTGTGATGCCCCATGAGGACTATGGTAATAAAATCAAGGATTTACTTGATGAAGGTACCTACCTTAAAATTAAACGAGACCCAACCAGTACCTTGGAAAGTAAAACAACGGAAATAATTGCCAAGTCATCAATTCCAAAGGAAGAGCAATACCTGATCAAACCAAGGGCATCAAAACCAACTAGACTTTATGGGCTACCAAAAATTCACAAACCTGATGTCCCATTAAGACCCATGGTTAATACAATAGGCTCTGCCACGTACAAATTGGCACAATACGTAATGAAACAAATACAGCCCTACATCGGTAGGACCTCTTCGTTCAACAAAAACTCTGAACATCTCGTAAATATAATTAAATATATTAAGCTTAATCCTAATGATATTCTCGTAAGTTTTGATGTGACCTCTCTGTTCACGAGGGTTCCGGTCAACGAGTCAATTAAATTACTTGGCACTCTGGTAATGAACAACGGTTTAGCCAAATATATCCCAAGACTAGCTGAACTTCTTGTGGCAAGGTGACTTCTTGTGGCAAGGTGACTTCTATAAACAAAAGGAAGTGGCAGCAATGGGCTCTCCTTTGTCTCCTGTGATAGCGAATTTGTACATGGAAGATTGTGAAACAAAAGCAATAGCTTCAAGCACACTAAAACCATTTGCTTGGTTTAGATAAGTGGATGACACATTGGTGGTCTGGCCACATGGCAAAGATACACTGAACGCATTTCTAAATCATCTCAACTCGCAAAACCATTCCACCCAGTTGACTATTGGAAGTGGAAGCTGACAGAACTCTACCATTTCTGGATATTCTGCTCGGACGGGGTAGAAATGGTAAAATAACAGACAGTGTTTACCGAAAGAAAACGCATACTGACGCCTATATGAATACAGAGTCACACAATCACCCCGCACAAAAATCTGCTCTAATCAAGACGCTCATTCATCGAGCAAAGAAAGTGTTAGATGGTGACAGTCTGAGAAGTGAAATTCAACATGTTAAAGAAGCGCTGCAAATGAACGGCTACAATGATGCATAAATCAAGAGTGCATTGAATACCAAAACCAAATCAAATAACAAGAGCATTGAAACTTCATCATGAGGCCTCCTTTGCCAGTAGTACAAGGAATCATGTTTGCATTAACCACAATACCTGCAGTCAGAATGTAAAAAAATCACACTGATAATGTATGCATTAAAAAAGGTTTCAGTTTTGTTGCCAGAAAAAAGGGAAAAAAACCTATTATTATATTTTGCTACTGGCAAAGGATGTAAATACTTACCTTGAGCCCTCATTACTCTGATAGTGCGTTGTCTTTGAGTTGTGCGCCTTTTGGCGTCTTCTGTTCGAACACCATATGAGACTAGGCTCTAAGGAAAGCTGTCTCTGGTGTGGACCAATCGATTTCAAGGACAATGTATACATTATCAGAGTGTGTTTTTTGTTTGCATTCTGACTGCAGGTATTGTGGTTAATGCAAACATGATTCCTCGTAAAACAAGTTTCAGTTTTGTTGCCAGAAAAAATGTTAAAAACCTATTATTATAGCATTGAAATTGCCCAAGTAATTAAAAGATCAAAATACCGTACATTGCAGGAGTAACTGATAAACTAGCCAGATGTTTGGAAAAACAAAATATCCGAGTCAGATTTGGCAGGATACATAAAATACAGAATTTAATATCTGGTACAAAAGATGTATTACCGCAGCTCCAGAGTTAGACTGATGATGGCCTTAATCTAAGTTGTCTTTTGGTTGTTGTTGTTTGACTTGCATCCCACTGGGATTTTTGCACGCAGTGTTGGTGTACGGTGCTTTTTCTTTTTTTGGATTTTCTGTTTGCACTCAGTCACATATTCACTTTAAGATGTTTTTTGTTCATGTTTTTGTTTTTTGCTTGTTGCGGTTGCACCCGATTCAAGAGCCGAATGTCTCACAGGGCTATACCTAATAAATGAACTTGAACTTGATCAACAGAAGGTGTGTACAGGATTAACTGCACGTGTGGTAAATTTTATGTTGGGCAAACAGGACGAATGATCAGCACGAGACTAAAAAAACATCAGAGAAATATTAAATACTCCCAAATACAACTGTCAGCAGTAGCTGAACACACGTGCCACTCATTATCAAACTCAATTGATTTTGATAATGTTGAAGTTTTGTGCAAAACTAGCTACTACTGGCCAAGACTAATTAGATAATCTATCGAAATTGAAAGAAATCAAAATAAATTTAACCGTTTGGATAGCTTCCGTCTTAGTGCTGCATGGAAGCGAATCATCAAATAATAAATTATTTAAATGCATGCCTACAAAGGGCAGCGTTCTTCAATAAGGATTACCGTAGGTAGGGGTATTGTAATAAACACAATAGACAGGAAGGTCATGTTCAAAGGGCTCACATAATGCACACGCATAATGTACGTTGACTCAGTAATCCCGCCCCCCACCCCCCATCATTGTACAAAGGCGCAAAAAGGTGGTCAACACATCTATGCCTCTATATCAGGAACGAAACAGTGAGACTTCTCCACAAATCTGGCTGTTACCTGATGAACCTAGTTGTAATTACTGGCGAAACGTCGTACTCAATTTGTAAATGTTGTGGCTTGGCTCTCCAACACACCGGTGTACTGTACTAGTGACGAATTGGCATGTTCTGTTTACGTGACAACCCTTACTAGTTGGCTGTGTCGGGTTGTGGCGGGTATTAATGACACATTTATATATTTACGCGATCTAATACAAAAACCTCTATTATGGCAAAATAACTTAATAAAAATTACCTCATAATTTCACAATATTTCTCTCCATCAGGAGGCCGCTGAGAAAATGAATCGCAGGATGACTCGGGGTCACACGTTCACTACTGGATGTGTCACATGTTTGTTCAATTTGGGAATATTGTGGCTTACTTATTCTCAATGCTGAGTTTAATTCAGGATGTGGGCCATGGCACACACACACACCCAAGCGGACGGTGCTATGGGTTTGTGTGCCCATAGCACAATCTGAATGATGATTTTATCTGGTAATACCCTGGTTTACGTCGGGGATGCGGCGCTGAAAGGTGCGACGACGAATATCGAAGCGACGTAAATCGAAGCGATTTACAGGGTAGTAGTAGTAGTAAGTGGGTGGTGGAGGTGAAGGATGACGAGAAAGGACAGACGATGCTGTCAGTGACGTAAGTGTGAGTTGAAATGACGCAAATCGGGTAGTGGTATTCATAACAAAGTGATGACGTATTTGCAAAATTATGTAAAAAGGGGAGACGTCTATGGGGATATTACTCACTGTATTAGTAAGGCTTCAGACATCACGACTGTACAGACTAATTTTAGTCGATGACAGCAAACAAGCAGTGGTTGTGATCACGACAATAGCGACTTCGTCACAAGTGAGCAGCCACCGCAGCGACAGCGGCGTGGTGGTTGTTCTGCTGGCCCCTGGTGGCATGGTGCCGGTACCTGCTCGCCGAGGGCCTCGTCGCTCGTGTCACGCGCCACGCTGATGCTGATGTCGGGGCTGCGCTCAGCGCGCTCATCGCACGGCTCCGACGGCGACGGGAATTCGGAGGCGTAGAGCCGGCTCAGCCGCAGCTCCGACGCGCTGCCCCCGCTGCTACCGCCGCTGCCGCCGCTGCCATTCCCGCCTCCTCCTCCTCCTCTCGCGGCCGTGCCTGCGTCTGGGCAGCCGTCGCTGAGCTGCTCGCGTTGAGCCAGCAGGAAGGCGGCCCGGTCCGCGCAGAGGCCCTGCCCGCGGCTCAGCGAGTCGAGGGAGCCCAACAGCGCCCAGACGCAGGAGACGGCAGCGCAGCCGCTCTCCACGCCACCCTTCACGCACGCCTCGCTCACCCCATCCATTATGCTGCGGGGGCACGCGGGGACAGACGGGCGGTCAGTTCGGTGTCCACGGAGAGCGACTGGGCTGCTTGTCTACGTCTAAACAGTCCATGAGATGCCAGTATGTCAGACTATCGTTGTCTATTGATCCCACAAGAGAATGGTCCTGTCGGTTTCCTCATGTATATACACTTCTGCATAGACCGGTCTGTCAGCTGCCAGCCTAAGAGAGTATATAAATCGCGAGCGCGCCCCATGTGCCTGTCACTCACAGCTTGAGCAGGTCTAGGTGGGTCTTGCGCTTGAGTCTCCGGCGAGTGACCCCATCCGGCACGGTTGGGGCCGCCAGCTCAAACAGTCGCTGGGGGCTCGACAAACTCTGCACGGGGAGCCCCATCGCACAGCAGCAGTGAGCAGTGAGTACATGGCACAGCACAAGCCAGCTCTCTGAGACGCTGAGCAATACAGACATTTCTCCTGCGTCATACACCTGTCACCTACACACTACGGCGTGTCTGCGCATTACTCTACGGACATTCACAGCCCTTTGTCAAACGACTGCTGGATGTAGGCCCCCTCCCCCCCCCCCCGCTGCACCGTGTTGGACGTGATGTCTGTTTAATCATACTTCACCACGGGTCGGTGATGATATTGAGCCCAGGAACCCGTCAGATACCACTCGTCGCTATCAGCCGTGGCAGGTCGCACTGCAGCGTGCAAACCACTGCGCCACAGCTCCTCCTCTACACGACGTACTCAGACACTGCTGCTTCACGCACACCCGACTCTCAAAGTGTGTGACACCAGAGCTCGGAAGTCACACTCCAAATGCCCAGACACCTGTCTCTTAAATTTGTAACACCATATTGCATATGCTCAAGCTCCCGATACCCAGAGCGCCCACCATCCCCTCGCCACGCGACACTAGCACCACCTGCACTCCCCACTGTGTCAACTTGCTGCGTTTTAGCCGCCTGGCGCTCAGCTCGTTGTTGTGAGCGTCGCTTCCTCCACCAATGAACTCGAATCATCCTCACAGCAGCGGCTTTTGGCTAACCATTGAACAAAGACGGTCACTGCATCGCGCGCATTCAGATGCGCTTCTGCAACCATCTGGAATGCTCTTCGTTCCGTTAAAAGGAAGCCACGGGAGCTATGCACTTTTAAATCATCTAGATTGAAAACTAATTTCTTTAGAATTGGCTACGTACGGTGCGAAAGAAGTCCAACATACATACACATAATACAACACGGTTGGCTATGTACAGTGTGAAAGAAGTCCAACATGCACACACACACACACTAAGCCATGTGAGCACCGCTATGCACGCGCCGGGGGACCACACCTCGCGCAGGACCTTGAGCGCCTCGATGCGGTGCTGCGGGGGCGGGTAGAGCAACATGCGGTGGTAGAGCGACTGCAGCACGGGCCGCAGGGACTCGAGCGCACCCACCAGCCGCACCAGCTCGGCCGCCAGGCTGCACACCGTGCGCACCACGGGGGCCAGCAGTGCCGGCGCCGTCCAGCAGCAGCCCGAGCCCCTTCCCTGGTCACTGACCGTCACCGCCAGCGGAATGGGGCCCCCCGTGACCGCGACGCCCCCCACGAACCCGCTTCCGCCGCCCCCGACAAACGCTTCGGCCGCCCCCGTTGCGTCCGACTGCTGCAAGGCATTGTGGGAGGAGGCGACCACCCGGTCCTGCATGGGGTTTCCCAGCAGCACCACGAGAGTGGGGCACAGCTGCTTCCTGTGGGGATGAGACACGATGCGCAAGGTCCATAGATATTAATTATTCACCGTCATAGTCATTAGCCATTGTTTACTCCCCGCTGGATGTAGGGTGCTTGAACGTGCACTGCTCGCTGTGAGAATGGAAATTCCATATTTCTACTCCAGTCTTTAAGGAACAATCACTGTCAATTCCCCATAAAGTGCTACTAGCAATAATAATGCCCTTTACAGTAAGTCCTATATTTACATAGGAAATGCGTCCCGGGAAAAAGCAATCTTAGGCGAAGCAACGTAAACCGAAACCTGTTTTACCATTGACTAAATAACATACATTTAGGATACGATATTAAATAACAATTTTAAATATATTAGTTAAAGCAGAGTACTCGCAAGACATGGCAGCGGAGATTGCATTTAGAGAGGGTAACAGAGTGTACAGCAGTGGTGGGCGACTCAGATTAGTCGGTGGGTGACAGGAGCAGCCCTCCTTCACCCCAGTGGGCCACAAGCTTGACATCGTCCTTGTGAATTCCGTATGTTGAACTTCTTTCGCACCGTACGTAGACAACCATGCTGTATGTATGTGTGTACTAGCAGTCGCCGCCCGCTTCGCGGGCGGTGTGTACGTGCTTGGTTGGTGGGGAGTTGAAAGTGGCTGGACACAATAGACATGTTTTGGTGATTGTTTTATGTTTATTTTTGTGAGGTTATATGTATATTTTATGAGACGCTCAATCGACAATATTCAAGAATGCAACTTATTCAAATATAGAATGCAAGTTATTCAAATATCTGGCGATACACGATATTCTTCGTGTACACTCCGTCTTCCTCCTCGTCGTCAGGTCCCTCAATAAGCGCCTTGATGTTGGATCTTGCCGTGACTCGCGATAGTGCCACGTACAGTTGGCCGTGCGAGAAGCATGGCGTTGGTAGATATAATCCCAGGTTGTGAACAGTTTGCCCTTGCGCCTTGTTGATGGTCATCGCGAAGGCTGGGACAATGGGGAACTGCTTGTGCCGAAGTCGAAATGGGAAGTCCTTCGTGTCGTCGTCGCTGATGAAGATGATCCGAGGGATCAACACCTCCTCACCGTTATGGGTTCCTGTCATGATAGTCGCGCGAATGACGTGTGGCTTCATTTCCACGATGCGAAGCCGCTGCACAGCGGCGTTGGTCGGCGTCAGAATAGTGCGGCGAGCGAAGTAGTCGTTCGTTGCCACCGTAGGGTAATTCAATTCATCTGCACTGTACATGGCATCGACAATCTTCTTCAACCCGAGTGGAACGGGCAGATGATTGCCGTCCTCATCTACGTTGATGTCTGGGTCGTATTCAGGATTGTCGATCACTATGGCACGCGGAATCTTCATGCAATCCGGACCGAGGTCTGGATCAACTTCATGCCTACTCTCTCCAACTTCCAAAATAAATTCTGAAAAGGCAGCCAGTTCTGCGGCGGATTTTTGGTTCTCTGCACACTGGACTCTCATGTTCACAGTCAGATGAACTTGCTTGAAGTGGGACCACAGGTCGGACGACTTGAAACACGCATCCACAGTATCAGCTGGTGTTCTTTTCTTCACAACTGGCAGAATCTGTCGAAAGTCACCGGACAGGACAACCACTTTGCCTCCAAACGGTTCATGCAGATTGTCCAAAATATCGCGAAGCGTGCGATCCACCGCTTCAAACGCAAACCGGTGCGTCATTGGGGCTTCATCCCAAACGATAAGACTTGCCTCCTTGATAAATGCTTTGAGCTTGGACTGTTTGCGAATGAAGCATGTGGATATGTTCGTCGGTTTTAACGGGATCTTGAAGGTGGAATGCGCGGTACGGCCGCCTGGAAGCAGCAGCGAGGCAATGCCGCTGGAAGCAACAGCAATCGCAATCTTGCCTTGAAGACATATCTTCGCCAGCACATGGTTGAGCAGCGTGAACTTCCCCGTGTCGCCCGGACCATCGATGAAGAACAGCTTTTGATGGGGTTGACTGTCTTCGACTGAGCCAACAATTTCGTCGTAGATTTCTCTCTGGTTCGTGTTGAGTCTGTCAGCACGTTCTATGATGTCTTGTAGCTCGTTTCTATCATATCCTTCCAATTTGCGGCAGATATGGTTGTTCTCAAGCAGCGAGTCCAAGACCAAGTGTGGGTACTCGGAAAGCTGCGGGAGGTCGTCAAAGTCCGACAGAGCCATCCCACCTGCCGTGAGGAACTCGTGGAGGCTGTGAAGGGTCTTGAACTTTACCATTTCTTTTATTTTCTTTGATGCTGCTAATCCTGCATAATGCACGGGTATAAGTAGTACTAATCACATACCTGCATTTCCCATATCCCCTCCCTTTGATGCTGCTAATCCTGCATAATGCACGGGCATAAGTAGTACTAATCACATACCTGCATTTCCCATAAATATGCTAAATTGCTCTTGATATGCAAATTCTTTTGTCAAGGCGCCCTTTCCCCCTCCCTTCCAAACCAGCTTATATATATGCTCCAAGCACGTGTGTTGTTTCATTCAGACGCTGTCGCCTCGACAGACCTGGTTTTCACCTGAGGACGGCGGCTTGCGTTGTGGCCGAAACATCGTGAGAATTCTTTTATTATGTTTAATTTTTTTTATTGTATTACTTCCCTTGTACGTGACTTTAGCGAAAGAACCAAGAAGATTTAGCATTTCTTCTTTGTTGGTCAGCTGGCGGTACTGGTACTCGTAATCGCGAGCCAATTCGTCGTAGAATTTATCCCAGAGAGCCGTGGTAGCTGCTGGCATGGAATACAGCAGAATGGTAGCGAAGAGTTGACGAAGCTGGTACGGCATCTGAAACAGCGAGGCTTCTTCCAGACACGCAACCCATTCGCGATCGCTCTCAAGGTAGCCTGCTCGCATGGCTGCTTCCAGCGGTTTGTTTTGTTTTATTTTATTCGTAACGCACCATCCATATGCGCTCCACCATCCACCATGCCATTGCATGGCAAAGACACAGCTCCGGTGTGCGTCAGCGTGTGCGCCATCCACAGTGACATTGGTCAGAAATTGCACCGTTCCGATCGCACACAGGTTAGCCCCTGCATCCTCCGTCTGTATGTACACACACAGACAAATCCGTTATGGGGCCACCTATTTTTTTCTTATTAACAAATATTTTGTTGGTGTTTTTACGTTTACGTATTCACATTGTGGGTGTTTTACGCATGCATCAGATTTTTGGGTTCCTCACATATGATATCAGAGGTGTGGGTCACTCCATTTCTCAATCGAACAATAACGGGGATCGTTGCAGTTATGACAGCTTGCAGATAGAAACATTGCATGATCGTATACTAATAATGACAGAATTTGTATCCCAGTGGAGGGCATCCCCCACCCGGCGCTTCTTACTGGTACTGTGAGACTTAGAAATCCAGACCTCTTCTCCTCCTGAACCGTTCACAATACCCTGTGGTAGTACCATAATCATCTCAATAAAGCGATCACTTTCCGATGCCCATTTTGATCCTGGGAGTTACCTGGGTGGTGTCACACTGTACTCATTGTTTTAGCATGTCGCAAATTCGGATATGGCTTGTGCAACGGCCAGAGAGTGACAGCGGCGGGGGCCGGGCTGCAACCTTTTTAGACAGTTTATTACATTTCAAAATGCATGGGATTGGCACTCCAAAACATGATAAATGTACAGTAACGCCAACTACATCCGTGGCAAACATGATACGCAGACACATGCTGCATATTATGCAACACATGCCCTTACGAGCAGCAGCATGCACAACATCTGAATTACACAACGGAAGTAGACAGCAAGCCGTCCATGGAGACGTGATCAACGTCAATACATAATAATGGTAATAAGCCGGATAGTACCCATTGTACCCATCAAACAGTCAGCTGGGTTGCCCCATGGGGGTATTGACCCATGGGCGAAACTGTAGGGGTGCGCTACGCAACTGGCCGTGGTCCCGGCAGGTGAAGCTGCCAGCTCAGTCCGCTAAGACTTACTGTATAGCGACCCCTGCCGACTCGTAAGGTAAAGTTGTTTGGGGACTCCACTAATCGCAGCACGCAGCACCCATTTTTTACATAAATAAACGTAATATTAGCGTAACTACCATTCGCACACTTGCATACACACCACACTCACACAGCGCAGGGTCTGCGCCCACAGTGCACTGCAGCACTGCGGCGCAGACCTTGCCAAACCTATGCTGTCGCTCTCTTCCGGGCGTGTTAATTAATTATTTTTATCGAATCAAAGTGAGCTGTGGCTTTTTGCCGGCTGTATTATTTTCATCGAATCAGAGCGAGCTGTTTGGGCGGGTCCGTAAATAAATTAACGTCCAGATACGCACGCAGACGACCAAACCAGCGTAGTTGTTTAAGATGTATGTAGAACTTATTTCGCAACTTACATAGCCAAACGTGCTGTATGTATGTGTGTATGTAGAACTTATTTCGCAAATTACGTAGCCAACCATGCTAATCGGAGGTGCGAAACACTAATCACGACCCCACGCTTCACCCTAGACACACTGAGACCAGGCTACCACGAGGTGCGGCACGGGACGCATGCGGCACAGACACCGCAGGTTGCCCACTGCTGGTGCACAGAGTATGGCGGCGACGTTGTAAACACCGAGGCCTAGGCGCCCGCTTTCGCGGTGCCGTGGCCAAGCGTGTCATCGTCATCACACACGCTGCTCAAACCACTGCCTTCTTTTGTTTATACTTTTCAAAATAACGTTAAAGTGAATCAATGCGTTATAAGTCGAATTACGTTCCTTAATTCGTTGGAGTCATTACAGTGAGACTAAACAACTTTATTTTACCAGGTTCGGCCCACCGAGCTATATAGCTCTTATTTAGAAGCGACCTGGCCACAAATGATAGCCCAACAAAGTGGCTTATCACGTGGAAATGTGATCTTCAAAATTATTTCTATGACATCATCTTCCGGTGGGGGGGGGGGGCCTGTTATCTGACATGATGTAACGCACTGCTCACTGTGAAAAATTCCAAATGGAATTCCCTCACATCATGATGTGATGCCAAGGTGGTGAGATGTTAACTAGCTCGCCTGGTATGTAGGAGGTCGAGGGTTTGATCCCGACCTTTATGTCTCTATGTTTGAAGTTTGCATCTCTCTCCCCGTGGTTTGGTTTATTTTTTCTCCGTGTCTTCCGGTTTTTACCACCACATTTAGAATAAACATGCATGTATTTAGATTATTAAGATAATTTTCGTGCTATAAATTTCCACATCATAAGCCACTTTGTTGAGCTATCATTTGTGGCCAGGTCACTTCTGAAAAGTAAGCTAATAGCTCAGTGGGCTTTACCTGGTAAGATTAAAATAGTTTAGTTCTATTTGTCTATTTTTAAGTGATTTGTTTACCTTCCCTATAGTTTGCACTCTTATCATGTGTTTGTATTGTTTGTTGTTGTAATGTTCTGACCCGCCCCTACTGAACATCTGTGCAAAAAGAGCTTCATAGCTCATCGGATGCCTCTAGTGTAGATACATATTCTGATGGGAAGTGTAATTAACTGCGTGGCCACCGTTGAGGCCTGGCCAGGAGCTACAGCGAGTTGCAGGATGGCGCTTACCACACGAGGTCGGTGAAGCTGCGCTCGATGTGCATGCTGGACGAGAAGTTGCTCAGCAGAGCCAGGATGCACTCAAGGTACAGCAGTTGCATCTGTTGGCTCCCACTGCGGTCACAAAGACAAAGGTCCCCCATATAACCTTTAACAGACCGTTGAGGCAAGCGCTGTTAGTGAGCACCTATGAAGGCCGGCATGGCACAGGAGAGGGTAGGTGGCCAGCACCACGCCCGCCTGCCTTTGTCTCCTCTATTGACAATGTTTACACACACCGCACCAGGTACTCATGAGGCCGAGTTGAATTAGGGGAGGACCAGGTCCGGTTCAGATATTCATCACTGGTGTTGGCCATGAGCGGGAATCGAACTCGGGTCACCTGGTTCGTAGCGCAGTGCGCTAACCACTGCACTACCGCTCCGCACACTGTGGTCACCACACATGCATGGGCGCTCACACGTGCACATGGCAACACGAGAGCGTGACAAAAGCACGAATAGAGCATGACAGCAGCATGGCTGCCCAGTGTTGGGAGGGTCACAAGAGGTGTACAAACCTGGTCTAGGGTCTCCCCTATGTCGTGTGCACAAACAGCCCTTTTCCCAATACACTGCTGGATGAGGGTCTCCCCATGTCATGAATAGGATTTGAGAGTCAATTATTAATCAGGCAACTTATTTCCTCCAGAGTTAATGCAATACCTCCGAAATGTGTGTTCCCCGTCCCGTGCGTTCCTCTGTCTCTCAGGGTAATTCTCAAGTGTCAGGGCCGTGTGAGGTGTAGCGCGATACTCACTTCACAACTCCTTGTAGTTTGTCACAGAAAATGGCGAGCACCGAGACCACATCATCCCTCAGGGCCATCAGCAGTTTCATGTTTCCTGCACTCGCACGCAGCAGCAACAAAATCAGTGCTCCGGGGCTGGCGACTGTGGCACTGCTCATTGGTCTAAGCCCGGGGTCGGCAGCCAAAATATCAAGAAGGGGCAGTTTTTTTCCAAATTTGATTTAAAAAAAAACCTCTATTTCAAGAGCTGCCATGTAATGTGAATACGAGATGGCGGTGATCCTTCATAAATGTCATCATGAAGCAGCCTTTAAAGAGCTGCATACGGCTCCAGAGCCGAAGGTTGCCAACAAACGGTCTAGGCAGTCAACGTAAAGTTTTTGCTCCGCTTCAGGGTGGCCCACTCTTCTCCACTAATCGCCTTGAACCGGTGGTGGAAATTTCACACAAAACCAGCTTTGACTTACCACAAAGCGGTACTCATTTGATCCCACCAGGATAATGGGTTGACTCTACGCTTGAGTAATTGGGAGCCATGAACATACAATCCCCCCTAATGTGCAATGTGGGGAATGGAGATTTCAGTCCATAGGCCCTCTCGCAACCTGTACCTGCATTGGCGACTTTCTCCTCGTTTCTCTCTCCATCTGCCTCCTGCTGAGACAGGATTTTCATCGGTAAGCACAGGCACACGCCTGCACACATGTGCTTGTGTGTTTATGTGAATTTGTGTGTTTTTGGTTCTAGAATACAATACGAACAATTCTGGTCGGATACTTTGCATCGTGCAAATTGGTAGCAATGAATGGCCAATTCTCATTTGAACCCCCTTATTCTTTGGTTCTTTCAGTAAAGTCATGTAGATAGAAAAAATTTAAATTGAATTAAAATATCACGACGTTTCGATCGCAACACAAGCGGTCGTCTTCAGGAAAAGGGGTTAGCCTCTAAAGGCAAACTGTTTATAAAGGTTTGGAAATGGGCATAGCCCAAGTGCATCAACAGCACCAGCAGCATGGGCGGGGCAATAATGCCAATGCAGCAGCAATGCCAATGCAGCAGCAATGCTAATGCAGCAGCAATGCCAATGCAGCAGCAATGCCAATGCAGCAAAGGGCCGCCAAAAAATAACTGCACCCCGCTCCACACACCACACTGCTGACGGTGGAGGTTGATTAACAAAAAAACACAGGTCAAGTCATGACCCAAAGTGGTTGATGACATCTTTCCAATGATTGCAGAGTCTATAACCTTCTTCTCGGTTGAAATTGTGTCCGTGTCTGTATATATGGCTGGCTTCATGAACAAATCTTTGATAGCCAGTAGGCTTGCAAAGTACCATCGTCTTAGAGAAATACATTTCATGTGAGCCAGCCGCAATAAAATAATGATCAGCCATGGCAGACGTATTGGTCCTACCGTGTTTCAAATCTGCCTTATGTTCACGAACACGGTTCGAGACATGTCGCTTAGTTTCCCCAATGTAACAACTGCTGCCGCAGATACAGCTTAGTTTGTAGATGCTGGGATATTGCATGTCAGGAATCTTGTTTCACAGATGGAATCATATCACGAATTGTATGTACTGTGTTAAATCGGACCTGGATCTTGTTTCTTCATGATTTTGGAAATCCTTTTGGTTACCCCTGCTATGTATAGCAGGGTGATGGTTTTGATTGGATCCTCAGATGGCTCCTTCCTCACAGTTGGGGTGATGGCTTTGCGGATTGTGTAGTCAGAATATCCATTCGCCTTGAGAGCTTGGTGTACGTGTTTGAGTTCAATGGTTAGGTGTTCATGGTCGGAGATACATTGAGCTCTATGGTGTAGCGTTTTGATGAGGGAATTCTTCTGGGATTAGATAGTGGTGGGAATTAGGTTTTAGGTAGGCGACAGTATGGGTTACTTTCCTGTAGACAGAATGGCTCATTGAGCCATCTGGTCTATTTTTGATTAGGATATCCAAGAAGGGTAGCATGCCATCCTTTTTCTTTCTCCATGGTGAATTTGATGGCTGGGTGTATGGAATTGATGTGGTTGAGGAATTGGTTTAGAGCCGGTCGGCCATGTGGCCAGATGACAAAAGTGTCATCCACGTACCTCTTCCACAAGGACGGGTGTCGAGTGGATGCCTTGATGTCATCCGTCTCAACATTTGTCCATGAAGATATTGGCTACAATCGGAGATGCTTTCAGTTTGTTTGTCGAATGTTCCATTCCAGGTGAAGTATGTATTGGTGAGGCAGTGTCTCACCAGGGCCGGTGCATCAGCATTCAATCCTTGTTGGACCAAATCTTCAATGATTGCAATGGTATCAGGCACAGGAACGTTGGTGAACAAAGAAACTACATCGAAACTGACGAGTAAATCATCTGGGGGTAGTGAGATGTCTTTAATTGACGATACCAGGTGAGCTAAGTACAGAAGAGGTGGTCTTACCAGTGAATGGCTGTAAGGTCTCAGACAGATATCTGGCCAGTTTGTAGGTGGGTGAGCCAATGGTGGAGACGATGGGACGAAGGGGTGTACCTTCTTTATGGATTTTTGGTAAGCCATATAATCTGGGTGGCCTAGCAGCAGAAGGTTTTAAGGAAAACCGTTTGGTCTGTTCAATTAATGTAGCTGAATCAGTGATACTGTTCATTTTTGTAACAAGGCTGTTGGTGGAAACTAAGCGACATGTCTCGGACCGTGTTCGTGAACATAAGGCAGATTTGAAACACGGTAGGACCAATACTTCTGCAGTGGCTGGTTATTATTTTAATGCGGCTGGCTCACACGAAATTTATTTCTCTAAGACGATGGTACTTTGCAAGCCGCCTGGCTATCAACAAAGATTCGTTCATGAAGCCATCCATATATACAAACACAATTTCAACCGAGAAATCATTGGAACAATGTCATCAACCACTTTGGGTCGTGACTTTATTTGTGTTTTCTTGTCAATCAACCTTCACCGTCAGCAGTGTGGTGTGTGGAGCGGGGTGCAGTGATTTTCTGGCGGCCCTTTGCTGCATTGGCAATGCTGCTGCATTGGCATTGTTGCTGCATTGATATTGCTGCCCCGTCCATGCTGTTGGTGCTGTTGATACACTTGGGCTACGCCCATCTCCAAACCTTTATAAAAGTTTGCCCTTAGAGGCTAACCCCTTTTCCTGATGACGACCGCTTGTGTTGCGATCGAAACGTCGTGATATTTTTATTCACTTTATTTTCATTTTATTTTCATTTTTTCTATCTACGTGACTTTACCGAAAGAACCAAAGAATATGAATTCCTGCAGTCACGAAAGTTTTAAGTCAAGATTTAACCCCCTTCTCCCCTAGGTCAAATCAGACATAACGATCTGCTGAGTGACCATCAGCAAAGCAGAGATGAAGCTGACCAGGTGTGGTGGTGTCCGCACCACCCTTTCAAGTGCAGCTCCAGCATTTATTGGCTCTTGCCCATACAGTCTGTGCGGCTAAACAGGGGATACGTCTTTGTGCGTGCGTGTGTTATCTGTGCAAGAGTTGTCTCTGCCAGTCATCCCAATCTAGCAACCCACACCTCCTGGGTGTCCTTTTACATCCTGCTGGTGAGCCTCTATTCAAAGTGGACCTATCCTGGCACAGGTGCCATTATGACATCACTGCCACTTCGTGGCATATATAGGTTTTAGATCATGGGATGTATGGAGAGCGGTGGCATAGTGGTTAGCGGCACTGTGCCACAAATTACAATGAACCGAGTTTGATTCTCAGGTACGGCTGACATCATTGGCGAGCCGTCAGGGCCAGCAAGGCCTTCTCTGCTGGCCTAGAGATTGTCAGAACCAGAAAATTATATTTTCAATAATGCTATATGTATTTTACAAAGATCGTTCTCATCAGTCTATTAACGTCATTTCATTGCTACTCTCTCCCTCAGTTGCGCTGCTTCCAGTGCAGCTAATAAATTAGAGCTTTTATCCAATCAGATTTTCCACCTGTGCTGTCTCCACCTCTCCGGGTGAAAAATATATCCTGAGGCCTTCAGAATGTCGAGTGAATCCCCTCTGCTGTTGAAGCAAATGGGGACGATGTTGATTGTCATATTCTTTATTAACCAATCAGATGTCGAGTTTGCCATGTTGGGCGTATTCTTAGAGCTGGCCTAGCCGCCTACGTTAGCATTTTTCGTGTGGCGTGATTGGAGGGCCAGTTAGCTAACTTAAGTAAAACTAGCACGTGACGTAGCATCATCTAAGATTTATTTAAACTTTCTTTCATGACGTTTAGATTTTTAGATGTCGTGTTTTATATTTTTGGGTTTTTTTCTGTGGGGAAGCCTGTTGAATCCTGATTGTGTTATTTGTGTTTTATGGCATTTGTTTGCTTGGTGGTCGTATGAGTAAATATGACTGGTTGTTGTGAGTTTGTTCTTGTTTCTTTGGTAATGACATTAATTGAGGCTATGCGATGTCTACTCTTAGGTTTTTTTCGGTAAAGTCACGTAGGTAAAAATAAAAATAACAGAAATAAAATAATAAATCACGACGTTTCGGAGGCAACACAAGGTTCCTTCATCAAATTTTTATTTTTACCTACGTGACTACCGAAAAAACCTAAGAGTATGAATCCTAAGAGTATGAATCCTTGCAGTCACGAAAGCTTCAAATCTAGAATTTATGCGATGTCTATTTGTGATGCAGCATCCTGTCATACTGCGTAATAGTGGTACATCCTTGATGGTTTCAGTCACCATATATTCATGTCTCTGCAATTCGTGTATTTAAACTCTCTCATAGGTGTTGAGCCTCATGTTAAAGCACTTTGTTCCACTTGATAAAGGTGACTGTCACTGTGAATATGGGGTGGTTACGTCGAATGACAATAGCCTATAGCCCTAGTGAAATGGTGAGGTTATTCAAAGGCGGTTTAATTGTGGGAGGATAGCACTGAAGGCCTAGGTGTAAAATACACGGCCTGCCACTGTTGGCGAGTGATATCTGGCCTGGTTCTGCATCTCCCCTAGGTTGACTAACCATAAAATGAGTTACTTGTGTAGAATGTTAACATCGGAACAGGTGACACATTACCCAAATAGGTGCCCCGCTAAACACCACTGGCAACAAACACATGTTAAAGGCTATATGGCAAGTCCGTGTCGATGTACATGTAACATGTAAAAGTATAGCCCTTTTTAAAATCTAGCGAGGGCCTACCTATTGTCACGAGGGTCGCTGGAGTTAATTGATTATACTTCACACTGACTAGCCGCAGGGTTGTTGGAAGGCGGGGAGAAAAAAGGCACGGGTACGCTCATGAATTTGCCATGCTGTGTGGATTGGATGAATGCAGGTTAAAATAGTGGGCTAGTGAAGGTCTCAGACACTGGGTGTGATCGTGCCGCATAAGCGGGGGGGGGGGGGGGGGGATATACGGGTTTCATATTTCACAACGGGCAGCAGAAAAAAATCCATTTTTTTTTCGCAATTTAAAGCTGGCGAGCCAGGGAACAAGGCCATTTATTCCTCAATGATTTCTCAAATTAACACATCCTTGCAGGATTGTTGACTATGTAGTCTCCAATAGTGTGCAGGTGTAAGGTATAATGTAGAATACAGTGTTTTGGGTTAGGTTAATCGTGTAACTTAATAGGTGTGCTTCTTATAAGAACAAAACCAACCATAACCAACCATCGTGGTGTATGATTAATGTGAAACACAAAAAACAAGGCCTTCAAAACATAAAACAAATGGTGTAATCATGTAAATTAAATGAAAGCATTAAAAACATGTTAGTTGCAGAAAATAAATCTTTCACTGCAAAGCGACCCCGACTATAACAATGGTTTTCTCCGCAAGAAAACCACTCTTTCTACACAGAATGCAGACATAAACATCATGTTTGGAGTCTTCCATTGCATTGTGGGGGTCCACTTGCATGTGAAAACACCTTTTGGTTACAGGTACGTGTTAGATTTAAACTCGTGCTTGTTAAAAAAAAAACAGGCAGCAGATTGTCAGAAACACAAAGAAAAATACATTCGAAAATAAAACAGGGCAGAAAGTAGGGAGTTTAAAAAGCGGGTGCGGAGGATAGCAAGTTGAAAATTCAAAATTGAATTCGTGGTTCAATGTTTATCTCGTCAAAAATCCCGGTGAGACGTATTATCTCGGCTTAAGGGAGATCTGATTTGTTGTTAAAGCAAACATAAGGGACTGTTTTCTGGCAGCCGTGTGCAACCAGAGAACATAAACAACACCTCATCACCGCTGCCATCATTAGCACCGCCTTGTAAAGGTCAGCGTCCCAGGTGGCGAGCGGTGAGAATTCCACATTGCTATGACAAACCCAGTCTATCCTGCCATATGAAAAATATACAATAGGCTTACATTTAGGAAATCGGCCTTCTCAGCTTCCTATTCTCGATAGAATGTTTATATTATGTGTCGCAAGTAACGGTACCGGGAGGTACTGTTAAGAATAATTATCTAACATTGACACATACATACTATCAATGAAATAATTGGAAGAAAAAAATCTACGTATATCAAACACTGGTATTGCTGTTAACCGTGAAAATATATTTAATTCAGTGTAAATTATCATATTTTCAAATTCCATGTGTGTGTTTTTGTTTTCAACTCAAAACTGAGCAATTTTCATAAAACGTACTCGCGCTCTGCACCCAGGGCACACAACGTCATACTCTTGCGAATGAGGCCAAAGCTACGTCTTTAACGTCTCATTTACAGGGAATGACACGGTCTGATAATTCCCTGCATACAACATAAATAACCGGGTGCCTGTAGCGGGAAAACTAACTGCCGAGAGTCATTACAAACTGGCTCAGTGACGGGCTGATAATACTGATCTGACACACGAGGTCTGTGCAGGGAAGTCTCACTACACCCACACGGGAACAGATGAACACAGGCAGAAGGAATAGGCGATCAGAATGAATCAACACCTGCAGAGGTTGTGGGGTGATGGGACCAGTCCTTTGGGGGGCGGGTGGGACAGCAGTGACACATGCATGCAACAAGCCGGTTCAACCCAGCCATGTAAGCGAGCCTTCACCGTGGAAGAAACAAAAAAGCCACTTGTGGAATGTAACCAATGACATGCCATGACCCACCACGTATCGCAATGGCGGTGGTTGCGATGAACGGTGCTGTTACTGCAAGATAATACACGGACACATGGAAGCTTGTAAGATAATGTCCAGTCCATTACGGGATATCGTGGGTGTATTGAGAACTGCTCTATAAGATCATTAATTATTGCATCTCACCAAACAGCAGGAGTATAATAAAAACTCTTATTCTTAAAGAATTGTTATTTGGGTGTGTTTACTATGCGCCTGTGACTGTCAATTGTCCAAGTATCACCCAATAAATATGGAAATGCACTTTGTACAGTCGAGAGCCCACAGAGAGTAATTCTGCTGCATTGCGATGGTGATGCAGCAATTGGGTTTGTGAACCCCATCTCAAGCCTCTGAGTATTGTCCCATCAAATGCACGAGATTCAAATGAGGCTTTTGCAGATACATTTTATTATTAGGAATGTCAACGTTGATATAAGTCAACAGTGATTGTCCTATGGATAGACTCAGCCCGATTATAGGAATGTGGAATTTCCACCACTTGCTCAGGGCTGAGCAACACCTCAATGCTAATTTCATCAGGGAAAGATACAAATCTGAACGGGCTCTTACCTGATTAAATAAAGATACCAATCTCCCAGCCCAGTTAACTGTACCTCAGTTTTATTGGTCATGGAATGGCAGTGCCCTGGTTCACATTGCACAGCGAAGGCTCATATCACAACACAAGGCAACGAGTGCTGGGCACGGGGGGGGGTTAGTCTGGAGGCATGCACGATCTTGCACGGGGGAAGGCATGCACGGGGAGGGTGGGTGGCGGGGGGTAGCGTCGTGGACGTGGTGGTGGGGGGACGGCTTAAAAACCATGCCCCGCCCCCCCTCTCCTCCTCCTCACCATCTCCTCCTGCTTCTGCCGCAGACTCTGGCTCAGGTCGCCCAGCATCTGGCTGAGCGTGGCTCGCACGGCCGTGTTAGTGCTACGCAGGTGGCTGTTTGCCACGTACGTGTCAACGCACACCTGGGAGAGACGGCAGCACGCGCGTGGGGTGGGGGTGGCGGTTAAAGGAAGACGAAACCTGTACAACGCTAACGGCTCTTAGCTTGATAATTGGTTCTTTACCCTTCTATCTGGCAACAAAACTGACACCTTTTTGCAAGGAGTCATGTTTGCATAGACCGCAATACCTGCAGTCATAATACAAACAAAAGAACATAACTCTGATAATGTGCACTGTCCTTGAAGTTGATTGGTCCACACCCGAGACAGCTTTCCTTCGAGCTTAGTCTCATATGGGTTGGACCAGATGACGCCAAAAGGCGCCTTTTGGCGTCATCTGGTCCAACCCATATGAGACTAGGCTCGAAGGAAAGCTGTCTCGGGTGTGGACCAATCAACTTCAAGGACAGTGCACATTATCAGAGTTATGTTCTTTTGTTTGTATTATGACTGCAGGTATTGCGGTCTATGCAAACATGACTCCTTGCAAAAAGGTGTCAGTTTTGTTGCCAGATAGAAGGGTAAAGAACCAATTATCATATTTTTACTGGCAAATGAGGTCCCCATAGTGTAGGCTCTTAGCTTGTAGATGCACGCCTAGCCTGTGTCTCCCAGCGTGCGAGACACACATCCGAAGCTTCGCTAAAGTGAAAGTTAAAGGTGCAGCCCGGCAATTGCTTGCTCCTGCCACCAGACACCAGAAGTGTCTGGTGGAAGGACCTCCACTCCCAAGATAATTTGGCCTACCCTTCCAAGCTAGCCAGATCTCACACTTGACTCCACCACACACGACTGGCAAATCAACTAGCCGTGGGGCACGCATTCATACTGCTGGCCGTACAAAGACCAGAGATTTAGGAAAGCAGCCCATAGTTTCAACTGCCACACCTGGAAGCTTTATAAGAAACCGGCTTAAAAATAGTGATCAGGCAGACAATTATGGCACGCTAGTGACAACAGGGACCAGCACCACTTTAGACATAATAGAGTTACGTCATGCCAGCGTTACCACAGAGTTATGACCGTTGTTTCTAAGTATTTATTTCCAATTAAGAAACCTTTAGTCAGTCAATCGGCAAGTCCTGAGTGGTGACATAAAGTGTGGGTGTTCCTGCCTTTCCAGGCTGTCTGGTCAGAGTGGAAGAATAGGCCAAATGGCCTCTGCAGGGCTCTCTGGATCTCCCATAAGTACAGGACATTCCAGCAGTTGCAGCAGGGCCACAACTTTGTCGAAGAACACTTCAAAACTTGCGTTGGACAGCCCGAGACACACGAGAGTTCGTGTTTACAAGATAAGAGCCGCGGATGGTTTTGCAGGTTTGCGCGCTTCCTTCAAAGGCCCTCGACACAGACGGGGAACATCCTCAGCGTGGTGAACAAGGAGGACCGAACACACCGGCTCCAGCCGGGGGCATCGCCTGTCCGCTTGGGCAGAACATAAAATGCGTATAACAAGAGCACGGTGGCAGTGCAAGCCAAGTAATGCAATTATTTGAGGGGTCGAGTTGGTGGGTCACACAAAGAGACCGCTGCATACTTCACGACTCCCAACCTCCGGGGCTGTAAATTGCCAAGGAGATGGAAAAAACTACAAGTGGGTTTGTGAGCCTGTCTGTAGGGAACTTTAGAGTGTTATCCCCTTATATCGATAGATTTTTTTCTGAGTACTTGGGCTTTCACCAGCATGAAAAAAATGGAATTGACCAAATACAGTAATACCCCAGTTTACGTCGGGGACTGCATCCCTGAAAGGTGCAACGACGAATATCAAAACGACGTAAAATCAAAGCGATCTACAGGGTAGTAGTAGTAGTAGAGGGTGGTGGAGGCGACGGCTGAGAGGCGACGGATAACGAGAAAGGGTGGACGACGATGCTGTCAGTGACTTACGTGTGGGTTGAGGCAATGCAAATCAGGTGGCGGTGTTAATGATGTGATGACGTATTTGTGAAACAACGTAAAAGGGGGAGACGTAAATCGGGGTATTACTGTATCCCAATGCAGGATCCACCTTACAAATGTTTGACACTCAGCGACGCAATCCTAGATCATAAAAAAGGACATTATTACACGTATGTGTGTTTGCACATTCTAATACGATTTCAAATCTCACACATTCAAGTGAATCACACTTGTGGTGCACGCCATCATGAGAAACCGCTGTAGTAAAGCAATAACAGGCCGCTCCTAAGTACACGTACAGTCGTGTCATCAATCCACTGCTGGATGAATGCCTTTCCACGCTGTTGTGCGGATTGGTGGAGGTGGTAGAGCATAGAGCTTGGAACATAGAAGTATAGCACAACAATTAATTTTGCCGCACTACACTCTTGCTGCCCACTGTGTATCTCCACTACTTCTATACTGCATGTTAAGACAATCATTGTCTCCCTGCTCATATGAGCAACATAATGTGATGCTTTATTCCAACTGTGGCTCCGACTTGGTGGTGGAAATTCCACATTCCTATGGTGGGGGCCAGTTACTCCACAAGTTACAGAACATTTCATGTCTGTCAAATGGAATCAGCAGTTAAGGAGGTTTGTTTAAATCACTTGCAAAGACCTACATTAATATTCAGGACAACACTTTACTCAATCAGCAAAAATAACGCTACTCATCCATTTTCGATGTAATGTTACAAATATGCCGGCTCCCCTGCTGATCACAACATCAGGGCATCCAGTGGCATTGTATTATGAAGCAACATCTTGCTAACGAGAATGAGTTGAAACAAATCCAAGGTGACCTTGTTGAATGGACGAACACAAGTGAGGAATATTGATCTAAGGAAGGCACGTGGGCAAAACGATTAAATGTTAACGCAATCGTAAAAGAACTCCACACAAGCTCTCACGCTGTAGGCACACCCGGTGGGGGGAAGGGTCCCTAGGCTGCCCAACACGGTTGAGATTAAAGTTGTGAGAATCTGGAAAACGACATGATGTCAACACCCGAAAATCACTTTTAAGTTTTCTTCTTCTTGAGCTTTAAAATTGTGTCGGGCAGCCAAAAACAAAACGACCTGGTTGTGTTTTTGGGTTAGTCCTCCGTTGCATGAATTCCCTTTTGCGTTCATTCTTTTGTATAACTTTTTTTGTTATTGTGAAAGCTTCCAAATCATGTCACACAACTCATGACACCCGGCCTAGGTACGTATACGCAAACGCTGTTTGTTGTTTGCGTTGCACAGTGATTTTGCACAAAAGCTAGTATCTGTAAAAGGTACGTTTTTATCACAGTCAATATTATGATGAACAATTGATTTTTAGATCAACTCAAGTAGTGATCGGGCCAATTTTTTTGGTACAAGACCATCCACCCGACATGTACCAGGGTTTAATACCCAAATTATTTTTTCAGCTCACGTGGGAGAGTTGAATAACAATCATCATAACCATATTTCGCAATTAGATACGACATATTTCTTGACACTGCATCAAACATCTTCAGAACAGAACCCAAGACAGTGTATTTACATTTACAATAACCTTTTTGAAAGAGCACATAAAACAATCGCCAATCACACAACGGGCGAGTGCCTGCGAAGGAGCTCTCCGCTAGCTTAAGCGGAGATCAGGGGAGCCACACTCACCTCGGAGATCTGCAGTAGGGACTTGCCGTTCAATTCAAACGTGGACGAGCAGGCGAGACACAGCAGCACCTAGGCACGCGAGACAATCACAGCGGTCATTACAGTTCCAGCACGTGGACCGCAACGTCGGGCATCCTGCCGGACAGCACCAAACACAACCCAAAACACAGGTGACGGTGCCATGCAGCACAACCGCAAACACCACTGCGTACAGGTTTCCCTTGCTCTATGCGGCCGTAGTAGATGCATTCCAAAAAAAAAAGGGGGCTCACAAAGCGAAACCGCACACGAGGCAGCTGCCTGCCGAGTTGCGCGCACGGTACGCACACGACATTGTCCCACAATCTGACCACATGGCCGCGTACAAGTGAATTCAAACCGCTGTTTGGCGAATTTTAGGTAGAAGTAGATTAGCCACATATATACACGAAATCGCAAAAACCGAACCCGCATAGAGCGAGGGAAATCTGTACGGTTGATAGGATTCTATTTTAACACGAGACCACAGGCAGATGTCCTTGATGAAGTTACTTTTTTTTTTATCAGCTACAGCGACATCCCTGGTGCCGTTTCCTCGTCACCACAGCAATGTACACACGGAGACTGATCCTGGTACAGGTTGAGGTTTTCAAGTTGGAAGTGGAATGATGGACTCTCTCAAACCCTCTATGCCAGCGTGCTTTTGGGAAGGAGAGGGGGAGATGTTTTTGCTGATTTCTGGTGTATTCCTCATGCTTGTAGCTCGTTTCTCATGTTACAAGTCGAATTTCAGTTATTTCAATAAATCACCGAACCTTCACCTGTATCGGATCATCCATTTACCTCATTACAGACTTTAACGTTTTCAAGCTGAGGTGGAAAGCATTCAAAGCTTATGCTAGATGTTCAAATTTAGCAAAAGAGCATTTCATCAGGATTCTAAGGTTAGATTGGAACCGGCAAAACCTGGATTCCAAGGCGTATGTACGAGATATGAGACCATTGTACGTCTGTCATATTAAAAAATATATATTTATAAAGACAGAATTTTTTTTACTAATTCCATATAGTACTCATCTGCAAGCTTCCATCGTGTTTAATCTTGTGTATCGAACAGAGGATCTTTTTGCCTTCGAGCCGTCTATGTTTGCACAGTGCTTTGCTCAGTGATTTAATAAAGTGCCCACAGCAGACAACTGCAATTGTAACACACTGTACATGAATATCATGACGGCAGCAATCACTGGGTGACTTTGCCTCAATTAGCCTCGGGACTTGTGACACGGTTTCTGGGAATTCCAGCAATGCAAGGGGCACGGTCGACATGAAAACCATATTACTACGAGACAATCTATTTAAGTGCCATGTGTTCATTGTCCAAGTTACATTTGTTTTGCTTTTTATTTCTCTCACAATCAAATTCCAGCTGTTCACGTCGGCAGTATCTTAAGAGGCAGGAAAATGTCTACGTCGTTTGCTCGCAGCCAGCAATGCATCAAGTTGAGTCAAAGAATAGCCCAATAATAAAAAGTGAAAGTTCGACTGTACCGCTGAAGCTTTTTCAATACACCTCCTCATACAAACTCGGGGCACACCTTTTATATGCCCTGTGAAGAATTTCTGTGGCGTGTCAAACGCAGCGTTGTAATTTCCAAGCGTGAATATGCAAATAAAGTGACGGAATAAATGTTGTGGGTTTACTCTCCAAGAAACCGGTGTGCTGACGAATTGGCACGTTTTGTTTACAAGACAAACCTTACCAATTGGCTCTGTCGGGTGGTGGCGGGTTTAACGGCACATTTATATTTACGTGATCTAACCCATAAAAAAACCTTTATTGTGACATCAAGTTTCATTCAAATAGTTACATCACGATTCATCATCGTCTGTCGAGCCGATATTAAACAGTTTGTAATATATTCGTATGAGTAAACCAGTGTGCCAGTGCTCAGCTGAAATCCACAACTGACATTACCTGCAACTGAATATGGAGAAAACATTCCAGTGTGTCGCTATAGTTAGGCAAGTCTCTTTTAACAATTGTCTAATGCAGCTGAATGGGATGTCTCCTGCATAATTATGAAAACGTGTTTGTTATTTTCTGCTGCATTTATTTTGATGCACAACACATTTACCCAGACAGCCTATATAACGCTTTTTATGCACGGTGGTCACCCATTTCAGCAATATCCAGGCTCATTCTGTGCTTAGCTCTGTGCTCCGGAGGAATCGAGCGTATTCTCGGTGATTTTGGCAAAGGCCGGCGGCCACGAAGTAAAACCCAACATTGGCAAGGACGACAAAACACTGACTCAACACCGCCAGGTTCGCATTACAACTCACTTTGTTTCCAAATAAAAAAATGTATGCAGTCGACACATTGTTAGTTAATTGATATAAGCCAAACATGAGGACATATTCCATACAATTGCAGTTATAATCAGAGTTTTACCATAAAAACAATGCGTTAATCAAAGCACTCGATGTCAAACAAAGGAGAGAAAAAAAATCTGTTTTTCAGAGCCGGTACAATTTTCAACCCATTCAAATAAAAAGAGGGCAATTTCAATTCAATACGGGAAGTTATTTCTCCTTCTTAACAGAAACACACTGAATAATGGCCAAGTATCCACCTCATTTACTGCCCCGTTCAAACGCAGTGTCAAATGTTTATACTGGTATAAGCGGAGTGAAATTTAGACTTTCCTGTTCTGGTAAAGAATGAAATGACAGAGTGCAAACAATACGAGCAACCACTGACCCTTATTGACCCTGGCTCATGTGAGGAGTGACCGAAAAAAGTCTGTGGCCTGACACACAAAGCAAAGACAGACCACTCTTTCTATACTTGGCCTAATCTTCCATGCTGGCTAGTCATCTCGGAAGAGATGAGAGCACCCACACTTTACCCCACCACATGGGATCTGCAGACCATCGATTAACTGTGGTGCACCCATTTATACTGCTGGATGGAGACCAGGGAGTTAATACAATACAAAAAATGCCCAATGTTTTACTGCTTAGTTTCAAGTTTAAACTGATTTACCAAGATGAGGGATATCTAACCAATGACCTCTGTATTGCAAGTCCAGTGTGCTAACCATGACATCACGGCACCATTCCCTAGCTTAACCAAGAACACAAAATGTAATTGTCTTCGCCAAACAACCCAGGGCAGCACCTTCCAGAAAAAGTCTTCGGACTCAGCGTAGCTTTTCTGGGTAATTAAGGAATTATTATAATCACTTTTAGAGAACCCTTTGCTCTACAACAGAAATAAGAGCTCGGTTTCTTTATCATGCGCTGCTCACAATCCTGTACTCAAGAAGCTCTACAATTAATCTGCCTTTTTAAGTAATACAATGCCAAAATAACACATACTGAGGTTTTTTTGTTATATTCCCCGGGATTTAAAGAAAATGTTGGCAAAAGTATTTCATCAATAATAAGATCATAAACTGAAAAGTTAGAATAATTTTAAATTCACCTTGTCAGCCTTCTGTATTCGTGACTCCCACCCATAGTGTCGCTATTATGTCTTCCGTACTTCTTCCGCCAATTAAATTCAACGTGTATTTTTAGATATATAAGTTATACACCTAGGAGTATGATATATGTTTGCAATATTGTGAGAGTTTACTTTGTTTTCACGTTTAACTTAGCCAAAAAAACATCTTAAAATGTAAAAAGTGGATTTGAACCTGGCCCCCCATAACTCAGTCACCGGTGGTGACGTCACAGGGCTCCACGTGGTAGTGGAGCCCCGGGAAGTTGAGGAGCCCAGCCAGTAGCCAGCCAAGAAACTCGAGGCATACATCATTTTTAATAGTAGCATGATTATTGAAGGCAAAGTGAATATTGATCCCTACTCTTTGGTTCTTTCGGTAAAGTCACGTAGGTAGAAAAAATAACAGATTACGACGTTTCGATCGCCACACAAGCAATCGTCTCAGGACGATCATCTCAAGACGATCATCTCAGGACGATTGCTTGTGTGGCAATCGAAACATCGTGATCCATAATTTTTTCTACCTACGTGACTTCACTGAAAGAACCAAAGAGTAGAGAATTCCTGCAGTCACGAAAGCTTCAAATCAAGAATATTGATCCCGTTTCGCGACCAATATCAACTATAATAGAGGTTTTTTGGGTTAGATCGCATGATGGATGATATTGATCCCACACAAAGGAGACTGCAGTACACAGCGCCACGAGCACGCACCTTCATGACCTCCACCTGCAGGTCCTCGTGCAGCGCCGGCGTGCTGTGCACCGTCTCCAGCACCTGGCTGAGCAGACGGTGCTCCTCCTTCTCCTCGGGTAGCCTCGACACAAAGCGCTCCTCGGCCAGCAGCCTCTGCGCACCAGCAGAGAGGAAGGCAGCTGCGTCCACCGGTGTGTGTCTGGGTCACTCCGCGTGAAAGCAACACAACTGGACGCACAGGGAACGGAATGGTGGCGCGGTGGTAACACCCGTGCCACGCGGCCAAAAGGACACAAGTTCGATTCCAAACTTGGACGCTTTTTTTTCTGCGTGGGGTTCGTATTTCTCTCCCCCTGTTCTGCACTGGTTTCTTCTGGGTTCTCTGGTTTCTTCCCAAAGCTGAAAAAAAACCATACCATGCAACTGGCACTGGCCAAACTTTCTCATGCTGAAAACATACCTGCAAATTACTCAGTTGGGATCACACAGAGTGGCAACATCGCCCCCGACCACGAAACCATGGCAGGACCCTCCTAAAAAAAGAGTCTTGAGACTCAGTGAGGCTTTCCTGGGTCAACTAAACTCTTTTATTTTACCACGTAAGGCCCACTGGGCTATATAGCTCTTTTTCAGAAGAGACCTGGCCACAAATGATACCTCAATTAAGTGGCTTATCACGTGGAAATTTTGTGCAGTCAAGTACTGTACTCTAAATGCATGTCTCTAAATGTGGAGGGAAAAACTGGAAGACTCGGAGAAAAATCCACGCGACCACCGGGAGAACATACAAACTCCAAATATACAGGCGTCAGGGTCGAGATCGAACCCACGACCTCCTGAATACCAGGTGAGGTAGTTAACATCTTACCACCGCGGCGCCATCATCAAAGGTAATTAAACAAGCGTAACAATAATACAAGTCACACAACGCTTCAGACAGCATGTAAGGTGGCCTACAGTTATTAAAGCCTAGGTGGGAGGTTGAAGTTCTTGACCCAGCAGCAAATGCTCAACACGCAACCTGACATGGAACATGTTACTTTGCTTACGGGCTGGTGCAGAAACTTACAAACTAAAGCTCTTCAGCTGCTGACTAAATCACGCGGAATGCGCCTGATCTCGTCAGATATAAGAAACCTAAGCAGGTTTGAGCCTGGTTAGTGGTTGAATTGGCCGCCACCACCACACACAGACGGTTGTTAGAGGAGGTGGCTATGTGGTGAGCAGCAACATAAATACGGCAAATGACATTACTGTGCTATACTATGCGTCTGCAACTATGCTTCCCACCTTCACCAGTCAGCACTGAGCAGTGTGGTGAAGTATAATCAAATAACCGCATGGCTAACATAGGGTGAAGAGGACTTCATACAGCACTGGCTTGACAAAGCACTGAATATGCTTACTAATACCCACACAAAATTAGCCAAAACACTTCGGAGTCTATACTCAACGAGGCCTTTCTCGGTAAATAAGAATCCTGTTACGGTTGCTGTCGTTGGTACCTGCACTCCAGCCAAGGCATACTGCGAGAGCTTCGTGTTCTTGGATTCTAGCGCCAGTCTGAAAGGAGTGAGGCATTTCTCCCTGCAAGACAGCCAGACACAGTGGAAAGACGCATTACACAGCACACACCATCATTGAGAGTGGGGACACATTCAGTCTACAAGGGGCGCTCCGTGGGTCTGTCGTGAAGCTGGTTCTCGAGAAGGTGCTCTTGAAGTGCAATCCACCTGGTCCATCATATCTGCCTCTGGGCTTTAATCCCCTCCATTCCCTCACTCACATCACACCTATATATGAAGGGTGCCACAATGGCGAGATGTTAACTCCCTCGCCTGGCATGAATGAGGTCATAGGTTTGATCCCAACCCTAACGCCTATATTTTTGGAGTTTGCATGTTCTCCCCGTGGTCACATGGACTTTTCTCCGGATCCTCCGGTTATTTCCTCCATATTTAGAATCACAAGTATTTGGCTGCTGTAAATTTCCACATGCCAAGCCACTTCGTTGAGCTATCATTTGTAGCCAGGTCGCTTCTGAAAAGTAGCTTAGTGGGCCTTACATGGTAATATAAAAAAACATAATGCTCTATGTCATCATAGAATATAACAATGCTTCCTCTGTAAGTAGTTATTTAACGGTGAAGACACGTGGGAGGTGAACAATGTATTTTTAGTATTGAATGTACTATGTATATGGAAATTCTTTCTCACCGTACGTGGCCAACTGTACTAATCGGAGGTGCCGGGAGAAGGGCAACAAACTAAACACACACGAGAAAATGGCGGCGGGGTCGGTCGCGGTAAGGGAGACATGGGCGAAGGGGTTAGAAAGCAACAATGGAACGCAGCAAGCGTGGTCCAGCACCAATCAGAACAATAAGCCACAATTACTGTGAGAAGGCAATATAGAAAAGTGGATTGAATCCATCCATACAAAGCTCCGTGTGGTCATCTCGTATGTGTGGTGGGCTTTCTCCGGGTACTCTGGTTTCCTCCCAGATGGCAAATTCTCATTATTGGAATTAGCCAAACATTCTAATTGCAGGACCCTCCAGAAAAAAAGTCTTCGTGAGGCTTTGCTTGGAAAATAAAGAATAATTATGTTTCATTGTTAATAATATTATTGCCACTGCATGGGAAATGAATGGTGGTTGTACTATAATAATGACAAGTACATGGCACGGGAAAATGAATACCGCCCCGAAACTAGTTTGATCGGGGAAACACTTTAACTCCACTGACTGTGCTAATTAGGAAAAAGTTATTTTCGTGGTGAATTGAATGACATTAAAGATAAATAAGACCGGTTCCAAAGGAGAAATGACGTACGGACTGAGATGAAAGTGTTTGTAACAAAATTTGTACGGCATCTCAAGATTCATGTATGTGTAGATGCTTGATATAACCAATTTGCATTGTGCTGTCGTACAATCTTGAGTTCCTTTGCAAAAACAAACTAATGTGGCTACCATATGTACTCATCGAGAGACGACTATATTTGATTAACCACAATAATTGATCTTGTGTACAAGGAAAACTCATTATTCGTCTATGATGTGTCTGTTATGTACATTAATTGTATTCCTCTGTGTTGAAGCCTGCAGAGTTACATCATCTCTAACGGGAGACACGGAGAATTACCGCTGTGCCAGTCAGAAGTCTGTTGAGGTACAACCGTAATAAATTACTTGCAGGGAGATTATGCACATCGCAGTGCTGTTATAAATTAAAAGTCACGACTATTGTTAGAATTACAGAAAAATATACAAGTACTGTGTTAAACTTCGTTAATTCTCCACAGAATTTGTTGGGGCGCCTGAATCAGGCATAAAACCGTCAATCCATGCACGCTGGCTCAGTGGCCGAACGCTTTGACCGCTAGGCTAAAGCAGATGCCAATGCGCGTCGATACAACTGCACTTCCCCGAGCCCAGAGCCACACGACGTGCGTGCGTCTCATTGCCAACCCATCAGGATAATCTTTAGACAATGGCATCAGTGACGACAAAGCGGTTACCCTGGTGCCTGGGTACCAGCTCTCAAACAGTCCGCTGGCTCGCTGAGTTCAATGGTATCCTGCGCTCTCGCGGTGGACTTTAGTAAGCTGCGCATCGGCATAAAATTTAATCGGTGGTGAACCAAACGCATTGGCATTGAACATTGAGCTAGGAGAGCAGAATTTTCTAATTTGTGACACTGGATTTGGGACTGTGGTTAGAGGAGTGATGCTCTACAGCTAATCGTTGTGAAAAAAAGCAACTGTTACTTTAATTCACAGCGAAACTGTAGTCCTTCACAATTTTGTCCAACCCATGTCATCTTATTCCCACCAATCATGGACATAATAAGTGTGAAACCAACATTTTAAAATTGGTGTTTAACAAGATGAACACTGTTTCTAGGGTATGCCAGCCCTTGTTCAATGAAACAATATAAATATAAACATAACTGAAAGCAACATTATTACACAAATGTCTTTTTTATCTCATGAAAGGAAACAACAATAAAAAACTAATTCAACTCTAATATCTTTAAATGGTATCACAATATGCATTATGTGATTCAATGCTAACATCTGTAGGTGGTGCGGAGTCCATTATTGAAATTCAACATTATTATGGCAGGGTCCAAAGCTCCCTAAAAACAAATGTAGATTTTCTACAAAGTGGTACTCAAGTAATCAAATGTAGAGCTTTGATGGCCTGAGATGATCCAGGACAGGGTATTGAACTTGTAAAACCTTACAGTTGTGAGACAAACGCTTTGCCACATCACACAGCCTGACAGATTAACTGGCGATTAATGAAACCAGTTTCTGTGAGAACAAAAACGATATTCTACATCTCCAATCACATAGTTCACTGCTTGAATACTCAGATGTTGCCAACCTCCAACACTGGCTTCACCATTATTGTGGATCATCAGTGTGGTAGAGCTTGCCACTGTGTGTGTCCTAGAACTAAGATTGCCACCTTGATCAGGCTGCTGTAGATGCATGTGCTCTGCTACGACTTGAAAGGCACGGTATATTTACAAGAATGCATTATTGCCACAGAACCCTTAACTCGGCATGTCATGATTTATTCACCTAATTAAATAGATTATTTGACAATATAGGCATAAAAACCTGATTCATAATAAAGGTTTTTGGGTTAGATCGCGTAAGTATAATGTATTGTAACCCTCCACCACCCGCCACAGCCAGTAAGGTTTGTCACGTAAACGCGCTAATTGGTTACTACTTCAGCCCCCCAGTGTTGGAGAGTAAATCCAAAATATTTACAATTTGAGTAAGACGTTTCGCTGGTAATTACATCCAGCATCATTGGGCGATTTGCCAGAATAGTGAAACATCCACCAGCTTCCGGTCTAAAATAGAGCAAGGTGACGTCATCACTGTGAACCCGTCAGGTGCAGAGATCAGAGGGGGAGGAGGGGGGGTTATCGTAATTAGATAATAGATTATAACATGAGTTGCACAAGCTATTACCAGCTCTCATGTATATGCTGTAGGTGTGTTCCCAAAGTTTTTATTCATCCGGAATATCAAAAAATGAGGTCTAGAAATTTGAGATCCTAAATATTTTTGGATTGATGTGACATTATGATAATTAAAATATTAACATATAAACATGTTTGAATTTAAGAGATATGTCTTACGAATTGAACCTCATGTTACAAACTGTATTTGAATTATTACAATTTACAATTAACAAAATGGAATACATTCACATACAATACTAAATAAAATACAAAATTAGACCTAAAAACACAAAAATACAGAATCATTGCGTGCGTGTTGATGACATTGGCTCATAAATCACTAGGGCAAACAAATCATCAGTTTGCGAATCAAAATTTGACCCCTAATTGTGACAATTCATCGACCTGTGCACGTGGTGACTCATGCCATTCTCCATTTTTTCACCTTCGTGTGCGCTGCAGACATCTATAATGGCCCTATCAGATGCAAAACAACTCTGCGGGGTATGTCTAGCCTTCGTGCCAAAAAAGATGCCTCTGTCACAAGAGATGGGCTGAGGCAGTCTCGGCTCAAGTGCCCCAAGCGACCCAGCTGCAGGCAGAAGTGGCGTCGCGACAAGGGGCTGTTAATGCAAACAGCTCGATTAATGCAGAGTATACCTCGGAGCTTGCAAACAAAACACTGGAGGCGTGTCTGCTGGTAGCACTCCATGCAAATTTTTTATTGCTACATTAATCAAGCTCGCAATTTACCCGGTTAGCTTGCGCATCAATGTATACAAAAACACTAACATGGAATTGGCCAAGATTTCAATGCGGGGCCTTCCTTAATACGCATTTGCTCGATATATTAATGCATTATTAGAAGCATTTGATTAAATAGAAACAATATGGACTGATTTCAATGTCACCATGTCTCAGCATGAGTCTTTAAAAGCTCCCAGTCATGTGATAAAACTGTATTGGAAGTCATCATAACGGAACCGGTAGAAAAACTAAAATAACTTTATCAGTACCGAGGCTCCCACAAGCCCATGCAGGAGGGCGTGTGGCACAGTTTGGCGGTCGTGTCGCTACGGTTCTCTGCGGTGAGTACAATGTCTTTAAAAGCAACGGCGGTATGCCTCTGTAAATAAAATTAACGCTAACCGCTCGCGTGTTCCGAGATTCAGCGGTGAACGGGACCCCACCCTGCAACTTCCAGATGTCTCGGAACGGGAAAGGGTTCAATTGACCTCTCACTTAACACTAGATGCTGCTCCTTCATGCTGTATACTAAATGCCACACAGTGAGTGTGGTGTGCTGAGTGGGTGTGTGAGATGGGCAGCTGGTTTACCTGAGCTGATGTGGGGGGATATCAGTTCCGTTTGTGTGGGAGTCCAAGGTGTCTGCACACAAGGGCAAGGGGACAGCCACTCATAAGCATGCGCACGCACACCCACCGTGGTCCAATTAAATATGCAGGCCCATGCCCCTTACAGACGATGCTATTTTAATAACGCATTGCCAAGGCAACTTGAGCTAAAATCTCAGGGACTGTGATGGTGTCAAAGGACAGGCTGAGAATGCACTGCCACCGACAACATGAAGAGATTGCCTTACGTCTTTGTTATAGCATTACTAGTAACTGGTGGGAAACATTTTCCCAGGTGTACATTTTGTAAAATCAATACACACATTAATCACATGCACATACAGTACAAAGATCTCTTGTATGGCCTTAAACAGACTGTTGGGGCAGGTGCAACTACAGAGAGCACCTATGAAGGTCGACACGGCACACGAGGCGGTAGGTCTGGCACCACATACAGCCACCTTTGTCTCCCCAGTGTTGATGTTCACGCACTGCACAAGGTACTCATTTAAGGCCAAGTTGACCTAAGAGACGTCCGGGACCAGTTATAATACGAGTGATATAACTTGCTACAAATGTTAACCATGGCTGGGAACCTAACCCAGATCACCCAATCACTTTTGCAAATGAGACTATCCTGGTCTCTTGAGTTCTCACCCGATTAAACAAAAATAAAGCCAAGTGGCCAGATTTTTAGTACAGTGTGCTCACTGCTGCGCACCACTTCCTACTTTTTGTTCTTTCACACAGTTCATACAAAGACAAAGCCTGAACAGACTTTTGGGGGAATTGCTATTAGCGAGCACCTATTAAAGTATGCAAGGCACACGAGGGAGTGGGTGGCTAGCAACCACGCCTGGCCGCATTTGTCTCTCTAGTCACGATGTTTACACACCGCACTAGGTATTGGACTCGATTGAGGCTGAGTCGACCGAGGGGAGAACCAGGACTGGTGTTTGCCGTGAGTGGGAATCGAACTCGGGTAGCCGGGTTCGTCGCACAGTGTGCTAACCGCTACGCCACCGCTCCCCACAAAAATACATACCCACAAGAGTCGCCATTCGCCACAAAGTGATGTCACCACGACGCCTGTGCTAGGCCAGGTGCCATGGGATGACTGACTGATATGACTGTCAGATGCACCAGCTTTGCCCCCTACAATACCAACTTGCTGCATTGTATCTGCCCAGAGCTCCGCTCGTTGTGAGCATCGCACCTCTGCCCTTCGTTTTTATTGGAGGGCGACTGCCTCCAACTGCCCAGTAGCGTCCTTCACGAGTCTTATCCATGGAGGCCAATCTTGACACCGCTAGTAGTAGTCTTTAGCAAGTCCACTCAGCTCCATATTTTCCTGTACCGCATCACTTCTCTTTTCCAGGCCATGTAGTGCCCGTTTAGCCCCCACACACACATACGTTCACGTACATAACTGGGCCAAGCCTTGTGAAGCTCAGACTATCCCGGTCAAAGCAGAATGTTTGTAAACTTTACAGTGGCCTACTGGCCTGTATAGAGAAATCCATGCAGCCAGGACTGCTCTTCTTCTCTGTAAAAAGCCACGTGGCTCTTGGAGTTAACGCCTGCCCCAGGGCTTGACAGTCTGATCACAATAATGCGCTTCAACACACACACACACTCTCGTTATACACAGGTACAATGGTGAGCGGTGGCGCAGTAGATAGCACACTGAGTTGTAAACCCTGCCGAGCCACAGTTCGATTCCTGGCGAGTGATATCTGAACCGGTCCCGAGTCTGTCCGTCTCTTCACTTGACCGACCCGCAATGACCAGGGTGGTGAAGTCTGGTCAATCAAGCTGATGACCGACACGGGGTGGGGAGGCCTTCATCCAGCAATGGATTGACAAAGTCCTGAAAACGCATATGTTATATACCTACACTGTAGATACAAAGACAAAGATCTCACTATAGCCTTAACAGACTATTGGGACAAGCGCTGTTAGCGAGTACCTATTAAGGCCAGCACGGCACACGGGGGGGTCGGTGGCCAGCACCACGCCCGGCCGCCTTTGTCTCCCCAGTGCTGTTTACACAATCGCACCGGGTACTAATTTAAGGCTGAGTCGATCCACACGTGAAAACGCATACAGTACATACAGACCCATCCATTGTGCATACACTGTACATACAGATGCACCGCCGATGAGCACGGTTGGCTACTTAGGGTGCGAAAGAAGTTCAGCATACATACTGCACATGGTACAGCACTGACACGCATATATTGGTCACGAACTTGCGGTGACGTCACCACTGCGCTTGTGCCAGGCTAGGTGCACTCCCGAGGCCACGAGAAGTGGCACGGGACAGACCCAGATGGTGCCACGGGTTGACTGAGACGATTGGCAGATGCACCAGCTGTGCCCCCCCCCCCCACTGTGCCAACTCGCTACACTTTATCCGCCCGGCGCTCCGGTCGTTGTTGTGAGCGTCGCTCCTCCGCTGTTGTCGGAGGGCGACTGCCTCCACCTGCCCAGTAGCAGCAGCAGCGTCCTTCACGAGCCTCCTCATCTATACACACTAACACACTCGCATACTCTACGCACAGTTCATCATACATTCTATAGAGTATAACGCACAGAGTATTGTACATACACAAGCACACACTCACACAGAAAGACAAATATATCCCATGTAGCCTTATCGACTGCTGATGCAAGTGCTAATACACACACATACGCTTACAACAAATATCCCCCCATATAGCCTGGCCGACACGGCACACGAGGTGGTGGGTGTACAGCACCACACCCGGCCGCCTTTGTCTCCCCGGTGACGATGTTATACACACAGCGCACCAGGTACTCATTTGAGGCTGAGTCAACCTAGGGGGAGGGCCCAGGACCGGTTCAGACAATCGTCACCGGTATTGGTGGCCGCTCACAACTCACATGCAACTACTGTACGCACATTCATACATGACACACGGAACAGAAACCCAACATTCCCATCGTGACCCCCACATCCCCATGATGACTCCCTCTCTGTAGTAACACTGCAGTCACTCCGGTGATGGTGATCATGGTGGTGATGTGGGGAGCGGTGGTGCAGCGGTTAGCGCTACGAACCCGGAACACTCGAGTTCAACACCAAGTGACGATTATCTGAACCGGCCCAGGGTCTCTCCCCTAGGTAGACTCAGCCTCAAAGGTGTACCTGGTGCGGTGTGTAAACATCGCCCCTGGAGAGACAAAGGCGGTCGGGCGTGATGCTCACCACCCAGCACCCCTCGTGTGCCGTGCCGGCCTTAATAGGAGCTCGCTAACAGCACTTGCCCCAACAGTCTGTTCAGGCTATGCGGGGGATCTTTGTCTTTTTGATGGCGATGATGAGGATGATCATGGTAGTGTGATGATCGTGACGATGACCATGGTGGTGATGAGGATGATTATGGTAGTGTGATGATCGTGACGATGACCATGGTGGTGATGAGGATGACTATGGTAGTGTGATGATCGTGACGATGACCATGGTGGTGATGAGGATGACTATGGTAGTGTGATGATCGTGACGATGACCATGGTGGTGATGAGGATGACTATGGTAGTGTGATGATCGTGACGATGACCATGGTGGTGATGAGGATGACTATGGTAGTGTGATGATCGTGACGATGACCATGGTGGTGATGAGGATGACTATGGTAGTGTGATGATCGTGACGATGACCATGGTGGTGATGAGGATGATTATGGTAGTGTGATGATCGTGACGATGACCATGGTGGTGATGAGGATGATTATGGTAGTGTGATGATCGTGACGATGACCATGGTGGTGATGAGGATGACTATGGTAGTGTGATGATCGTGACGATGACCATGGTGGTGATGAGGATGACTATGGTAGTGTGATGATCGTGACGATGACCATGGTGGTGATGAGGATGACTATGGTAGTGTGATGATCGTGACGATGACCATGGTGGTGATGAGGATGACTATGGTAGTGTGATGATCGTGACGATGACCATGGTGGTGATGAGGATGACTATGGTAGTGTGATGATCGTGACGATGACCATGGTGGTGATGAGGATTGCGATCATAGCGATGGTGGTGTGGCTGGCCTCACCGCAAGCCAGGCAGCACGCCTCCCTCACAGCCCTGTGCTTGTTCCCGCTAGCCTCCTTGGCCAGGCTCTTCAAGGCCTCCTCCATCGCCTCTTGATCTTCACTCTGCTCAAATATCTTCTCCTTCTTCTCCTCCTCCACCACCTACTACTCCTCGTCCTCCTCCAGCGAGCAGCAAGAAGACCATGGAGTCACAGGACCCAGGCGGTGACCGTGGCTCTACAATGTCGAGAAGCAGCAGTGAACAGCGACTGTCGTAGAGGATGCTGATGAATGATGTTTATCAATCTTCGACAATGATTATTCTACGATTGTGAGGAATCTATGCTGAAAATAGTGGGTGGTGATGCTGTACCTGCGATGATCTTCGGTGATGAATCAATGAAGATGGGCGATTATTAATAAACGCCAACGATTATATTGGCGATGATGACGTTTTCTTTAAGATGATGATTATGCAAAAATAATTATGGCAATGTTGAATTACGGCACACATACGTTGACGATTATGATGATGAATCTGTGTGTACGACGTTGAACCGATGCAATTAATGACGGTGTATGATGGAGTCTATGATGACGAGTCGATGATGACACTGATGAAGCCTTGATGTTAATGATGGTGATGATGCTGATGGTGATGCTGTACTGTATATACAATCACACAGCTGGCAGATGGCGCAGACGCGGCAATGGGAGCCGTGGCAGGGCCGGGCCGCGTCTGACCAATGGGGAGGGGGGACAGGGGCGTGAGCTGGGATCAGCTGTGCAGGGCTGGCACCACCCACAAAACACGACTCGACACAGACAAAGATCCCCCGTGTAGCCTTTCACAGACTGGTGGGGCAAGTGCTGTTAGCGAGGGGGGGGGGTTCAGCACCACGCCCGGCCGCCTTTGTCTCCCCAGTGGCGATGTTTACTACACACCGCACTAGGTATCCATTTGAGGCTGAGTCGACCTAGGGGAGGCCCAGGACCGGTTCATATATTTGCTCCACCAGCATCACCAACAGCGCAGGAGCACATCAGCATATGATCCAATCAGCTGGGAAGCTTAGCGGGATTTGATCCTGGATAGTTTCTATAATGCATTAAACAGGTGAAAGTATTCTGTGTGGGCAGTAGAGAGCACTACTTTTGTATGGCCGATGTACATGGTGATCAATTAATTGACCCCTAACATGTTTGTTCCTTTGCATATTCATTTCTATTTTAAATAAACCTTTTAAAAATATATAGAGAATTGCATGGGGATCACAATACATCTGGACCACCCTGTAGATACAGAGCAACATCTACAATGTCACATTCGGGTGGTCAAGCGAGATAACCGCGGTGGTGTCTTCTTCATATTTGTGAATCGGGCATTGAATCGTGAAATGTTGTATGGCCTGTTCTGGATGACCACAATCGCACACTGGAAAGTTTTTTTTTTCTTTCAAGTATACGCATCTGCCATGGTTTGTGCACTGAGATCACTGGATGAATTGCACCTTATAAATGTCTATAATTATTAAAAATCAATCGCTGTTCTATATTTCCCCCCACATATTCTGGTCCATGTTCCTGCACGGTTAAGTATGGCTAATTTTCCATCACTACCTGCTCAGCATCGGGAGACCACATTTGTATGTATGTTTAACTTCTGTTGCACCGTACGTAGCCGACTGTGCTAATCGGAGGTGTATGATGCGCGTCAAAATGATATATGTTTTTACGTTTCAGTGCTCGAATAGGTGAAATTAAGTGGCAAAATTAAACGTGGTGTTTTATTGTTGTTAATCACTTGGCTGACACCATTATTAGCTTGGATATTCACATGAGTTGGCTGAGACCTGGGCTCAAACTTCAAAGCCATGGTCTCGGTATTAGCCTCTTGAGCCACAAGCCACATCACGAGCAGCAGAGGTGGGACAAAGTCATTGTTATGCAAGTCCAAGTCGAGTTGCAAGTCTTTGTACATTTTGCCGAGTCGAGTCTGAAGTCATCAAATTCATGACTCGAGTCTGACTCGAGTCCAAGTCACATGACTCGAGTCCACACCTCAGAGGTGGGACAAAGTCATTGTTATGCAAGTCCAAGTCGAGTTGCAAGTCTTTGTACATTTTGCCGAGTCGAGTCTGAAGTCATCAAATTCATGACTCGAGTCTGACTCGAGTCCAAGTCACATGACTCGAGTCCACACCTCAGAGGTGGGACAAAGTCATTGTTATGCAAGTCCAAGTCGAGTTGCAAGTCTTTGTACATTTTGCCGAGTCGAGTCTGAAGTCATCAAATTCATGACTCGAGTCTGACTCGAGTCCAAGTCACATGACTCGAGTCCACACCTCTGTGACGAGCAGTAACTTCTGTAAGGTCACCGCCACCAATGCTACCTACTATTACGACACATCCTACGAATGCTACCAATACCAGTCACGCCAATACTTGTGTATTACAGGACTAAAAAAAGACAGATTCCCTGTTTATCCGTATACACAATGGAGACAAATGAGATTTCTACTCCCCGGTGTACGCACTGACGACACCGGTGAAAGCAAGCAGGTAACACAGAGTTATCATGGGAGTCGTTATGGAGAATACCGTACTAAGTAACAACATAAATAAGAGGACCATATACCTCAATATATCTGTCCCTCCACATACAAAATTAAACGTTTGTTTTTATTCATCCCATCAGCCACACCGCCTTCTGGGAGTGCACAAATTCCACAGCAGTCACGAACAGTGGCAATAACAACAGCATGGGCGGTGGGTGAAAATATTAATTGAGGGGCTCAAATAAAAACAATTTAAGGAGGGCTAAGTACAGGATATTCAATGAATGTTTTTTCAACGACTTTAGAAATGTAATGTAAGGTCGCCTCTAATAGAACACGTGGTGGACGTGGGTTCACCGCTGGCATCAGTCTAACTTGTTCTCTGCGAGTATTGGACCTTGCGCTCTCTCAAACTAAAAACGAAACTTTTTATTTTACCGGGTAAGGCCCACTGAACTATATCGCTCTTTTTCAAAAGCGATCTGGCTACAAATGATAGCTCAACCAAGTGGCTTATTTTGTGGACATTTACAGCAGTCAATTACCCTAAAACGCACATGGAGGAAAACCCAGAGAGAAAAAAGTCCACACGACCACGGGAAGAACATGCAAACTTCCAATTTAAAGGCATCAGGGTTGGGATCGAACCCACGTCCTCCATATCAGACGAGGTAGTTAACATCACGCCACCACGTTAACGAGTCCAGCTTCGAAAGGGTTTACTGCAGAGGCTGTTCTAAATCAAGCTGGTTAATACGTTTGAGGAGGCTTAGCACTGCATGTTAGCCATAGCCACCCCCCCTCTATGGTGGGGGCAAGTGGAAGACCCTGAAGAATTGTATTTTAATTATTTTAGCAGATAATACATTATTAATATAGGGCCAACGTGTTATTTTTGGGGGACCCATGAACTGAGAGTAAGTAGTCCAGGAGTTGAGCTGGAAGCTTATTTGAGGGCGCGCGTGTTCATTGGTCCCACGTTCCACTGTCACAAGGCGCCCTCCTGGTGCAAAGTCCCGCCAGCTCTGAGGCACCGGGGCTTTACACACGGGGACGGGGATCTGTCAGCTGTGCAAACTTTCGTCGGATCAGCCTCTTGGCCACCATCATTTTGGCAAACGTGGAACTTGCAGCAGCTGGTAGACATTCCAGGCCACAGGGATCTAAGAACTTCTCAATGGAGAGCCACAGTGGCGAGATGTTAGCTACCTCGCCTAGTATGCAGGAGGTCGTGGGTTTGATCCCAACCCTGATGCCTGTATATTTGGAGTTTGCTTGTCTCTCTCTCTCTCCGTGGTCGCGTAGAGTTTTTCTCCGGGTCTTCAGGTTTTTCCCTCCACATTTATAATCAACATGCGTCTCGAGTATTTGGCTGCAATAATTTCCACATGGTAAGCCATTAAGTTGAGCTATCATTTGTGGCCAGGTTGCTTCTGAAAAAGAGCTATGGAGCTCAGTGGGCCTTACCTGGTAAAATACAAAAAAGAGTTCAGTTTACGTTATTAATAATAAAGCACTGCAAATATGTTTTCCGATAAATATTAATGAATTGCAATTATCGGAATTTCAACGGAGAGCAGGGGTCACGGAATCACGAAATAACTTTTCATATCCGCAGTGATGTGTTAGACCAATATTATTATCCTTGGGATTAATCCACAACTTTTCTGCACTTAGCAAACACAAATGAGAATTTGGATAAATTTAAGGATAATACGGAGGGGCCTGATAATTTAAGTTTTTGCTGACCCTACATCTCACCTGGATTATAATACATTTTCCAACATTTAATTTTTTACGTGTAAAAGGTCCAAACACTCCCCTGTGATGTGGCATCAGAGACTGATATCTCACGCCCCTCTCTGACCACGCCTCTCGACCCGCCCACCCGCCCCCGCGTTGCACGCGCCACGTCAGCGCGCGCCCCACACAGCTGTTGCTATGGCAGCAGCACGTGACCGTTTTGAGTTCTTGGGTTTCAAAATAATTCCAGTCCTATAAACAACTTTAATTTATGAAGCAGTGAGGCCATCACATTGTGCGGTGTGGTTATTTAATTGGCATCAGCAATAGCAACATTCGTCCCCTACTGGCAAACTAATGCCCATTCGCAGGCTGGTGCTGCGTTCACCCTGTGACACAGGAACAAGCTGCCATTAGGGGGTCCCCTAGGCGAAAAAGATGTATCATTACTTTGTGACTGAAAAATAGCCCCAATTATTACAATATAAATCCTAACTAATTGTGAGTATTTGTTATCTTGCCACTATCTAAGTGGTCAATATCATATACATCATCTTGGTGGTCATTCTGATGAGGGTTGCCACCTATCCTGGTTTCCCCAGGATCACTGGCAGAGCCAGTGGGGGGGGGGGGGGGGGGGGGGGGTGGCACGTCCCCCCCCCCCAATGGTCCGATCGAAATTTATAATTTCGATCGGATCATTGGGGTTTATTAGTAACAAATTGGCATTTTGCAGTCCCCACTGCCACTGTGTAGCATATTATTACATGCCATGGATTCTATGAGATGATAGCACAATTGTCTGAGTCCATAATTGGCAATAAGTAACGGCAAAGCAGTTATAAGTGACTCACATAATTGTGTGCAGTTGTGTATACAGTACACGACTTCCCTGAAGGAAAACACCTTCAGCCAATGCGATGCCGATCACACACGGTTCGAATTCGACCCTCGATCGATGGCTGCGCCATCGCCGCACTCGCGTCGAATAAAAAGCAAGGGACAAGTCCTTACTTACTTACTAACAACTCCTATCATTTTTCATTGCTGGAGGGGTTGTCCCCCCTACCTGAAAATCCTAGCTCCGCCATTGCCCAGGATTGTCATTTCTTGGAAATCTTGAATCTTCCCAGAACATGAAACGTCTGTTTTTTGACAATTGTGCAATAATACATTTGTGAAGACAATGAATGTTGATGCAGAGTTCTCCCCCGTTGCTGGTATTGAGATATACTTCCCATTATATGTTCCCTGATTTTCGCACCTCAGTGGTGGCAACTCTAGTGTACCACATAGCCGCATGATCTGTATAATTTTACATTACGGTGTGCTCTGTGCATTTTGACATTGCGGCATGTTGTGTAATGAATTGGTATATCAGTGTTGTCCCCCTTATGTACGTGGGTTTTATCTGGGAACAAGATGA